TTTTATTAAGTAAACAATTATTGAAAAGGAAAAAACAGCGATTTCTGCGCGCGATCCGATCGGCCGCGATGCCGCTATAAAATGTATTAAAACAAAAATTATACGCGTGTAATAATAATAGCACAGAAATTATAATATTTTAATAGAACGTATAATTTCGATCGTTTATAAAATTTACTCTTTCGGGGGGGGGAAATAAATAAATATTAATTTTCAATCAACGTAAAGGAGTATATTTTTCGTAATATTTAAAATATAAATAATACTACAACTGAAAATTATACGGTACAAATGTATACCGGCAAACTAATTGAATATTCACACTTTTTAAAGTATTATATATTATTTTATACCGTATATAAAAAAAAAAAAAAAAGTAGGTAGATATTATAATACGGATACACGCATATACATTATAATAATATTATGTGTACGATCGTATAATTTTTTAATTAAATTTATCGATAAATATTGGCCGAGCGTATATTATAATATTAATATTATAGTATTCCCGTGTGTAATAAATCTGATTATATATATTCTCGCGAAAAAAAAAAAAATTAAAAACTTTTATTCGACTCCTTTCGATTGTAAGTATGAACGCCGTGCCTGTGTATACCTACGCCACGCCGTGTTTTAGAGTCTGAGTGGAGCGATTGTTTAATTTTTTTTTCGCTTTGAACAACTTTTCTATCAGAAATTTTGCTCCGATTTTTACGCGTAGCAACTTTTCTGAAAGGAAATCTGTGTGGGGAGATCCCCTATTTTCTCAAGAGTTTTCTCATCAAATGCGAAAAACCAAAAATAACGGGGAAAACTACGGAGTATAATAAATATAAATTACGATTTCTTTTTCTGTGGACAACTTTTCTACTAGCAATTTTGCCCCAACATTTAATGATAGCAATGTTGAAAGGATATTTCACTGGGAATGTATTTTAGAGACGTCGTTTTCCCATTTTCCACGGATTTTTGTCAACAAATGTGAAAAATTGGGATAACCGGGAAAATCCCGGTTAATTAAACAAATTTTATTAAAGAAAATATATAAAGCCTATTTAATTATTTTACTATGATATGGCATATATATTATTGACAAAGCACCGCTATCGAATGAACTCCGCTCATAATCTCAGAATCTTTTTTTCACAAGCAATGGTTTATATCGTTGCTCACAGGGATACATTTAATTACCTATAACAGTGGCTGTACCCGCCCCAATTATCCTTGGACGTCTTTTTTATAACGATAGTATTTTCGACCGTTAGTGTACGGCGCGGTGAAAAAGTATTCGTTTTACTGATAAATGCAGTGCGTGTGTTTTTCCCCCTCGAAAATCGTCTACGATAAAAAGGCTCCGAATTTGTTGCGGTTTTTTCAAGACTACCTATACTCGTAATAACGGTTACCCGGATTCCGCCCAAAACGGTTTTCTGCGGATTGTAACGAATTATCGTCGCTATTAACGTAAACTAAAATTTACCCTTGCCGGTAACGTTCCCGATTTCCCACCAACGACGGGGTGCGCCACAAACACGGCGCGAATCATGTCTGGGGAGTTTTTTTTCTACTACCGTTCTGTAATGGCATTTCTTTCGAAATCAAAGTTGTGTATTATTTATTTGTCCCCCCCCCGCCACCCTCGGAACCCGAACAGATGGTTATAATTACTATGCGTGGCAATTGGATAGCATTACGCACACCGCCGCAACTGCACCGGTAGCAGCAGCAGCGTGTGTTGTGACAATATTTACATTTTGGGTGCGCGTGTAATACTTATGCACATAGGCTATTAATCACACGCCGCGCATGTGTGCTGCAGTGCAGCCGCGGGGGCCGTTCGATATAATATAAGTAACGATAATAATTATTATAGCAATTCGGCAACGGGGGAAAAAAACAAAAAAAACAAAATAAACAGACAGACATAGGTACCAACCTACATATTAATATTATATACTTACAAACGTCGCTGTAGCGTATTGCCGCGGCAGCGTTGCCGCAGTGAAGGGAGGCAGCAGCGTCTTAATTATTGGTCTTGACTGCGTGTGTGTGCGCAGGATCAAAGATCACATAAATAACAAAACGTATACATCATAGACGTACCTATAATATAGTATACGACATGCCTATATTACAAAAAAAAAAAATAATAATAATAATAATAATCAATATATATATATATTGGTGGACGTGCTGAGGGCAAAAAGGGCAGTCGTGAAAAAAAATCGCGAGCGCAATTCGATCGAACGCGATCCAACGACTCTATAATATAATATACGGAATAATGAACGCGTGAGGGGGGGGGGGACAAAAAACCTCGTATTTAACAATAGACGACTCTTACATTAAAAACGCGGTCGAAATTACTGTTTGACAGACATATACGGAGAGTTTAACATTTTAACGCGCGTCCGTACAATATATTAACTTCCTCGAGTCGTGTGCAGCATCTTCTGTCCGGTGGTCCATTTGGGGTTTTGTCAAGCCGATAAATGTTGAACTCGGGCAAGCTAAAGACAAACGATTTCTAGTGTTTATATATTTTCGTGAGCGATTCGTAATAGCCGACGTGCCCCGATATAATCGTTGAAATTAAAATAACTGCAGATGGATATCAGTAACATATTTTCAGCTCATTCACTATGTGTATTTCGGTATTAATTAACCAACCCCTTTTACGTTGAAGTGGTTCGGATGGGTTTCGTTCTAAACGAGAATATGTTTACGTTCGTGGGTTTTTTTTTTTTTTTTTTTACATAGGTATAACTCACTAATTAGTACAAACTTTTTTTTCGATTTTTCTGATTAAAAAGTGAAATGATATTTTTCCGTATGATTAATAGACACTAAACAACTATCGCGGGTGAAGGTGAAGTTGGGTTAGATATTTCTCCTTAATCTACCCATTTCCCTTTAATACGCCACCGGCAACTGCAGCAGAAGTCGTATCGGTACTAAAAGTAGACGGATCCGTTTTGGCGGAGAGGCTGGGTCGAGTAAAATGGCTCTGTCCTCTGCAGGATAAATAATAATGTAAAACAGTCGAGTGTCAAAAACGAAAACCCGAAATAAACGTTTGGCTGTTCGTATATTATTCACGCAGTTCGTCACGCCATTCATCGAAATACACAGTTTTATTCTTATGTTTAGAACAGTAAAGGTGTGGTGAAAACGTGCTATCTCAAAATACCCAAACGTCAAAATCTACAAGGTATAACTTTACGGTTCAGTAACGAATTAAAAAACATAAATCGTTCATTCTGTATTTCTATATTGCATTGTTTATGGTAATTTTTTTTTTTAAAAAAAAAAAAAAATGACATTTACGCGCAAGTAACTATCAGATTGATTTGGTTTTTCAGCGCTTTTCTGGGAACTATGAGAAAAAAAAACAACGTTTGAACAGTATAGATTTTATAATTTTAAAACGAATTTCGGTACATGAAGCCGTGATGGGAAAAAAAAAAACAAAAATGCAAGTTTAATCTATTTAAACGCGAATATCATTTGAATCGCTACGGAACTAGTTTACCCTATCGCTTCCAGAATTTCACGTAGTCATCATTAGATACGCGTCTATCTGCAGATTTTTCATGACCGGACTCGTCGCAATGATAACCTAGGAGACTTTCGCCGAAAATTCAATCTGTCCGGTATTATCTATCCCGTAACACCGAACGATTTTCAATAGTCCTCTATTATAAAGCGATCGTTTCGAGCACGATTTTTCCAGGGGATCAGAGTGGGACGGGAAAAACCGCTTTGAACCGGAGGCGTCATTTAACGGGTTTTAGGTATTCTTTGGCAGTTCTATATTTTGAAATGGTTTGTTGTTTTTTTTTTCTGGCTCGCGTAAAATGTTATAGTTGCGCCGTTGACAACAGAATGGAAAACGCAAAAAGTAATCGCTGCAATTGTTAACGGCCGCGTCTACAGTGGTCCGACCGTTTGAGACGTTGGGTGAGTGAAACATGGAGGGATTTTCACCGCGATTAATTGGCAACTGTCAATTGTTATCACGGCTCTATATAAATAGTATTGTTGGCAAGATGATAGCGTGCGCGGAAACTGACGTCGCGTAGAGTCAATCGTGGTATAATGGCAGTTAATGTGTTTCACGAAAAATTAAACTATGGCCATACATAGTTTAGTAACGTCACCGTAATGTCGACAAATATTGTATTTTAATATTAAAATGCAACGCAGGAATTCGAATAAAAACGAGCGAATGGAACGGGCAATTTTCTCAAAAAATCGTCCCGATTCAAATCCGGTTCGCATCCCTATTGCAAAACTGAAGTGACGCCCCCGCCCTTAAACCGGTTCGACGGGTTTCCGGTCATCCGCGTTACGTCCCGTGGCGGCGGTAGGACGGACCTCGGAGATAAACCGTAAACGAACAATACTTTTCAAACAATGTTTTCCCTACGGGACGGCATTCGATTATTACGGGAGGAGCCGACACGGAGACTCGCGCGCGACTGCGGGTCGTAGCCGCGCGTATTACGGCAAGCCGTCGTCGTCGCGCGTGTACCATAAACGCGGTCCAAGGGTTAACCGTGTTTGTTGTTCCGTCCGTCTCTCTCGCGCGCGCACGCGCGCACACGCACTATCACCGGTTTTCGCTCCCTCTCCTCTCTTATCACTCGCTCGTTCTCTCTCGCGCGCACACGACTGTGCGTGTCCCCCGGACTCGTCGCGCGCGCTCGTTCCAAACTCATTCACTCGGCGGTTCGGCCGCCCCCTCCGCCGCGACGCGACTCGCCAAATGGTAACGCCGCAGCCGCCGCGCGCTTGTACATGTGTGCGCGACTACTAGCGAGCAGCCTCTGGTTTTATTATTATTATTATTTTTTTTTTTTCATTATTATTTTTTATTATTACTATTATTTTTTTTTCTCGTCGTAGTCGGGCGGGAGCCGCGCGTACAGCGTACCCGTAATATTACGACGAGAGTACGACGACGACCGCGATCGCGACGACTACGACGACGACGACGACGACGACGACGACGCCGCCGCGACTAGACGCGCGCAAACAGTCCGCAAATGTGCGTGTTTACCGTACGCCGTGCAGCGGTTTCGTGCGTTTACGAGTTCGGGGTTTTCTTTAAGTTTTTTTCTCGCATTCATTCGTTATTATTTTCATTTATTTTTTTTTTTCCCCCCGTCCATAATTAATCCGTAACGCCGGTGCTGTGCGCTATCGGTGCAGTGTTCGGTACAATGTGCGCGTTCGCAGTGCGTTTGTCCGCCGCGTCGTCCGGTTAGACGATCAGTAACTTTGTGGGACGTTTTTTTTTTTTATTCCGCGAAAAAAAAAATACCAGATTAATAAAAGTCCCGAAGGAAATATCGTACAGAATTTCGGATTTTTTTTTCCGCGAGTGTCGAGCGATCGTCGAAAATCGTCCTGCGGGGTAAAAACTGTCCATCGCCGTCCTGGACGAAAATACAAAAGAAAAATATATACTTAAAATAAAAAAAAAAATGTAAACTCGTACACAGGTAATTTTTTTAATTAAATTTTTTTTTCCGTATTTACGACTTTGAATTTTTCAATCATTCCTACCCGGATAAATATCTATTGTATCATTTTTTAAATTTCTTAATGTTAAATAACCCCTACACATGTCTATATCTACTATTTTGTGTTTTACCGATGAGGTCGTAAAAATCAAACTTACCTATATAACCTTTGGTCTCAGGAAATAACGCCTAAATCAAGAAGAGCTAAAGCAGTGGCGTATTTATGACTTAACCCCAGAAGGGCGATATTAAGGGAGAACAATCCTCTTAATAAAAAAAAAACAACTTTGACATTTGATAGAAGCTGTGTAAAAGCGATATAGCTATTAATTACAAAACAATATCTATATTTCTTTTTTTGATTTTTGAAAATCCATCAATGATATCATCAACAATTAATGCAACTGTTTTATGAATTTATTATAAGTTATGCCAAACCCGTTAAGCGATCCTAGCCCATTTTTGATCTCAGCTAAATTCTTAACCTATAAACAAAATAGTAAAAGTAACAGACATCATGTCTAATAAAGAATTAAAATAATAAGAAAGTATGAAGTCAAAAAGTGCAAGTTGGGCGAGTATAGTGACCAAAATACAAAAAGGAGAAAATGTAACCGTTATTACTTAAAACTAAATTAAGAACGTATGAAATTCCGAATAAAAACTACATTCCGAATAAAAAAAAAACAGATTTGTTTCAATGTTTTCAATAAGACGTCACAAAATATATTTAAATATTATTAACTACCTGCCTTTCACATACGCTCAATTATTCAAACCTTCTAAGCGTGGAGAATCTGAAAAATGCAGGTGATATCACCCGTGAACCGTGAATCCGTGATCATAATGTTATCTGTTTTCAACACGAAAATATCTTCAAAAAACCGTAACGAAAATTTCTTATGAAAAATAAAAAAATAAATTTATTTATTGATTAAATTAAGAAACACTTATAAGTTCAAAAATTATATAAGATATGATTTGAAAATACATCCCTCCTCAAAAAAGCTACTTAGCTAAAGTCTAAGTTTGGCATTTTTTTTTTTTTTTTTTAAATAATTCAGCCTAATGTCGCTCTTTATTTTTCGGTCTGAGTATAAATTAAAATATTTCAAGTCGGAATATAACACATCGCACAAGTCTTATTTATTATAAACGGTTTAGACATTTAGAAATATTACGCCGTTAAGCAGTTCTCCACATTTGATTAGCTTGTGTTGATAATAACAAAGGCCTAGCTAGACATTTTTTCCTGGATAGATCAAATGAAATCATATACAAATTTTAATAGGGAAGACCATAATGATACACATTTTTGATTTTAAAATTGTGATTATTTTTTGGAGAAAAGTTAGTAGGTCCGGATCTACCAGAATTACCCGCTGCAGGCTACGCCACTGGTTGATAACCGCACAACATTTTAAGCCCTTTTTTTCGCGAGACAAATTATACACAACTATATAGCGCGAGCAAACGTGCGAAGAAACACGATCGATAATGTAAAATCGTTTGTAAATATTAAACGTATAGACGTATTAATGTAAATATTTAACGTACCTTAAAAAAAGATTTTTTTTTCTCGCTCTAATATTTGTCCTAAAAAATAAAATTAAAAAAAAAAACCTCGATTTTATTTACTCAGCTATTATTTTACCTATACGCGCGTTTTCGAATGCAAATTCGATTAATTACGATTCAAATGTAAATCACTCCTACGCGTATAAATAAAATTGCGTAAACGACAATAATTGTTATACATGATGTATCGATGAAATGGTTATTATAGAAATATGTGAAAAGTTCGCGTCCTAAAAAAATATACGTTCCGATAGTATATGTACGTACTCACATTTTTATTAATTTTTTTTTTCTAGTACCTATATTACGTGTTAAAAAAAAAAAAAAAATGAAATAAAACTCGCGGCGGCGTTTCTTCTTTGATTCGATTAAAACGCTAGACCCGTAACGCGGTAATATAGGTAATTACGTCCTCAGGAGATAATCCGCAGTGCGTGCGAGATCGTAGAGAAAATATTAATAAAAAAAAAATTGTCAAAAACCAGCGGTGCGCCACAGTTTCGCACGTGCTTATATTATGCGCTCGCACGTTAAATTAATAGAATTACTGCCTCGTACTCGAGTGATGTATTTTTTATTAACACTCGTTATTTCGCGTATTCATCCCGTTTTTTACGCGTAAACTGACCGCGTTACGTATAATAACGTTTCGCGCGCCTTCCAAAATACGTTATATGTACCCGCGCAATACGTATGCGCGTACGGACGGAGATAAAGAGACGTTAGTTGTTCAAATGTTTCAGTTTTTTTTTCGTCCACTCTACACATTCGCGTTTGTACAATGTGTATATATTTTTTTAACACGTTCACGACCGAGTCGAGTATTATTTGTCGTGTGCCGCGCCGCGTGTTTCGTGTCAAAAACATTAAAAAAAAAAAAAATGTAAAAAAAAAAAACGTTTTCGTCCGCGTGAAATATTACCATAATATTATAGTCTGTTGCGCCGTCGGCGTTGTCGTACGTTTTTTCGCCGTTTTCAGTTCAAAAGTGGAAACGCGTGTTGTTTAGGTGTTTATAGGCACTGCAAAACGAAACTCAACAGGTCGGCGCGATACCAATAAAACGGCGTCGACGTCACACTCCGCGGTGCACGTGCGGTTATTTCCGACGGTGCGTTAACATTTTTTTTTTTTTTTTTTTTTCCCGTTTCATTGTCGTCACATTTTTTTTTCCATCTATCACTCGGGCGCAGCAATTTGTTTTGTTTTGTTTTGTTTTTTTTTTTTTCGGTAACGAATCGTTTTGTTTTCAATATTTCTTCGAGATATTTTTGGGCGCGTATAATAGTCGCTAGTGAAGTACGCGATTCTGTATGTACGTTAACTAACCGTCCATAATTGCAGCCAACCACCGTATATTATTATTGAAATCGCAGGAATGACCCGAACTAAACAATATTATCATCTCGATTATTGTAGTACAATGTTATCTCTGGTGCGGACGTGACGGATAACGTTCGAGCGTGCGCAAAGTTCGTCGGGCTGTTGCAGTGTCTGTCCCCGCGTTTAAATCCTATCGGTTCAAGAGGGTAGAAGGGTTAATTTTTGGCGCATTTCCTATATAAAAACACATTTTCGCGACCCAAAAAAATGCAACCGCTGCAACGATAGTTGCTATAACAATACCATAACAAATTCCCGTTGTGAAGCGATGCGTGCAAGAAACTAAGCACCAATAGTTTCCCCAGCAAAGTATTATTTTGCGAGATGAAAACTATCGGAGTGACATGTTCACAAATGACACATTCGAACATTTCCAAAATTACACATCGTTCTTTTCGTATTATAAACTTACAAATACTTGTTGATATATAAATTGATAAACTTAAAGATCGGGCCCATATGATGGGTAATTTGCTTTATGATCTGCTACAAGACACATCAACGATCTTATGTTTTTCCTAAAAGAGAGACATTTTTTTTTTACATAATTCCATCTAATTGTAATTTATTTAGTCTAAATCGTACGAGTGCTGGGTGGTAAAATGTTTTAAACATTCAACAATTAAATTCAAATTGAATAACTAATTATTTTTTTTATATTCTGAACAGCAAACATATTTATAATATAGGTCCTATTCATTTTTAAAATATAAATGAAAATAAACAGTTCCCAGAGACTTGTGGATAAAGAAGCATCATTGATTTTGATCTTAAATAATAATTATAATGAAAATGAATTATTACGATATATTATTGACAAATCATAAGATTTAAAACAAAAGATCCGTATTAACAAAATTAGTGTATGTATAGTATAGTGTATTGGTTTATGTACAAGTTTATACATTTTCAACATTTAATATTTAATGTGGTTATTATCGTCGCGGTGACGACAATTGTACGGAAATAAAAAACATATGGACTAATGCAAATTTTTTTTTAAGGTGGAATTTTCAAATTTACAACGCATACCTGAATTCTAAAAATAAAAAATTATCTGTTTTTTAAAATATTTTCGTGCTCGTAGTAAATTTTATTATAGATACGCCGATAGAATAAACTTATGCGAAGTGACTTTGCGCAATCTAATCGAATTAAAATCCCGAAGTTATAAATATTATGTTCTGATGTAATTTATCGGTTTAAACCGTTAGTCATGTCGTCCGTTTAATCAGACGATTTCGACCATTATTGCTAATAAAGTAACAAACAATCGTGTACTCCTTCTCTTAAACGATAACACAAAATCGATTTGGGTGTGCGGATCGGTTGTCCAATATTATATTGACGATGCTTATACCTAATTGGAAATTCGGCGATAATTATTATTAAACCGACGCGGAACAACTGAGACGAGTCTGTGTCCTAACATAACCCGTGTATATAGGTATGACGTTGATTGCTGTGCATTTGATTAATTGAGCGAAGATTGGGCAATTTATATTGGTTTTGTAGCGTTGACCTCATAATAGCAAAACTATAAAAAAAAAACCACTATAATTATGTATGAAAATATTAGTGTTGGTTTTAAAAAGTGATAAAAAAAAGCGCGACCGTTGTGATGTCGGAATTTCGCATTGTCATGATTGTTTTATGATTTTTTTTGCTGTTATAGGAAAATTTCAAAATTCGTTTCACCTAACATAATTCACCACTTCAAAAGCGAAACGTTATTTTGGAATTTTAATTTTAAATCGTGTAGGTTTTTTTTCAGAGTATTTTTGGTTATTGTTAGAGCGTTTGTCGGTGCATCCGTGTCCTATAGTTATAAAATTATAATGTATATATTACATTCCATAGATGAATGTGTGTCCAATTTATGAAATTGCCAATTTTTAGCTCATCCCGTGAAATGACCAAGCGAATCGCTTAATCCATAGAATGGGCAAAAAGTTGCCCATGCCATGTATCGGACTTCAAAAATGCTGTTCATTTTATGAACTGGCAACTAAAAAAGTTTTAAACTGGCCATATTTTATGAATAATCAAAACATGCTAATTCCATGTACGAAATTTTTCTTAGGAATTTCGCTGCAACAAAAACATGACGAGAATAACAACATGACCTATTAGAAAGGTCATTTTTTGAAATTATTATTAATATTCGAAATAATCAGGAAACGCTGGGTTTTTGGTTAAAAATATTAAAAATTAAGTCTTCATTGGCAATCATTTTTACGTGAATATTTTTTATTGTTATTGAGTTTTTATTTTTTTTAATCTTTTTATCGTTTTAAAACAATCGTTAATTTCATGGAAATACGCTTTGTTGAAAAAGCAATAATGTTGACTCCGCTCAGAATAGTTTTTCGATGATTCATTTTTGCGTATAGATAGAAATTAAATTTCCATCTATATACTGTCTTCCCAACTTCTGACTTACAACAGTGGTACCACTCGTGGTGCGAAGTCTATCCGTTCGTTTTTTTTTTTTTTTTTTAATATTTGTAGGTATATTACTAGTATTGCCCGTTTCACGAATTGGTCAAGTTCGCCTCTGAAGTATACGCGACACACGACGATTTGTACCTTTTTTTCAACTATAAACACGAGTCGTGTCAAACCGTTGTCAGTAGGCATGTATGGTATCGAACACGGAGAATCGCGTCTATTTTCGACATCGTCAATCACTGTGTGTCCGTTTTAACAGACGAAAGTGTACACAAGTGAATAGTGATACTGTTGTTACATTATAATCCACGCGAACGGAGGCGGACGACGGACGCGAGAAGGATCAGAGATTATATTGTTTTGCGAACGCATGTCGAACCCGCAGAGTCGAACGATAAAATCTTTTTATAATATGTTATATAGCAACCGAGTTCTCACGATTTATACCTTTTTACCGGGCGGACGGGAAGTTTATGCGTGCGCGCTGTGTATAAGTATAAGAATAATATAACATAATATTATAATATAGGAGAAGGTTTTTCGCTATAACGCTTATAGCTAGGTATAGGTACGCGTTGAGTCGATGACAGCATCCAGTGTGCTCTGTCCGACGAAAAAAAATATTATTACGTTTCAAACGATTTGATTTTTTTTTTGTAGTGTTTACAATGTACGTTTAGATTTATAGTGCGGACGAGATATTATGTTCATCGTGTGTACAGTAGTGTACTCTGCACCGCCACCGTCGTCATAATAACCGATTCCCTACAACAATCACGAAAATATGTTGAGGAGAGGGAACAAATACACGCAACTAGGTCATGATACGATGCCATGTGCAGTAAACAGGCATTTTAATTTACACCAAATTTTGCCAACGGTCAGACGGAAGTACGATAATATTCTTTCGAAATAGAACATTTATTACGGCTACGGTTTACATCTCGAAACGGCGATGATGGTTTCCCGGTTCTTTTGACTATGATTTTTTGCCGTTTAGGCCTGCAGAAAGACCTTTGTCATATCCGTAGTTAACATCGTATCGCTATGCTCATCGCTTAGCACACAGCGGACGAGCGCAGTCGATTTCGGGCTGGAACGTGGGCAAGGTACGATTTATGCAATTTAGATAGTACGTACAATCGTACTGTAAGCTCGTCTTTATTCGTGTAATCGAACGAAATCGGAAATCAATAAACGAAAATGACGCCCCCCTTTGGCCGTGGTTTGAAATACGCTAGAAAAACTATTCGGTGTTCCGGGTCGTTCGGGAAACGTTCCGGAGCCGGTCTGTTCTGGGCGGAAAATCCGCACTGTCTTCCATAAAATATACGGTGCAGTTTTGTAGTTGTATATATATATATACGTATGTAAGTAACCTAAAAGCCGTTTTCCCGTGCACTAGAAATATTTCAAAAAACAAACAACATACTACACTATTACTTAATGGACGTCTAGAACCCCGACCTCTTCGCAGAGTACACGCCATTATTGTATATTATATTATGGAGTTGTAACGGTTGAAACGACGACGACGATAATAATAACAACACTGCCGAAAGTGTATCGTATACATACATATATACGTACATATACAGGGTGATTATTTTTTATCGCGGACCAGCGGTTATTCTCGTTCGGCGTAACCGCATTTCCGGTATTATTGTGCGTGTGCATTTTTTCCCGGTCGCCAAGAATGTTCGACAACAGTTGTACCGAGAATCGCCAGTTTTCGCGGTTTGTCGTAGAAAACTACGAGGAATATTGGAAACGAAAAAAACCGCCTACTCGATGCGTCCGCTGGACGGAAAAGCGCCGCGATAGGGTTCCCGGAACGACGTGTGTCCGGCGGAAGCGTTTGTCGTAAGACAAAAGGAACAAAAAAAAAACCCGCGCACATGGTCGTACGGTAGTATGAAACCGATACGCGCTCATTCGGCCGGGTACCAAACAATAACCGCGCCGCTGGCCGGTGATACGAGAGAAACAAAAACGCTCGCCCTGTAAACCAGTGTGCGGTGCGCGAGCACGCGTTTTGAGTGCCTAACCTAACGGCTCGGTACACTCGGGACACATTCGCGCGCAACATAACACAAATGAAATATATTTATACACGCGTATTATTATTATTATTATTATTATTACGATATTGCGCAATGTAGATCACACGGTCATTTATGACGCGCGCGGCGGCGGACCCATTTATTATAATAAATTGCGTTTTATTAAACGCCGCGGCGCGCGCCGCGTAGACGCGGATTAAAAAAAAAAACGAAATACGAAAGTCACGTCGTATTTATCAAAATGTCAATTACACACACACACGCACACACACACGCGCACACGGTCCGACTCGTGGCCGCGGCCCGTGCACAGCCGTGAAGCGAATACCGAAGAATACGATAATATTATTATTGTCGTAATGTCCGCGGTTCGCTCCACCTTCTCCATCACTCCCCCGGAATACTCGTCGGGCGGATTTCTACCGATCGCTGCTCATACCGTGCAGGGCGCTCCGCCGCGATGTTATAAGTTAAACGGCACGTTTCGGTGTCGGCGTTTTGTCCCTCGGACCCGTCGACACTAAATGTTTGTGAAAAAAAAAAAAAATTGAAAAATCTTTAAGGGGTGAGGGTTTGGGAAACGTGCGTCCCGTCGACGAGATATTCCGCGTTTCAGTTCGGGTACGGACAGAGAACAGCCGAGCCCACCGCGCTGCCCCGAAAATGACAACCTTACCTCGCTCTAATTTAACGCGAAAGTGGAATATCTCGCAAACGGGCCGACGGAAATCAAATACGTCGACGCCAAAATGCATTTCATCTCACGTTCCGTCTATGTTCGGAGTTTTCAATACAGGTCGCCGTTTTTTTTCAAAAAAAAAAAAAACGATGGCAATTGAAAATTGTATACTTTCGATATATCACAATGGGTATATATTCGCGGGACACCGTGTACATATATTCATTATAAATATTGTAACAATATCGTATTACGCACGTCGATTCGTGTGCCTGTTTTGTCTTTGTCTATAAGTTACTTGCCTATTATATACCGGCCATCGTGGTCGTCGGTAGCGATACGTTGACTTAGTTTTCGTTTTGTTCTTCTCACGCCTGCCGCCGCTGTGGCGAACGCGAAAGTCTCCGGTGACCTCTTGGTCATCGCATCGTCACAAGTCACACGGGACTACGGCGTTCCCCTCGCGCAGAGGCGTCACGAAATATCCGATTCAAACACCGGAGTTTGGCAGCCGTCGTCGCCGTCCGCGTTGTTTTCGCCGTATAATCGGCTTTTATTTTAAACACTACTCTACGGCGTGTATCACAATATTAGTTTGAAATTTTAATCGCTCGATATTCGAAAGTTATCGCTAATATAGTCGCCCGGGCCCGCGTCGGTTCCGACCCGAGAAGGTTAAGTGTCATGCGCAATTACAATATAACCGTGTATCCTATTATAAGATTACAACACTCCTCGATATCTCGAATTTTGACCGAATCCAGTCGACGGCGCTTTGTTATTTGAAATTTCGATTGGAATTGTTCATTGGAAAAAAATTGCATCGTATTTCCCAAGAAGACGGATACACAGACACGAAAATCATAAAAAATAATACCAGTAGTCTAAAACTGCTGCTGTATCTCGGTGTTTTTCGACTCTCACGAGTTTAAACCAGTTCTATGGCTCTCCTGTAAAGTTGAGAAAAACACGATTTCGGGCGTTGAGTCTTACATAGAAGATTTATTTATTAGGTACGTTAACATTTCAAACTATAAATTCGACGAGAAATGTACTTTGAATGTATCAAACTTTTCAAACTTATTAGATTTATAATGCTCAGTTTAATGAATATTTGTGTTTATATGACATATATTTCCGCGTGTTTTTCACTTCCATAAGCACAAAATATTTAAAACTCGTTTACTTGCAACAAGTATGTTATCAAGTGACGAATATAACTCTTTATTCTCGCTTTTTTCTTTTCAAATATGGTTTATTTTAATGTTTAGCGAATAAGCTTTAAGTTTTATTAAAATGTGTGTGTTTGTATGTAGCATTTTTTTTCTCTCGAAAAAAACTTTTTCCTTAAGAATTAAAACTATACGATTTTTCGCGCAGTACCTCGAAAGGCTTGAAAGATAACGATATTTTTCCAGGTCGTATACTTTATTTGAAAAATGTTTCAATTTAATGCCGACAGTTTTCCTAAAACATAAAAAACTAACAGAAAATCGTTTTCGTTGATTTTACGGTCGGTTATCTACTTGGCTATACGAGCAAGTAAGAAAACTCGAATAATTTACCTTAAACTTAGCAGTTTATCGAGCTCCTCTCAGAATCGTTTTTTGAATGCTGAAATGTATCGTCGCTTTCTACAGCGCATGCACGAAATTAGCTTAAATACACCTTCCCGACTTTCGGCCTACAACCAGATGGCACACCCATCGACAGTATCAGAAGTTTTGTTGTTTTTTTTTTCTCGACGGCACATTGATCCTATATAATTTGTGTGTTCTGCACCACCCTGCGTATTATCTGGAACGGGATCATTACATTTTTACCAGACTGTTATTTATTTAACGGTCCAAAAAAAAAAAAAAAAATATATACATATAAGTATCAAATATGCGAATAATAATAATTGTATGGACGACCACAAGCCTATAGTTATAGTAAACTACGTTATAAACTTATAATATTGCAAATGGGATTATAATAAAATCGCGCGTGCAAAAAAAAAAAAAAAAATCGCAGCATAACCGAAAAAACCCTATAATTATCATTTCGCGTATATCATACACGCGTGCACTTATCTACCATATTATTTGTTATTAGGTTTTTATTTTTTTTTCCAGCCAACCGACCCACCTGTATAATCCGCGTGCACACTAAGTATAAGGTATAGTTAGGTTAGGTTAGGTTAGGCGGAGCGGCGGTTTGCAGTGGCCGCCGTGCAGCGCGTTTCGATTCGTCCAATTTATTTCAATTATATTTTCGCGCGATTATTTCAATTAAACGATGGGTCCAATTACACCGCGCCGTCGTCGAACCGTTCGAAATAACATCGGACGGTCGTTGGAAGAGAGTGAAAAATAAATAAAGTGTACTTCATATTTTCTCCGGGTTCGCTTGAAAAAACCGTACGGATGCAACGATTATATAATGTTATAAACACGAGGATTTTTCGTCCATTTTTTTTTTTTTTCAATACCCGACCGAACACAAATACATCGTATCTCTTTTTATTATTATTATTTTTTGTTTTTTTTTTTTTCAAAACGTCAACGTCCGCGTTATGGCAGTTGCGTGTGCTCGACTAATTTAGCCGAGCGGCTCCACCATATATTTACGCGTATTCCGTAACCATGGCTGCGGCCGGTCGTCATACACACTTTGTGCAATATAATGTTATACGAACAGGCCTACTGTCGATGGGGGGCAAGAGGGGGATGGGGAGGGGGAGGGAGGATGCTTGTTTGAAAATAAAAAAAAAAACGTACGGTTGTTACTACTCATAATAATATCGACAGTCACACCGTAGTAATAATATTTAGGTAGGTATACAAAACGCATTCTGAACGCGGCAGAAAATCCGTGCGCGCGCGACTCAATGAACTCGTTATTGTTGTTATTATTTTCTATTTTTTTTTTTCTTCCACTACCGCCAGAGAAAGGTATATCATTTTCTCGTTTCTGTGCGTCTGTAGTTGGCGTTATTTTATTTTTTTTTCAAAAGTGGTTTTCACAGCTTCCATTCAGAGAGCCTAAAAAAAAAAAAAACACAGTGTCGAACGTTCCGACTATAGGTATATTCCTGTAACACCGTTCCACATATGTATAATGTGTTATTATTTTTTATCGCCGCCTTGTAATTACCCGCACATGATAGTATTTTTATTTAATTTTTTTTTTTTTTTCGTGCGCGTTTCGTCGCGTCTCGCACGTACAGATGGACACCGCGCGCGGCGTGCAACCATTCGCACAGCTACGCTAGAGATTTTCGCGAAAATTAAATCTTTTTTAAATAATTCACTGCCGCGGTATAGCTGCACAATAATTGGTACCCGCGCCCGTTATTACACTTATTCGTAGGTATGTATTACTAGGTACTTACTGATTGACACGCTACACCATGTACTTTCAATATCCGTACAATGATGGTATAGGTACCTACCTAATAATAATATTATCACCTCTGCACGGTATGTTATTAAAATGCACGGGGACCGGATTTCAACGCGGCAGAGTGTATATTTTTACGTTCTGACCGGAGCGAGACGCGTAAGTATTGGTTTTACTACCTGTTACGACGTGTGCTTCTCCTCCGTCCCCCGTGTGCGGGCGGTTTTTACACCGAAAATCTTGTTCCAACGGTCGTACTTTAGCGGTGCCACCCGATAGCGGATTTCGGTTTCTGCAGTCGGTTAGGGAGGTCGGTTTTTGATTTTCTCGGCAATTCAGTAGAACGGTTTAAATGTCCCCCGTCTAGCTTACAAAAAAATACAATTTTCGAACGCGACACAAATGATTAACAAAAAGTTGTTTTGTTTGAACACAATCACACGTGTCATAAAAATAATAACTTTGAGTTAATGATTTGTGCAGCGTTAGATAGTTGTATTCAATAAGTTAGAGGAGGAATATTAAATACTTTTCTAACTTATTTTAAAAAAATTTTTCTAGTGCTTTTTTCAGAGGTTTCTTGACGTTTTTCAATGTTTGTTTTACGGAATGTTTATAACGAGTCCCGTGCCCTAAATTTATTATGTTTTTTCACATTTTTCGGTATTATTTTTTAGACGGTCTTTTTTTTACGGTGAATTTTCGATAATTTGTAGGTAAGTTTTTATCGTCGGTTCCCGTTCAAACCGAACCGTTCGACATCATAGAATTGAAAATAAATAATATAACAAAACAATCGTACACGGAAAATGGTCGTCCGACCCGTCGTCGTTTTATCGAAATAAAAAACGACGCTTAAGCCGCTTAAGGGTACGACGTGCGAACGGCTCGCGTATATATATAAAAAAAAAAACATTATAAACCGTACTCGCGTTACAATAATATATTTTTCGAAAATAATCATCACTCGTTAACGCCGTTATGTTTCGCGTGCAACTCGCCTGCCACAACACAACGTTAAAATAATAACAATATACCTAAATTAAAAAATAATAATACGCGCTCGCGGTTTTCCGTTCTATCGCGTATATACCGGATATGGAAAACACGGGGCCCCGCCGCAGTATTTTATAACAGCGCGCTCACAATTAAAATCTAAAAATTATTATAACACGGTTTTTATCATCATTATTATTATTATTCTGTTGAACGACCGTGTACGCCGCTCGCCGAGTGTTGTTATTACACTATTGGCGTGTAACTGTAAAATTTCAACTCGCGAATTTGACGCCGTCGTAAATTGTAATTATAATATTATTTTCGATGGGAACGAATATTTATATCGCGTACGGGTATGTGCGCGCACGCGTACGGCGAATACGTTTTCACCGTAACTTGTCGTCGTTTTTCAAACTCGGAATTGCGCGCGAAACGCATATTTGATTAATATTACGGGTGCAACAGTACTGGCACCATGCTGCAGCGTGTAATCGTTGGCCGGAAACGATCTATAACCCTGAAAATAAAAAATAGCCGAATATTTGAGCATTAAAATGTTCGAGTTGTAATTGTAACAGACGAATTAAAAAAAAAAAAAAAAATTAAGTTTCGGTACTTGGGGGAACGAGGATTATCACTCTCCCGAAGTGGATACGAAAAATAGCACTAGATGATAGCATGCGCGGTGTAAAAAGGAATAATGTAATAGTCATCAAATTGATGAATAATTCAAAAATGCAAAACAAATAATATCAAACATTTAAATATCCTTAATATCATTAAAGAAAAAAAAAAAAAAAGTTGTAACCGCTCACGCATAAAATTAATTTAATTAGCTAAATAAGTGTAAAACAAAGTTTGTTAGGCACCCAAAATAAACAGAATTCAAATATATGTATAAAGTGCTTCCGACTAACGATTGCACACTGTATACGTGTGTCAATACATTATTTGAAACTGATGCAGGAATAATTGTAACGGATACGTATAGTTTTTGATGTCGCTTCGTATCTCGGTGCAATGCCGTTTTACGCCGTCGTTATCGCGACTTATTCTTATATTCACAGGGCGATTTTTATTTATTTTTTTGAACATTATACGAACCGCAGTGGTTTCCAATGTTTAAATTATATCTGTTAGCTATTACAGGGTTAGGGGACGCATTGTGTTAACAGCAATTGGTTTCAACAAAACAACCGGCTAAAAATAAAGAAAACTCCATTATAAGCCCTTTGAGTACGGAAATATTTCACTTGAAAATAAAGTTAATAAAGCAGAAAAAACTAGTAAAAGACATTTTTTTCAGACACTGAGTGTAGCGAAGAATGCATTGGTTTTACAATAAGATGTCTATTTTTTTTATTTTTATTTTTCATACATATGAACACTCTTTCTACCGAAAAGCTTACTCTTATTTACTGGTGTAGCGCTTTTTCTGAAAGGAAATCTGACGCGTGGAGGGGGGGGGCGGAGAAATTCGGGAAAAAGCGGGAACATACGTAGGAAAAACGGAAAATAGATACGACATTGAAAACGAATATTGTTTAGGAAAATATATCGTTTTATAACCGTTTTACCGTACCGCAACGTGACATAAATGTCGTTCGCAAAGCGTTTGGAACGGTTAATCGTCGCGTACAGACGTACCACAGAATTTCCCTGTCTACTACCCTCCCGACGACTCGTCAACGACGGTGCGCCGTGCGAAACGTGTCCGTATATATTTAGACTCGCGGTTTTACCAGGTCGACAACCGACGGCGACGAGACAACCGCCCCGTACCGTTTATGTTTTCGCTAGCTCCGTGTCGACACGTTGACGGCACGTCGTACGCGCTGGAGATACGAACGTAACATGTACACGCGAATATACGATCTCGATTGTTACTCTGCGGCGGCGGCGGCCTGTCGACTCGGGCCCGTAAATACCCGTACATAATAATTCCGAACGCGGACTCCGCGGCGCGCGTTGGCCGACAGCCGGGCGGCCGTTTTGTCGACGCGACCGGCGGCCGTATACGGCAACGTCCCCGCGCCGCGCGTAACACGTCGGTAATCGGTCGGTTATCGCGCGGTCGATCGGGCGGCGCAACAGTTTTCCCGTGTCGCGGGAATCGCCCGTCGGCCGGACAGCCGGGCGGACGCGGCGCACGTCCCCGCGGGTCTGGGCCGTCGCCGGGACGCGCCGCGCCCGTTACGGTTTTACGCGCCGAAAACCGCGCCGCGCGACGATAACGACACTATCGCTGTCGCACCGTGAACCGGAGGGACGGTCGCGAACGCGCGTCGAACGTTTCCATTTGTTTATGTTGGTTTTTTTTTTTTTTTTCTGTCGCGTAAAACGCGTTCTCTTTTTTTTTCTCTCCGATACGCATCATCGTAATATTATTGTCGTCGCCGTTTCGCCCGGACACTCGGTCGTCCGTCGTACCTACTGACGTCGTCGCAGCGGTACGGCAGACGTTTTTTCACCCCGCCTTTACAGTCCCGCGCGTCCGAGCACGTACAACACCTATTTCGCGCGTTGCATTATTGTCGCGCGTACGGGCGTTTTCCGTTCGTTTTAAACGACGCACTGCTCGCACCGTAACGCTGCCCGTCCCCGCCGCAGCGGCGGGAACGAATGCGATAATATTTACGTAATATTTTTCGGTCGGCGGCGGCGAGAAAAAAGTCTTGTCGCCGACGGCTTATCAAACCATCGACGTTATTGCGTTTTCCATAACGGCGGCAATCGGTACGCGACCGTCTCGCGGCGGTTTTTACGCGCGTGTCGCGTGGCCGCGGATTTACGGATTTCGAGGCCGGGCGCTTTGCGTAGCCGAAGCCTTTGAATGGCCCGGGGAAAATGAAACGTCCGCCGAACGATCGTTATCCGAGAAACTCGACGAATACCGTGCAAAACGTTTCAAACGATTCCGGCGATTTTCTAATTTGGTAACGATTTATCAACGGTAAAATCGTACGGACACAAATCGAATTACTCTATGCGTTCTACCGACTGGACATTTTAGTTTTTATGCTTTAAAAATTTAAAAAAATTACACGTTTTGTAGTCATTTTTTTTATCTTTTTTTTTTTTTTTTTTTAGAAACATTGACGTGTCGCAATATTATAAGACGTATCGTCTATACACATATGTATACACGAGTGTATACCTACTCGGTATAATAATACCGATAAACGAGCCTATAGAACAACAGCACGTACCTATAATAATAACTCACCTACGTCATTGACGAAAAGTACCTATATATACGATATACTATCGTGTGTTTTGCGCCTATAAATTCGTATTCGAGAACGATAATTAGTACGGCATTATTTATTTATTATTGTTTTTTTTTTTGATATTACCCATTATACGTTTGTCCTTTGTCCGTTCGGCTGTTATAATAGCCGGCAATGATAATAACAATAATAATAATAATAATAATAATAATAATAATAATAATATGCGCGCGATCGTCTCTCCGAACTGCGCGCGTGTTATTTTGTCGACCATCGCCGTATATTTACGGTCGTGTAAGTCGTATAGATTTTTTTTTCGTTTTTAACGCGCCCGCGACGGACTACGACGTAACACAACGTTCGTTCGTCGTTTTTTTTTTTTTTTTTTTTCCTCTCCGTTTTGTTCCGTCGTCATCTGCCCGCAAACGGCGAACGCGCACGCATGGTGGGTCGGACCCGATTCGATATTATATATTATTACAATATATATGTGTGTATGTGTGTGTGTGTGTGTGTGTGTATAATATAATATAAAGGTAACTGTGGGTACCGTTTTTTAAGTGCGCTGACGCAATGCGAAATGCAAATATCGGAGCGGCACGACCACGTCGTCGTCGGGCGTATATTGTTGTATTTTATTATATTATTATAACGTTGTGTGTATGTGTGTGTTTGCTAGCCGACTCTGCGACCGATAAGCATCCGTTTTCAATAAAGAAAAGGCGCAGAGAGAGAGAGAGTGAAAAAAAAAAAGAAGAAAAACAACGCGACTTCGGTATACTTCTATATACAAAAAAAAAAAAAATACAAGACGATAAAGTTTCATTAACGGGCGGTTTTTGCGGCGCGTGCGCCAGCTGTGCCAAGACTCTCGTCGTACGTGGCGGTCGTTTCCCTCCCCCTCCCTCCCTCGTCCGTTCGTTCGGTTTCGATTCCGTTTTGCCGCTCGGAAACCGCCGCGGTCGTCCGGTCACCAATGTTTAACCGTCGTGTTATCGTCAATGTCCCGCGGATAGGTGTTTAAATTTCGACCGGTGACGCGTGCATACGATTTCCGATCGCACCTTCTACCCGTGCATCATAATATACGCATGGTGCACAATGACCATTCGTCTGACGGAGGCTCTGGCCTAGGACGCCGTTGAATGCGGGAGGGGGCGCGCCAAAACGATTTTATTTTGTTTGTATTTTCCTTCGAAAACTTGTACCGCCGACCTATTTCGGGAGAGTATGCGAGAATTTATAGGGAGAGGGACCGAAGATTTGACGGGTCGCAAAATAAAAAAAAACAAAAAAAAAACGAAAAAGTCATAGCCAAATCAACCTCCCCTCTCCGGCCTACTGGCAGCAAATCGCGATATCACGTTTTCCGTATGGCCGAACAATTTCAGTATTACGTTTAGGGGAAAAAGCAACATACAATCAAATATGTTTTAAGATTTCCAGTCAAATAAATTAAAATGTCTATTTCCACCATGTCTATTAGCAGGCACGTATAATTAGCCTAGCGAATAGATGTATCGTTTCAAAAATATTGCGATCCGTCGCATGCTGTGTATATCCTGTACACAGTTTTATCCGCCGTTCGAGTCTAAAAACCGGGAAAAATACGCACCGTTGTCGTCGTTCCACTACCGCTGGGTTTTTTACTATTCTGTTTTCGTCCTCTCCGCGTTTGTTGTTGTTGACGGAGCTCGGCCGACGGTGGCAGCCGCACCGTAATGTCGTACACCACATTATACCGATACACTAGTTATATATATATATAAATGTATACTTGTTTTATTATAGGTATAATACATAAAAATGTAGGATTTATACTTTCGAATCGAACATCGTGATGGCCGTTTCCCTTTCTACGCCGTGTTGTACAGGTAGTAAAGGTACGGACGCGTCCGTTAAGTTTATTGGAATTTATTAAAAAAAAAAAATCTAAAACGCCGTCTATAGTCGCACAAACTATAGTTGGTACATAATACCCGTACGCACGGCATAATATTAGTTTATATACGCGCGTACACGTTAAACCGAACCAATTACGAGAGCCGTATATTATTTCGTTTATAGGTTGGTAGGTAGGTAGGTAGGTAGATAGGTAGGTATAGGTATAGGTATACGGCGGCGTGTATAAAGATGTGCTCCGCGGCGGCGCGTATCGATAACCGCTAATTTAGACGCGGAGTCGTAAAAATTAACGATTCATTTTTGAAAACGTCGACGATGAGACGACGACGACTGCGACCTAGGTCGAGAGAAAAACGTGGCGACGGTCCGCGGCACCGGTTCCCACGAGATCCAAATCCGGATCTTTGTACCGTGTATACACCTATAAACGTACACGATCGGGGAGGGGGGGGAGGGGGTTGGGGAAATGCGTCTTCCGTAACCCGGGGCTATAATAATGTATAAAGTCTGTTGGCGATAACCGTATAATGTTATTATTATTATTACGGCGATAAGTTGTTGAAATTTTATGACGTTTTAAGTAAATAAATATAATCGTATCGCGCATGTGCGTTTAATATTATAATATAGGCGGGCAAGAAAATATTTATCGACCGGTGATAAATAACGCATCTATAATACGTATAATATGTAATACAGGTAGGTAGTTAGATACGTAGGATAACCAGTTAGATTTTTAACGGAGATAACGTCAATACTGTACTTATTAACGATAATGTAGTCATCAATAGGATACAGTGTTTTAATTTCTCCGCGGTTTTTTCGCTATACATATTTTGTTTTTTTTTTTTTTATCCACCGGTCGGAGAACACCTATACTGCACAATATAATGTTAAACGGTGGGAAAAAAAACCCTGCGAAAATTAAGCCGTTTAAAGAACCTGGTCGCCGGTATAATTAGTTATTTTCGGCGGGTGTCTCATGTCTCGCACGCAACGCTATAACAGTATAGTCGCGTCATTATAGCAACTAGTAACGTCGATCAGGGTAATCCGAAAATCCGGATTTCGGATTCCAAAATACGAAAATTCCAATTTTGGATTTCAAAACGTATAGTTATGGTTGGTTTTTGTAACGCCTACAGGCTTTTTTTTTATAAAGGAATCTGAAATACCGATTTTAAATGTAATTTTGGATTTCGAAAATCCGGATTATCGAATTTCGATCAATCCGAATTTGTCCACTATTGACAAGGCATTCCCATTTTTACGATTAACACTCTCCAGTCAAGTTTAGGGATATCGAACGGTTAAGAACGTAACACCTTTTCGACATTTTCAATAAAATATTATTAAAAATAGAAGAAAAAAATATACATTTAATCGAATGAATATTAGAAAATAATCGAAAATCACTAAAAACGCCGTTCCTAAAAATCGTATTTTATTGGAATCTAGGGCAAAAAAACCCACTAAATATTTTCTGAAGAAGTGTATTCTTAGACCCTATAATCATGATTTTTTTAACATTTACATTTTTTCAAGATATCCGCATTTTTATTTTAGCTGTAACCACTTGTTAACAAATGATAATATTTTAGAAAAAAAGTCATTCAACCCATTTGCCCTAAATTCAACCGGACAGCGCAATTATCGTGAAAAAGCGGAATGCTGTCTTTGTTGCTTTATTACGACCGTGAAAACAATCGATTTTGTTTTTAACCTAACCTAACAATACGAAAAATATGTTTTTGATCTAATCTTAAAGTTTATCGAAAGCAAGATGAAAAGGCGAAAATTCAAAGTTCAGTCACTCGACTTGTGATTAAGATTTCGGAAAAATTCGCATAGCAAATTTCGAAATTACGAAAAAGACGTGTACATATTTTGTTATCTGTATTACAATACCGTCATCATCAATCTCATGTCGTCCAATGACGTTCCGTCGAACAACTTAATCGATCGCATTTACGTGTAAAAAAAAAAAAAAACCTATCCGATATATTATAATCATGGGTACGTAGTTACCTCGGTAGTTACCGAGATAAATAATAAGTATAACCTCTAATTTTCTGTCGGAAAAACGGCAGCGCCACCGGGTCCGTTTGCGTTTAAGGTTTTTTTCTTCCGCTCTTATTATTATCCATTTTTTTCCGCCTATATGACAGGGCTTACCAAACGGCGATTATCGTTTTTTTTTTTTTTTTATATATATATATATTATTTTTTTTGTTTTTAGCGCCTCTGTCTTCGTAGTTATATGTAGTTTCTCGCTACTCCGTGATTTTTTTTTTTTCATTTTTTATTTCAATTCCGAAACTCTCGACAGTGTTCCGCGCGATAAACCGGGCGTAATATATTATAACGAATCTAAACGCCGGTATATTGTTGGTAAAAAAAAAAAAAAATAATAAAATATGAAACCTATTATTTACGACTATATATATATATACACATCATTTTTCGCGGGTATCGTACCCAGTTCACACTTGTGGCCGGGAAATAATTGTCTCGTTTTTTTATTTATTACCGTATCGTATTATAATATTATACGTTTATGTACAGTTGGTCCGCATATTATACCGGCTGGCAAAAGTCGATTCCGGTGTGCAATTATTATATTATTATTATTATCATGCGCCGTAGCATGATCCGCTCGGCAACATAGTTTATTTTTATTTTTTTTTACCGTATCGTATTATAATACGATACGATTATAATATACATACCGCGGTTAAAAAAAAAAAAAAAGAAATACAATTTTAATAAGGATTCGGTCGTTGTTAAATTGACCGGCCTAGGTCCATAAAATACAAAAAAAAAACCAATAAACTTTTATGATAGATATATAGCATTTGGTATCCGCATTACATACAGTGTCATTGGATTATATTGTCGACGTACAGCGTCGGCGGCTTAAATCAAATCGAATTCGTAATAATGATATGCTCATCGAACACGCGCATATTTTTGTGTTTTTTTTTTTTTTCATTTTGCGTTGTGTATTTTTACGTAGTTTAATATTATGTTGTACTTCGATTAATGACCTAGAAGGGGACGGAAGATTCTTAGGTGTTCTCGGTATGCAAATTTAATTACGGCATACTTTAGTTACACGGATGAAATAAAAAACAATTTAAAACAAAAAATAAATAATAAAGAGAAATAAAAATGGCATAACAACAATAACAATTTAATATAAAGAGTCTATCTGACTGTTTGCCGGTCTATTATTGGCTTGAAACAGCATGAGTCAACTTGATAAAATAAAAAAAAAACTATGCGCTGTATTGTGTGGGTAAGTTAAAGGTGTACGCACGTAAAACGTCATCTTTGAATCTCTGTATTTTTTGGTACAATAAAATCATTACTGATTTATATCACAACACTATTATGTCCTCATAATTTTAGTGGATATATTATAGTCGAATCCCTATACTATGTGGGTATCTATGGTAACACGGATGAAAAACATTAGTTCGCCATTGACCAACTTTTCGCCTATTTGTTTTCGTTTAATATACTGATACGGGCAAAGCAAAACGGGAATAAAGGTAAAAATGATAAAAAATTGGCACGGGCAACGGAAAAACACCGAGCACGAGACAGTTATAGTGTGTATATAAAATACAACGGCGTTATTACTGGGGGGGAATAGACCCCCCATAAATTGTGTTTATACATTAAATTTTACCTACAAATTTGCAGAAAATACTTAATTGCCTAGCAATGTTGGCAATTCATTATGATGTTAAATTTTTGAACGAAAAAGTCATTAATGAACTTCCTAAGAAGCCATACATATTGTAATGTGTATATAATTAAAAAAAATGATAACAAATTTGCTAAACTTTTTTTATTAATTTGCATATGTAGTATAGAATAATTTTATTACATTGATATGGGACGAGAATAAAATGTAGATACGGAGAAGGGGGCTAAGCCCTCATAAGCTTCTTATGAATATTTATTTTGATATTCCCCTTCATGAAACGTTCTCAATTACGCTACTGCGAACGATATCAACGTGAATATTGATTTCGTTAAACTATACAAAACGCAATAGTTTATGTATTCATGCGTATTCATCGAGCCTACTTCAGTTTTAGGTACGAATCGAAATTGTACATTTAGATCTTTACGGGAGGGGGGGGGGGTCATCGAATATTTTAGTTTTATTCCTCTGACGGATAAAGTAGTATTATGCTAATAAAATGTATACCGGCGAACGTATTTCTTATAGCAGACGAAATATTATATGACGTATATCGAGGATTTTAAACGTATTCTCCGTTTTGTTCGCGGAGTCTCCGGATTCAACAGGTCTAATACTTAAAATACAGGTACCTCCTATAGGTACGAATATCATAATTAATTACCTCGGCGTACGGACTCGTGTGTGGCATACACGGCGCGAAGGTGTACGTGAAATGAAGAAAAATTATTATACGACAAACGAGCGCGTGCATCGCGCGATCGCCCCGACGACGACTGGTTTAAATTGAATTTTTATAATATCACGTCGAGGCCGTCGCGTCTTCTTACCGTACGTCCAAACAGATTTGTTGTGTTATTAATGAAAATGAAAATGAAAAAAGAAAAAATTACAATAAAAAAGAATTCGTTCGGTCAGCGGCACTTTTGACTGACGGCAAGCGCGCTATTTGTCGCGACCCGAATCGAAAAAAAAAAAAAACAAACCGGTGGGCGGGTTAATATTCCGTATCGACCGTACCTAATAGCATTATTTATGGTTTAAAAAAAAAAAAAAAAAATGGCGCTCGATAATATTCGAATATCATAATATCGTAATAAACGTATCGGATATTCTCTTCTCTTCGATTTCGGTCTAAATTCTTAATATGACTTTTATATATATGTGTAATATCTATTAATAAAAGACATTTTGCGTATTTTTCTCTACACGCTCAAAACTATTCGGCTGATTTCGCTGAAAATGTCACGGTTTGTTCTTTATTGGTTCCGGGGGTGTTTAGAGAGTGATTTGAAACGGGAAATTTACCCATAAAGCGGTGCTTATCCAGAAAACTTTTCCCTAAAATACGAAAGTTTTTCGATTTTTCGTTTAACTCTTGCAGGTTAGGTGAACCTAACTAAAGTTTCAAACATCCGCGTAATCCGCTCCCCCAAATGTACTGCATTTTCCGTTTCCATTATTTCTTCGTCGATATCTGATGTAATAATATTTCGTTACTCTATTCTGCATCCATCGTTTGACGGAGTATTTTTCTCTGTCGTTTTTCGGTTAAATTTTTAACTGTATAGGACATATTTTCGTTTACGAAACTTCCATCAGCCCGCTCCAATACCGTTTTAGGCACATCCTGATATTCGGTTCATTGTAAACGACCTTCCTTCTTCTCGGGGATGATCGGCCACTATACAGGATCGTCCCGTCACACATCCAATGCTCCAATCGTATTCCGCCCGTCCACTGATGTTAATTTCACGTCTGACCTTACGTTCAGAGACGCGGACGTCTCATCTGTTAGCCGAATCTCTGCACCTTCGTCTCTCGAACGGGTCATTTTCCATAACCGAATCGCGCATATAAAAGTGGATTTCGACAACCCGTCTATAATCTGACGTTTTTTTACGCGTTCGCATCATAGTAATACTGCCACACTCATAAATTAATTGCGGCGCAGCGTTGATGGCGAAATCATCGTCCACGCGTGGCAGAACGGCGTCTGTAACAAATTTATTCCGCTCTACGCGTTTCTTTATTTCTCGTATAGCCGCGCATCAAAGGTACTCGGACGTTATTAAACTCACGATTCGCTGAAGAAAACTTCACACGTTCAATAATATTACACTTTCGACGGCGATAGATACCTGTACGCGATAATAATATGATTATTATAATACAATAATGCCATCTCGACACCTCGACGCCGGGTACGGAGAGTTGTCCGAAAACTTATAACGTTTTAAACATGACAGTGTGGTTTATCTTAATAATGTTTCGCCGACTTGTTAATTATCGCAAACGGATATCATGAAACGCGAAACTGCGCGCGTACCAATTAACCTGTCAAATGATCGTGTAATTTTTACGATATTTAAGTAACGTGTTCATTATAGTATCGCGCCGATATGCGCCGCGGAATTACAGTTTTAACAAAAAAAAAAACAAATCTAAACGTTTTTTTGACGATAAGATGTGTTTTTTTTTTTCGTGTATACAAATCTCCTAGACGCCGTCGTCGGCGTACCGCGAAATCTAATTTTTCGGTTTTTTTTCTTTTTCTTTCTACTCGTTTTATCCGTGTCAAAAACGTGACGGCCCGGGTATTAGTACGACCGCCGCCGCATACGAATCGCGAGTTTCGAGATTAATAACAAAAAATAATGGCCGACGACGTGTTTATTACTCGTTTGTATAGGGTGTACCCACACGGTCGGACAATCGCAATTGCACGATACAGGAAATTGTCAAATCTCGCAGACACACACGCTCTGCGGTGTAATGTAGCGAATACGATGTATTATAGAAAAAGACGCGGATATTGTTTTTCGCGATTTCGGTAATATATTATTATTGTACATTGACGGGGCATGGTTGTTTTTTTTTTTTTTGCTAACGCGTGTCCTCGAAAATGACGTTTGCCCGAAAATAGTCACCCCCACTAAAAAAAAAAAAAAAAAACTTTCGAAACGAATTCAGATTTATAAAATATTATCATACAAAAACGTCGTCGGCAGGACACGAAAACAAAAAAAAAAAATCACGACCGTAATAATAATAATGCATACCCATTACACCTACTCGCTGTCAAATATTACGTTTTTGTTTTTGTTTTTTTTTTTTTTTAAATACAGATATTTTGTCGGTTCGACGCCGTAGACATAAATTAGCACCTGCGTACACAACCGATATTATTATAATATATTACAGGCACATCCTATATATAAAATATAATCCGTGCGCTTCGGTATATAGGGAGACAGTGTGTCCCGCAGACATTATATAGGTGCATTTAAATAAAATATTCGGTTTTTTTTTTAATTTTTACATAATTAAAACGTGACTTTTAACTCGAATCCGAGAATAGACAGTGTAATTATTATGCGGCGTTTTCGTGTTAAAATATTTTTTAATATATTATTATAATGACGTCGACGCGATAATGTATAACCTAACCGTACAGTTTAAACATTATAAATATTATGATATTATAATATTATTTTTATAGTGCACTACCCACTGTATAATATTTCGCTATGGGTATTGCACTGAGGATTTTTTTTTTTTTTTTTTGTGAAATATTACTAGGGCTATAGCACCGAGATTCGATTACCGAGTCACAATAAAGAAAAACTGTTTGATTTTTTTTCTCGATACTTCCACGCATTGTACTTTCACGCAAATTTTAAAAGTCTTGACTCACGTGGTTTGGCCATGGAGACAACGTTTATATGTCTGTGAGAATTTTTCGATACCATACGATTTAATTGCACCGCTTCCATCTTAGCTCGTGTCTTTGAGTGCCTCTTCGTCGTCCACAACGCTCAGCGAAATTTCTAGAAACTACTAGAATAAGGTGTTATTCTAGTACTTTCCAGGACTTTGTCACATGATTTCTCCGGTTCCTTATATATTTTGTTCTTTTCAAAATTTTAAGACGAATTTCGTTTAAAACACGGTAATGCCGAGTAATTCGATAAAAAACTATGTAGTAATGTCAAATAACAACAAATATAATAATTCATGATAACATCAGTTACTCGTTTCTATTCCAGACAATATAAATGCATAATACTATACTTGTCTCTCCGTGTAATTTTTCGAAAAATATTCGTCTCGCCACTTATAACAAGGCTCGCGAGCCACCACTGGTGGACGTCATAAAGAGCATAATAATATAACGGTAGTTGAGTATACACGTATCTGCTTTCAATCGAATTTATTGCGACACATTTCTCGATCATCGTTGTTTTGTCCGACGCTGTTAAAACGAGAAATCACTGTACATAACATTACCCATACACACCGCAGACTCGCAAACATATCAATTCGATTTTTTTATTTATTTTAACGCTGGTTTTTATGTTTATATATAAATATATCAAATCGATGCGCATACAAGGTGTAACAAATACCGCATGCACCGCAGTATAATGCAATGTATAGCTGGTATATATTATAATATATACCAGGTACATCGCGGTTCGCATACTGATAATATTACGAGTACATCACATTTTTTTTTTTTTTTTTAATATATACTTTCGTGAAAATGACGTGCGGTATAAAGAAAAAAAAACGGTCGTTATTGCAGCGATGAATACCTGAGGAGCACATACACGCATACCGCGTATAAACTATATATTGTTTACGCGATGTCGTATTCGAAAAGTATAATAATATGATAATTCTAAAAACGGGCGATGTAAACGGACGAGGCCGACGACGACGATGGAGAACCGCAGGAGGAGAAGGACGAGCATTTGGACGTGCCGGACGTATTACAAGTGACGATAAAACCGAAAAAAAAAACCACCGCACACTTATGTACGTGGTATAATGTGTGTGGAAAACAAAAAACAAAAAAATACCTTAACTCTCGTACTCATACAATGCGCACGGAATGATGTTCCGGTCTTAAAATATTGTGTCTTGTCGTCGTCGTCGTACGTACACGTCGAAAGACATAATAATATAAAACAACACGGACGCGCGTGCGCGATAGCTTCTCGCCGTACAGAAACGGGCGCGAGATTTATACGATGAGTTGTCGGGCGACATATGCAGCTGCAGCATCGGAACTATCGGAGAAACGGAATAATAATAATAATAATAATCACAGTATCAATCTTCTCGCGCAAACGAAATCGTCGCGAGTCGCTGTTGTTCCGACGACGACGCATTGTTTTCGTTTTTTTTTTTTTTTTCCGCCGTCGTGCTTTGCGTATTTATCGGAATATTATGAAAATTCAAACTCTCGCCGACCCCCGTCTACGCGCCGCAGCGTCCGCCAACGCGCCACACGCACGAGTACAATAATTATTATCGTCGGTTTCGAAAAGTCAACAACGGTCGTGTCGCTCCGCGCGATTTCCTCTTCGCCGTCTCCATCATACCCACAGCTAACGTATATCGCTATCGTAACATTTATTTCATATATAATTTTACCGTTCCCATTTCGCAGTGTACGCTAGACAAGCACTGATTATGGGAAGGGGAACGGTCCGGGGAGGATCGTCCCCCCCCCCCCCCCCCCCCCCTCACCCCGTACGTCCGTCCGCAAGACTTCAGGAGTCTCGGTTTTCGACACAACGCGCTATGCACGTTCTTTATCTATATATGTACGTTTAACCATTGACTCTGTATTCGTATTTTCGTGGATAAACTTTGTCGATATTTTTCTTGTCTTTGATATCTTTTCGTCCAAGACCTTTATAGTGGAATATAATATTAGACGTCTGTTGTGTTTATTCCTAAACGCGTCAACGATTTTTCTCTATTATTCATTTTGAGAGCGATCATTAAAATGCATAGTCCTATAGGGCCTCAAAAATGTCTTCATCCGGGTACGTATACAGGCCACAGGGTGATTTTCTCACCGCGAACCGGCCGGTCGACGCGACGTTATCCGCGTCTAGGGAAATTTCTATTAGTTAATGAATTTGATTTTAGGTATTTTTTCCCGACACAGGTGTACACAGGTGTACTTTCGCCTATGGGAACCGCGGTTTTCGTGCAAAAATTCGTAATTTTATCTCGTGACTCAAGTAGCTAGCAAGTAGATAGCTGGTCACGTGAATAGATAACTATACGGACGTCGTGGAAACTCGACGTATAGGAATTTCGAATTTTGAACTGCGCATTCGTATATTACACACCGATGTAAACATTGGAATTTCACGGTAAGAAAACTCGGCTAGTGATATTTATCACGGGATTTCTGTGCTACATACAGTCATACACGACCGATAAAATCACGGCCAGTGACGGCCGTGACACCCGCGTAATACAAAGTTGCCGTCATATCTTTCTGTGTTCGCAGCCATATGGCTATTCTTACGTCGACCGTCGATTTTCGACCAGTAGAAACCGACCGCGATAAAATGAGTTTTGAACGCGCATTCAAAACGAAAACCGAATATATTATTCTATCCTCCTGTACTGTACAGCGTTCTGCGTTCATATAACGGAACTATACAGAAAAAAAAAATGTAAAAAAATCAAATGCCTATAACCGCAATTATAAAACGTTTTAACAATCGCCCTGTATTCTTACTGGTACATTTTAATATTATATTATCATTATACATTATACTATTGCCGAAATTTGGTTTTTTTTTTCCGTTCTTATCCCGTCGCGCATTGTTTCGATCGCCCGACGACTATATTTACGATGCCGTTTTCGTACCGTGTAACATAATATAATATAGAGCCGCTATACTATTTGAATAATATTCCATTAGATTATATTACCGTGTGTGTGTGCGCGCGCGTGTGCGTGTATCTTATACATTATCGCTATTGTAAAATCAAATTTATCGTCAAATCGTGCGGCTAATTGAAATTTCCAAACTCGCAACAATAATATTGTATTACCATATAACCGTAAAAAAAAAAAAAAAAAAAAACTATTGAGAGATGATAGCGAGTCCGGTGAGAGGTATATGAAGTCCATTATACCTATACTATAAAACGGTCAATATCGTATTGATTAACCCGGTGAAATATTTGTTCGTGCGTTATCACAAACGCGGGTTTTAATTAGTGTCGGGCACAATAGTTACAATTGCACTGTTCGATAGTTGATCGCATTTGGACTATCCGAATGGATGATAATAGTCAACAGTATAAAATAGTCTATTCGACAGTTTCTATAATACAATAAATATTTATTCGGTGACGGGAAGAACTATTCGAATGAAATATTCGTTAGTTCATCCAAACCATCAATACTGTTCGAACGTTTTATAAAGAAACAGTTTTTGTTCGATTTCAAACATTTTTCATATTATCAATTATTTTTGTGTCAGTGTGTTTTTATGTTCAAGAAAGTTTTTTTTTTTTTTTTTCAAATATTGATGCACTGTTGGACAATTGCAGTAGAGTAAGATTTTGCGTACTCTGTGTTTGCAATCCTTTACCATTTTAATTCCACCGAAATAAAAAGATAAAGGATTTAATTATGTAGTAAACTTGGTAACGAAATATTATATTTCCTAAGAAAATTGAGTACTGGCGTGGGGAAGTGGGCTGTGAGAAGTCCGAAATCGAACTAGAAATGTTGGTTTTTCTGTTCGCGGAGCTTTTTTTCGAGGAACGGGATAGTGGACACGCAGCGGATGTTCACAAAAAAAGAATAACCCGGTTTATGCTGCATATAATTACCGTGTATTGTCTCGCTTTAGATTTACTCATAATTTAGAGTCTATAGTCGTTAAATTTAAATATTTGTGCGATTGTATGTTATATGTTACCCGGACTGTAATTTGTGAAAATATAATGTTTTTCGGTACGGCGATGACGTGAACATCGTGTACGGTCTTCTATAGTTATATTTTATTCACGTTTACCCGTGCCATTACGATAAATTTATTTTATAATATGGAATATTGTATCGGCGTATAAACGCGATTTACCGAACGGATAATTTTATGCAAAAATATGCAAATTACGATTGACCGGTGCCTATAATATAATAATATACGTACCGTGTGGGCGACTTGCAGACCCTCTGCGTGCGGTGATCCGTGAGGTCGCGTGAAATTAATAATTTGCATGTAATGGGATTTTAGTCATTTTTGCGATAATTACTACTGGAGGGCTACCTATATGCATACACATAACGTATATATCGACCCGAAAATGTTCATCCGTTCGAAAACGCACACGATCTGATACACGAATAATTATTGTACGTGTAATATTCGATATTAAATTCTACGTGTGAACCGTTTTCAACCGCGTCATATTGTATTGATATGATTTGTATTTTATTTTTATTTTATTTTTTTTTTTTTTTGACACGCAGACGATTTCCGAAGCGTTTTTTCGCCATAGGTATATATTGAAATTGTCTCGAGGGAAAAGAAACCGATTTAATAAACTCATTAATAATAAAAAAAAACAAAATTATTCATTAAACTCATTAAATATAATTACGTTATTTTTTCGACTTCACACTACTTTTTTCGACCGAAATCGCGCGTTTATTGCGGGTTAAGATAAAATCTCCGTAGCCGATGGTGTTGCTTATAATATATAGGAGTCCGGCAAATATTTCACTTAAGTATACTATATTCATTCTCTTCGACCGTGCGTGAACTAAACAGAGTGCACCCTGTATATAACCTATTATACTCGTTCGAATGAGCGGGCGTATTCTCTCCTATCGATTTTTCTTTTGCTCTCGTCAAACGTGATGTACTTAAATGTTTATCGGTTGCTCCAAGCAGTATACATCATCAATACGTTTAATATAAACCTTTTAATATGTTTCACCGCTCGGTAGTGCGAATAACTAACCTAACCAATTAACTTACTTTCATGAGTCTATATGGGTATTTAAAAACATCTAAACATAAAAACGGTTGGAGAAGGAATTGAAACTTGTATCCGCCAAAATGCACATACTTGATACTTACACCATGCAATATACTAAAAAAATATCATTAAAAAAAAAAAAAAAACGGAAATGATAGAAAGGTTGAAAAATCTCTAAATTATCAAGTACAATTGCGTTATTGCACAAAGTAATTCTTTTTTTTTTTATACAATTTATTTTTGTGGATTTTAAGTTCAATAAATCTCGAGACCTGTTTATTATAACCGCGGTTGTACAAACGCAAGGAGTAGTTTTATAACGAAAAGTCGTTTACTTTGTAGTCGACCGTTAAAATCTGTAAACGTTTTTCGCGGCAAAGTTGTTTAAACACAATGGTGGTCCGCAGTGTATTTACAGGTCAAGTGTACTTGACATATTACACCTAATCGCAGTAGACAATTCAGCAGATTACCGTGTCTCGTCCGAATATATGATAAGGTCAACTGTGAAATAATAATTTTTTTTTTTTCTCTCTGCGTATATTAACCCCGAAACCGCGTAGTTTATTCGTTTGGAAACGTCTGCAGCAAACTTGAACGATTAGATCCGGTGTATAATATAGGTACCCGCTTATCGTTATTATAAACCGTAAAATAAATAATATTTTAAGTCGCGTTCTGTATTATACATTATTATCTATAGTGTAAATATTTAAAAAAAAAAAAAAAAAACCAAAAACGTGTTTGCTGCGCAGAAACGTGCGGGAACAACTCGTTCTTAGCGAAAATTCGTATTGAACGATATAACATATTAATTACTATTATAGTTTAACACCATTAAAATATAATATATTATCGCGGCGAAATAAAATTAATAATATGTAAATGGCGTGCATAAAATGTTTTCGAAAAAAAAAAAAACCCCCGTTATTTTGTTGACGACTTTTACGTGGTCATAATATGGACTGCACGTACAATTGCTAATATATTATAGGGGTACCAATTATAATATTCTAATATTACGATTATGATTATTACCTATTGTGAGAAGCGTTATTGTGACTATAATTCGAATACTTAGGTCCGCCGTCGTCCGCGTCGGTATTATACAGAATGATTCTCGTCTGTAGAATAGTCTTTGTTTATCACGATATTCCAGCGATAATATGCGGACATAATGTTAAAAAATGAAATGACGATTCTCGGTAGGTCTTGGTCACTGGATATTACCCAGATTGCAACGGCCAAACAGAACAGAACAAAAACACACGACGTCGCCGGATAACCTCCTTTACACATTCCGAATAGCAATTGCGTGTATGGTGGCCTATCCATTCTTCATTGTCTACGGAGAACATTATCAAATTTACTCTCCGATTTTTCGTATACAGACTAGCTGTTCCGCTCGGCGTTGCCCGTGAAATATTAAAAAAATTATCATGATGCTATGGATTCAGCGATATGATGCTAAATGCTCATGAACAATGAACTAAGTAACCGATTTCTATGGTAACTACTGATCGTTGTGCGTATCCCCGCCACCACTATTATGGTCCTTCCACGGTTTACCTGATTATTTAATTTTTTTATTTGAACTTATTTTTTCACTTCATCTGTATCACTGAGGTAACCCATAAATCAACAAAATCAATTGTATTTCCGTACTGAAAATACCGATAACTCTGTATTAAACCACATGTAGGGCCTCCACAGGGGGATAGGATGAAAGTAGCCGGATATATATTATTCCTGGTCAAGAACTGCATATATACAATGTTTCAACTCAATCAGTTCAGTTAATTTGACGAGAACAACACGTATATCTTTACAATGTCCAAACGAACTTTTGCATTTATAATATATTATAATATATTTATTATATGGAACGGGGCTTGTTGCACTTAATATCCACAACAAACCACTTAACAACGTAAAAAAAAAAACACTTACAAATATTTAAAAAACCAAAAATGGTAAAAGGGGTTTAAACTCCTTCCCTGTTTATACTCAGAGTAAGTTCTTTAAACACAATTTTCTAACCCTGAAAAAACCATTAACATCACTAAGTAATCTGTATTAAATAAAATTGCACACATAAAAAAAAGAATACTTTATATTAATAATTTGCAGTGTAGATTTGGAAAATGTTATTTGATAAAAATTATAATCGTCAGAGGGGGGAAGGGACTTTTAAACCCATTTTTGCTTTTTTCCGGGTGTTTTTGTTCGTTTTCGACCATTTTTTGTGGGTATTAAGTACGACATGTCCCGAGACCTAACTATTATAGTAGGATGGTACAGGAAAAAAAAAACCAACAACGTTCACTCTTAATATTTTATACACGCTTATCGTGGATATATCGGCGCGGAGAATGGTTTCCGAATAAACGAGAAACAAACATAATATACGATATAACAGTGCCGACGACGGTATAATATTATAATACAGGAACGCACGGCCGGTGAAAACGATTTCCACGTTATTAGTACCTACGTAATAGTACACTGTACAGTCGCAGTGTCCGACTGAGTATACAATAATATAATATACCGACTAAATATACAGTGGCGAGTTCGGTACGTTGCGTAAATGTTATACATATACGTTATCATTATTGTTATTAAAGGTTTTTTTTTTTTTTTTTTTGAACATATAATTGCGGTCGAGACGGAAAGACGCGTCGCGTAGACCGTTTTTTCGAAAATTTAATTGCTCTCCCCTCGAAAACGGCCGGCGATCTCGTTTTCCCGATACATAATACGGATAGACTTATTTATAATGGGTACGTATTACGCCCGTGCATTATATCGACGTAATTGCCCGGTAAATATACCCGTGTGTGTACAGTCACTATGCCGTGCAGCTACCGTAGTCGTAGTCGATTTTACGATTACACAAATGATGCGTAAAGAAACGTGATTATGACCGGCCCGCTTGAAAACTATACGACTCGGATATTCGTCGTGTATGCACGCGTTCGCAGAGTATCATGTTAAAGACTTGTCGATGCCGAAAATGATTGTCCACGCGGTAAACCGTCAAACCCCGGAAAGTAATCTCGTAGAGCTTTGACCGAAAAAACGAAAACTTTTTCGACAGTTTAGGAAACAAACAGCTTTGAAATATAACTGCAATGCCGTTATTTTTCGACGCCCTTTTTTCGGGGGGCTTGACACGTCAACCCACTTTTGGTGTTTGAACGAAAACTTAAATTGAAAATTGCACAAACTGCTGGAATATTAGTTTAAATAAATTTTGGCGTTGGCAATTTTGATTTCCGTCAAACCATTGACGAGATACGCTCCGCTTTAAGTTTGGGTAAAGAGAGAGTATAGTGAAGAATCATTTGTCTGGCGTCACGGCGGCGGAGTTTCAATAATGCTTCACTATTCTCCCCCTATCCAAACTCAAATGAGTATTATCTCGTCGGCGGGTTGACGGGAATCAAAAAATTTCAACACCAAGATGTATTTTATCGAAATTACGTAGTCGTTTCGCTAGGGATTACAAAAATAATGATAATGCAATAATTTAGAGCCACTTTTTTTTTAACCGTTAAAATATAATATTTTTGTTTAAGTTGAAACGTTCCGAGATAATATGAGTGAACCCACTTGAACGGATCGCCCGCGTCCACGTTCCGGATATTATCTAGGAAACGCATAAACCGTATTATTCCGGATCGTATACTCCCGAAATCCAAATTTCAAGTGACACTAGCACCGTCAAAAAGGATACAATTTAAAAGTCGGGACTATATTTTGACGGTCGTCCGTGACAATGCAGTTTAAATATTTTGAAAATCAGGTTGTATACCGTCCGCATCAATACGGTTATTTGCGTGTTTATTTTTTCCGGGTTTCTTTATACGGTCCGGGTCTGTATACGGTTTGTGTTAATTTTTTTTCCGGGAGATTACGGTCCGGGACCACACGATGTCTATTGTTGCTTTCCGGATTTCCACGGTCCACGAGATTACTTTCCGGGTTTATATTATATAAATCATTTTTTTTTTTTTTTTTAAGTATTTCACGGTTAAATCTATACTGCGGAGCGTAAACAACGACCCTTGCGTATTATGTACACGAAAAACCGTAACATGCCTGTCCCGCGGCTGTAGAAACGTCGCGCGACTTCACGTACCCGACTCGCGAGACTGTATACGTGTTTGTAACACCGTATTGAATTTCACGCGCGGCGTTTTTACCCGCGTGTGGCCAAAGAGCCGGTGTCCGTTTTTAGCATTCGCCGTGTATTATATATCATAATGTATTCATGAGATACATTTTTGTAATGTCGTAATACATTATTTTTATACGTGCGTGCGTATATGTAATCTGATTAACGCCCGGCACGGTTCATGTTATAATTATAATCCGGCGGGACGGTTTCCCCGGCGCGCAATGACCATGTCGTACCTCCCCGTGCGTCCCGGTCGCGCACTTGCGTTTCGTACCGATTTTCGGCCGGCGGCGGTAATAACGACGCGGACGAACGCAAGTCCCCTGCAGATACCATGCGCGCCTGCAGGATAACGAATCCCGCCCGGGACGAAACGGGTAAAAGGTTTTATTCTAGAAATATTTCACGTCGATATGGTTTAGAATGGTATGCAATCATGCGCGATAAAAGTAAATGTACGGCATTAGAGACAATCAAAATCGGTTAACGGTTACACACCCCCTCCATCCCAGCTCACCCCTTTGCATTTGTTTTCCTCGCGACCACTTCGGGTGATTTAATCTCGAAACATGCCGGTCGATTTTAGCTGACATTTTTCGCATCCGACTTCCGAGTCGATTCGAGAGAAGAAGATTTGTTTAACATCGTTATGATAATATTATGTTCTCTACGTCCCGGTCCGTTGAAAATCCCCGGGCACGCCCGTCGGACGACGTTGTGTCGAAAGCATCATAGACAATAAATAAAACGGATAAACCACTCCTGTGACGATTGCAAGTGAGGTGGAACGGCGGAAAACTGAGACAATTTATCATCCGACGCCGTATAGAAAAAAAAAAAAAAAGCCTCGCTTTATGAATCGATTTCGGAATAACTATACCCGTGCCTCTCAGAACACTAATAACTAGAGAAAAGATGTTGACGGGTCTTGCATTTTTTCCCCCTTGATCCTATAAAATAATATCTAAGCTAAAAATGAATTTCATGCTCTCTTGATTCAAAGTATACTAATTTTATTTTGCATTTTTAGCATTTGTTTGTTTTTTAACGTCATTTTTTATATTTTTCCATATTATTGTATATTTATTTATATTTATGTTCAATGCGAGGAATTCCACTTAAAATTTAGATTTTGTGTATTCAAAAAAAATAATTTTATATTAATAACAATTTATTATTATTTTGGGGTTTTCGTTGTGATTAAATTAGTTTAGTAATTTTTTTGTTCGGGGCATTTTTGTATGTATTTTTTAGGTCATCAACATCTCTACATTTTATCTGTACTTATTAGATAGGTGGATAAGCTATCCGTATCGTTATTATCTATACGGTCGAAAGTTATTCATTCAAATATTTTTCGACGTCTGAGAAAACCGCGCGCTTTACCGTTTTCGAACCTCCACGGCCGATATACTCTCCCCCTCGTATCCGTATAACATTATATTTATATCATAGTGATTTATAATACGTCGTCAGACATTGGACCACCGGAGTGTACAGCCGAGATATAATAATATTATGCTCTCGCGTAAATAATGCAAATTGAATGGTCCACCGAAAGACCGATATACTTGCGGCATACATAAAAAAAAAAGCCGTTGCAGTTATATACTGCATTATTATGCGGTGTAAATTGCGTGTTTATTTTTTTTTCTTTTTGTCATTTTTTCCAAGCACCGCGTAAGGTGATTTGTTATTCTTACGGTTACCCGGTGGAGTAAAAAATAGCTGCCGGTAAGTAACTCTGTTTTTAAGTGCGAGGAAAATGATAAATACGCGATTTGAAAAAAAAAAAATTGTTGTCACGACGATGACAATAATATTACACCGAGATAAATTCCATTTCAACGGCCGCGCCAGTAACGTAGTCGATTTTAATGCAACCGGTACCGCATTACGATGATTTTATACCTGGGCGTATTTTTTCGTCGCCGGCCACGTTTTTTTTAATATGTAAAATTTAAAAAAAAACTCTACGACACCGCCACCAATCGTTATCGCGGTATCGTAAAAGTTCAAGCGTGTATAAAATAATTATGTTTTTTTTTTTTTTTTATAAATTTCACGTTATTTACACGCTACGCTTTGTCGATTTTTCCATGTTCATATTATATCCGTTTGTAACAGATTCATGTTTTGCGTACCGCACTATATTAAAATACTTTAGGCGTTTACAACGCGGTCGAAATATCGTAAGTACAAAACGTACGCGAAACGGAGAAAAATCCGTAACGAAAAGTCTTACATGAAATTTTTCGCGGTTTTTCACACCTTCTTTTCGGGATCGATTTTTGATAATTCAAACGAGCGCCTGTAGTTTTTTTTTATACGCGTAAAGATGTATTTTCAAAAGGATTTTACGGTGGCGGTCGAATAATATATTTCAGTTTCGCACTGGTATCCGTTAAAAAACGAATTTTTAAAAAAACAAACGGATTTGTTCGTCGCACTACGGGTGGGCCCATTTTTTTTAGGTGCAAAATTCGGAAATGTAATATATATATATATGTACTCTGTAACGATTGACCACAACGATTCTGAGAGGAGTTCGGTTAGACGTGTTTTGAAAGACCGTTACGATTTTAAAATGATACATTTCGTAAATTTTCCCAATTCGTTACCCCCTGGAATACTCCTGGAAAAATCAAAAAATGACTTCCTTAAAGTACCACTCCGCGAAAATTTCCTCTCGGAAAAGACGCTACATTTGAAAATTGAAGTAAAATTATTGATAGATAAGTTGTTCACGGAAATAAAAAAAATATATGTATAAACATTGTAAAACCAATACATTCCTCATCGTTCAGTTTAGAATCTAAATATATCTTTGCGTGACTTTTGTAAAAGAAAAACACGCAGGTTTTCGTTTTGGATTCTAAAAGTCGACCACGAAACCGCAAAAAGACGGCTGAAAAAGATTTAAACCCACAGGTGATTTTAAATCGTTTAATATTAAACTGCAGTTTAATAAAACGTTATTCGTTATACATTTTTCACTAATTCGCACGTTTATAACTATTGATTGATAAAACCGCCGTAACGTGAAATTCCGATCGTCCTGTATACATAATATTAATAAATTAATAATAAAAAAAAAAAAAAAAAAAATAGTAATAATAATAATAATAAAAACCCAGAGTGAATATATTATTATACATTAGGCAAGTATAATTATTATTATCGAAGGTAAAATATATTATATGCGAGTGCTGCCGATTTGAATACCGCGTCACAATAAATTTGCTTTTGTTGTGATAATAATTATAGAAAGAGAGAAAGAGAGACGAAATTCCGATCGTCCTGTATACATAATATTAATAAATTAATAATAAAAAAAAAAAAAAAAAAAAAAAATTAATAAAACCCGAAACGAAATTCCGTAGGTAATTATAGCGTATTAAATCGCCATTATCCGAATGTAATATTCAATATTTCAAACGCGTATTTAAGTTTAATTATTAAATATTTATTTTCACATGCCGGCAGTGCCCGTACACATTATAAATATTATCCGAGCGGGTATTATCCTTTCACAAAAAATTACGTCCGTCCGGTCTCCTCGTGTGCGTGTGTGTGTGTGTGTGTGTGTGTGTGCGTGCGTGTGTGTGTGTGTATATATATATATAGGTATAATATATATATATATATATATATAGGTATAATATTATGTATTTAAGTCCGTGTAAGACGGTGAAAATGATGTCGGCCATAAATTAGTTAAGTATACGGTACGCGCGATATTATTATTGTAAATATTATATACGAACAATTAATTATAATTCGGTTTTGCGCGATGCCCCCTTAAATACATTGTTATTTATACTTACTATTATCATTATTATCATTATTATCATTATTATTATTATTATTATTATTATTATTATTATTTTTCGTTCGTAGTTATTTATTTTATGTTTACACGCCGCGCCGCGCGTTCTCCGATGCCGGCCACCACGTGTTATTATCATCATAAATTACTATCGACGTACTGCCCCGAGCCCGTTGCCATAGACCTACAAAGAAATGGACCGAGGCAGAGCATCGCAGAGCATCGCAGAGAGAGCGAGAGAGAGAGAGATAGATAGAGAGAGATTTAGTTTAATATACACGGAGTACGGAATATATTACGGAGAGGCCGTACCGTATACAGTGAGGAGCCATGCGTAGTGAAACGAAGCATTTAGATGGAAAACGGTCAGAGTGTCCGACCGGAGAGTATCGATTTATTGTATTGTTAGTCATCCCGATCGCCGAACTGTTATCATGTTTTAAACGTTTTAAAACGTTATCGTTTATAACTTATAACGTTATGAATAATAATTTGTGTTGCACGGGTGTCAAACGGTACCGACCATGTGTGAAAAATAATTGTATTTTTCTCAAAACGGTCACTCTAAGCGTTTCCCGTCTAAATGCTTCACTTGCGCTGTCGTGGTCGAACGAATAGTCGCACGCTCGGGCATTATAATATAATATATTATAGGCGTATTAATCGCGCATAATATTATTTAAATCGGCCGATTCGATCGGTCGCGATGCCTATAATAATGTGCCGAGGAAAAAAAAAAAAAAAAAAAAAAACCCGTAACTCGATTTTTTTTTTTTTTTTTTTTCTTAATTTTCGTCCGTCTACTTAGATCGTGGGAAATAGGACCTCGCGTACATCCCGTTAGCGAACAGCCGCGTAACATTATTCATGTCTTGCCCAGCATGTAATACTATCACGCCGACGACCGTTTTAACTTTTTTCGGAAATATCATAATCACGTGCAAGCAGATTTAATCCAGTAACCCGACGACATTTTAATCGGATTTTCTCGCCCGAGTCGGATTCGGCTCGAACTACTACTATACATCACCTATAATAGGCGTGTAATATATTACAGTCGAACTACTGTTGGATTTTCTTTTACGCGTCCTCGGGGCTTCGCGTCGAGTTTTACTTGCGGGTACAATCGGCCTCAGTGTTATTATTTATGCGCTCGTGTGCGTGTTTTCTTCTTTTTACGGTGACACGATTTTCGGTACTTATCCGCAGAAACCGGACGAGAGGTATATAGGGAGGGACGTCGTCGTCGTCGTCGTGGGAAACTGCGATATTTATATAATTACACACGCGCGATACTCAAAATCAGCCGAGTTTGTTCTATATTATAATATTGCGTACTTATGTATTATCGACCAACCCGAATACATAATATTATACATTTGGGTATCGAGCGACATTTTGTGTTTTTTTTTAAGATATATTAGTTGTGAATGCCTATACTCTGTTAATATATATGCCTGTAAATCGACGTGTATCGATATCGTATTACAAATTATGGTTTTACAATGAATGTTTATTTTTATTTGTAGGCTACTTGAAATGTTACTCCGATTTTCAAGTATAGCGTATAGTACCTTTTCTGAAAAGAAATTTTATCCGAGTGATACTTTAGGGAGGTCATTATAATATACGATTTACTTTTCGATATTAATAAAAAAAAAAAATATATATATTCCTTAATTCGTATTTATTATATGGTGATTTAACCGTTTATAGAAATCGTTAGAAATTCTCAAAATTGAATTCGCTTGTATTGTATACTATACAAAATCGACTTGATCGTTACCTCTTTGCGACCAAAGATGTATTACACGATGTGTAATTTGTGTGCCATAACAGCGTGGATTCGACGTTCATATATAGGTATGTAAAAAAAAAAAAAAACACGGACTAATAGCTACAGTATCATTGAGGCCCTAGGGCAATTTTCATATTTAGTGTCTAAACTTGATATTCAATTAAAATTTGTGGTAGTTCTGGCACCTTAGAACAGTTATCCTCTTTACACTCCCTCCCCCCCTTATCACGACCATTAATAGTAATGTGACATTACTTATATATTTTAGTCGATCAGTCGCTCATAGATCGTATTTACGATCTACAATTACACCAATAAAAACACTACAATGTTATTATGGTAACGTTAACAGTAAATAGAAGAAAAAAACGAAACGCAAAAACAAAATAAGAAACAGAACCGTCAGAGCCGATGGACCAAAAAAAAGTAGGTATCCGGGAAAAAAAAATAAATTGTACGTGCTTCTCCCACTCCCCGTGAATAACATAGGTACACGACGTATTAAGTCATATTCGATATCGTTGTCTTCTTCTTCATAGGATTATCGGTCCTTAATAGGACTGTCCAACAGTCACGTACACCCAATCCTCAAATTCCCCCTGCCGTTATCTATATGCTATTGTTAATGATAAATCAAAGCTTTTCATTGGGAAAAAAAAACGAGAAATATTTTTTGTTTTCATTTCGGATTACACATTTTCGCTCGCCTTTCGGAAAATGGTTGTCTGACTGATTTTCGCTCAAGGCAGCACATTAGTTATAATGGGTCTCTATGATTATTACTTATAACACTCATATAACCGGCAATTATATTGTATACTAGTCGAGTATAATTATGACAAATAATCGGAGTGTAGTATCATACAATATAGGGCCGTTAAGATTTCTATTCGGAGTGCAGTCTTATCGGGATTCATACTCGGGCGCCTCCTTCGAGGCCTCGTAGGTGCGACGGATTTTGCTGCCGGTGCACGCGATTTTCGGCGTTTAGTTTTATTGTAGTAATTACTTTTTTTTCTTTTACGACCTTACTAACGGGAGACCGAAGCCTAAAGGGATCGAATCCTATCCGGTATAAACATTACATAACTGTACTCTTTAGGTAAAATAGACGATCGAGGTCGATCCGCGATATTTTCGAGTAGAATTTCAAATGCGATTTCATTCTGTATAATATAATATGGTGCAAGGGTGGCAAATTATTTTGACGCTGCTGTGCCAAAAATAATCTTTTTTTTTTCCGAGTGCGTCATAAATAAAAAAAATGTGTGAAATTGCGATGTTATTTGTGCTTTCAAAATGTTTTCGCCCGCCATTTCGGGCACGCGTTTCATGAATTTGCCATCCCTGATAGAATAGGTTGTATTCCACAATATTACAATATCAGTAATAATTATCGGTTGTTATCGCACTCTGGAATCGCCATTGACCTCGCCATTGACAAGTCGTTAAGCTCGCCGCGTGACGCTCAGAACGCGTTTCTGTACAGGGTAATTTTCGTTTTTTTTTTTTTTCTAATTATATATATATATATAAAATATACCATACACATATACTCATCAAGTTATAGCGATTATTTTTTACCACGAAGAATTCGAGTAAATTCGACGTTGTATTCAGTATTTTTTTAAGTTTAATTTTTAAATATTTTGATCAAGATAAGAGTGAGCTATCTAGATAAAAAGTTCAAAAAATAACAAAATTGAATTTTGTTTAATACTTTTCATTCAAAGCCGTGCATAAGGTAATACAAGTATTAAACGTCTACTTACCAGGTTTCATGTAACTTAACAGTTAATTTATAGACCATATTGTATTATATTATACCTATTATAATATCCTCAATATAATATATATCAATAACGATGTAAAAACGTTCATCCAGACGGTTCAATTATTTATCTCGGACAATTTATTTACCGTTTATCTACATGGATAAAATAAAATATACAAATTATATCCAGATAAAACATGACGTGGCGCTGGCTTTATTCGAAATCGTATCTGTATTCTGTACAATTTAAACCGTCGATTTTAATGAGAGAAAACAAACCCGAACCCGAAATTCAATTTACTCGAAACCCTGGCGCAACCTGTAGTGTTGATGACAAAACAATCACTCTGTGTCGCATGCCTACGTATTTTTCTTTTTTTATCATATTGCTACTACGACGCGACAATATAGTGTTTTGAATAATATTATTCTTTCGCGTGTAAATAAAAGGATAAAACAACGTCGACATAATGTATACCCGTGTACCTACACAAAATATATCATGTTTGTTTCCTACCACTTACACCACGCGCGGTTACCCGCACCGCGTTCCCTAACCCCTACGTGGAACGAAGATGTAATAATAATACTGACGTAGGCGTTGCGCCGATGCACAATATTATAGTGTTGCGATTTACTTTTTTTTTTTTTTAATAATAATATTAAAAACAATCAGATAATGGTGTGATAATATTTGCACTGTCTTCTCCCGTCTCGGTTTTTTTCATCTATTATTATTATTATTATTACTTTTTTCTTTTTCGCTACATAGCGCCGAAACGATGACAATATATTTTCATTACGACTACCATGAGCCGAAACCGCAGGGCGGGCGCGCCTAATGCACCACACGGGGCTCGCAGCTATGTACAATATTCTATCTGCGCGTAATACCGTGTCTACCGGTGGCGCCGAGTCCGGTGGTCTTTTGGCGGTTCGAAACTTGGTTTGAACCGCACACCTGTCCCGACCGAACGCCCCAAACGCGACGGAAAAATCAAAAATATGTTTCTTACAATATGGTTGTGCACATAGTTTTATGTCTGATATACGCCCGCCCGAGGCCAATGCCTATTTTCTAGGGGTGTCGCTGTTTTACTTTATTGTATTACAATTCGTATTTGCATTCGAACGCGATGCCCCGAATCTTAGTAAAAAGCGTATGTCCCGGGGCCAGGGCCCCGCCCACCCCCTAAAGATGACCCTGTGTAAAGCCATTTTAATAAATTTAAATATTAGCCATTTTTCCCGGAATCAAAACGTGCCGGATTCAGCGTATATCTAACGTTATCAGCTGCGCGTTGCTGCTATCTCTGCACTAGACAAAACAAAGTTGGGTATATTTTAATTTTGAGATTTTTTTTTTTTGTTGTTGTTGTTTTTTTATATATCTAATATAATATTTCGAATTTTTTATTACATCTATGTAATTAATATTATGTAAATTACGGTTAGAGCCAAAAACCATTCTCGTACATACACGGTAGTCGAATCGTCGCAAGCGAGGTGTTTTTTATTATTCCTAATATATGTAATAATCGTTAGTTTTTATGGCTTTTGCTACCGTAAAAAGTTTATTAAATGGTTTTAAATTATAATGTATTATGGAAACATTTATTATTATTCATTATTTAATATTCATTTTTCGTTCGAAAATTTCACGGACAAAAAATTATCGGTCTTGGTAATAACACGTGTTTTCCGTCGTGATTTTTCACCGGAATTTTATTACGGAACTAACCCGTTGAATGGATATTTTCTTATTTTTAAGTGTGAAGCAAAAAAAAAAAAAAAAAAATCTTAGATAAACAATTTAAATTAATTATTAAGTTAAACCTTATATCAATCAACCAACCTTTGAGGAATTGTATGTATTCCAGATCTAGAAAACTTTTAGTTTTTAGTTGTAACGCACGTGTTGTATAATAAATATTGAATAGAATTATCATTTTTTTTTTTTAAGAATTAAATAATTGTTGTGTATTATCTAGATAACTAACTTGACAATTACCTCGTATCCTGACATTTTAAAGTGTATCTATACGAGATATCAGTGTTGTAACCAGGGGGGTAAGTGGGCTATATTCTTTCCCGTGGGCTTTGCTTAAGACACGACTTCACTATGTAATACACTGTTCTATGGTTTGAGTGTTGACTACGTTTCTAGAAATTTGTTCTACTCCCGAAAGAACATTTTCCCCGATAAACCGCGTGGAAACGAATTAGGAAGGAGCACTATTGTACGACAAAAAATAAAATCAATTGGTTAGCAGTGGTTAATATAAGTATACAATAAATCGTTAATGGAAATGATAATATTATTACTGTTTTTGTTCGAAGTTCTCCTGAGAATATGCAGCTGTTAGAAAATAATAAATATTATAGCTACAATAGTAGTTACGCCGAGACGCACAATTATATTCTTGTTTCAGTATTGAGTTTTGTTTTTTTTTCATTTAAATTTTCGCTTAGAGTACTGCATAAAAATTCATATTGATGCAAACACTTTTCTATAGGGTGTTCCATTAAGCACGCCGGATTTAAATTGCCCGTTATTTTTTGTTTTCTGTGTTGGCTAACCTGTTGTTTTTCTCATGATTATCATATATAAACTCTCCACAATGAAACGCAATAGAATCTGACAATACAAATAAATTCGGGTCGGGGGTCGAAACTATCTCGCTTTTATCTTCGCCCGCGTCTCGAACAAAAACCGCATCAAACAGCCCGTAGCCCTTTATATAGAAAGCTCGTGTTATGTTTGCGTTTCGCAAATAATTCAATTAAACTGCAAAAACAGTTTATGTCGTATCGCGTTTAATATAATGTATGTAGATTGTAGAGTTTACGTAATAATGTTACAGGTATTTGTAGGTACAATTATTTATTTAATTTTTTTTTTTTTTTTTCCCCGTAACGGCATAATTATATAAAATTATGTTGTAAAATTCGCGCGTGATTATCATATTTTTTATTAATTTTTACGTCCCAAGAGTGTGTATAATGGGTACACACGGTAGGGCGGGTACGAATCGCACGGGCAATAGCGGCTCCATTTAAACATTATTAATTCGCAGTGGCGGAACGCATTTAGCGATACGTATAAGCACGCGGTCCGAACGGTCTACGGACGTTTCGCGCAAACCTGCTTAATAATCGAGATTAATTGTGACAATATTGTTGTAACATTATACTTTCAAATTTTTTTACTAATATTTCGGTGGGGTTTACAAAAATATACTTACGAAAAAAACAGATACGGACGTACTGCGCACGATGTGTGGGAAAATGTAATGTAGTTTTAGGTTTGGGTTGGAGGAGAGTAGTGGAGTATTATAAATGTGGCGGTAGGGCGCGCGACGTGTTAATATTGTGTAATGCTGTCATTTGAAAATCAAAAGTAGTTCGTGTTTTACCCCTAAAAATAAGTGTGAAAAAAAATAACATAAATATAAAATTCTGAAGCGGCTTGTTTCTTAAGCGTTCTAGAAAACAAATTCCGGAAAAAGATAATGAATTAATACTTTCCGAGATAATGAATGTACCCGGTAAAATAATTACACACGAATTATATATTTTCTTAAATAATATTTGTTTAATATTGTTCCTATATTTTCCCGTTCTTTCTATGTTTTTCCACGTTTATTAGGAAAACTACTGGGATAATCAAAACACTATTTCTTTAAGGGTACCACCCCAATAAGATTTCATTTCAGAAAAAGTGCCATAATCAAAAATCGAAATAAAATTGCTGTTATAAAAGTCGTGTCCAGATATAAAAAAATAAAAATAAAAAATATACATCATTGTAAAACCAATACATTCCTCTCTCTACTCAGAATTAAAAGAAAAAAATATATATATTCGTTTTGAACGCGTAATATGGTATAAAACTAATTTCTGCACAACCGAAAAGAGACGAGTGTACTAGTGTACTATATATAGCGCGGTGGGGGGGGGAAATTATCGTATTTTATACCGGTCCACCTAAACGTCTTGTGTTACGACCAGTATACACTGCACACAAAATGTTTAATTATACAACCCGACGGGTATAATATCTAATTTTATTTCGCGTTTCGAATATTATCATTATTATAGCAACAAGTTGGCGCACATCAGCCGTCTTCGGAATATCGATTCTGACGGGCGGCCATGCCGGAAACGTTGCGGCGGTGCATCGTCGCGCGGTTTAATTTGATTTTTTTTTTCCGATTTTATTCTTTTCTTTCTTATCCACGTCGTATTTATTATCGTCTCTCTATCTCTCTCTCTCTCTCTCTCTCCCCGAAGACGTCATAACGGGACGTAGTGGGCGGAAGAGAAGGTGTCGGACGGCGACGCGACAAGGTGTTTATTTTTTTTTTTTTTATTTTCAAATATGGCGAATTTCGGATTATCCGGCACTCCGAGGTCGCCCGCTGGCAGGTTATACCGTTGTGTACGCACTATGAGCGATCGACGGTTTCCGATTGGTCAGGTGCCATCGATTCAAGGCGCATGCGCCCGGGATTTTCATTGATATTTTAAACCGATACATTATCGCGCGAATCGCCAATATCGTCGGCCGTGTCTCTCGGCGGGTTCGTATTACAATAGTAATTAGGAATGAAAAGTTAGAGGAGGTAAAATTAGAAAAATATGCATGTAAATGTAAATATGTATACCAAATGCACTAAATATGGAAAAAAAAATACTATAATAATTTTCATTCTAATAACTGTTGTATTAATTTATTTGAATACAAATTTACATTCTGTTAATTAATAATGATAATAATTAACGAATACAAATTAAAACTTCATTGTTCATTATTGAAATGTCCATTAATAAATATATATATGTATAAAAAAAATGTTTTACTCACGTTTAAAATTTCATTTTGTTCGTATACCTTGTAAATTTGTTGAATAATTAGAAGACATAAAGAAAATGAGGAATTTCCATAAATTTTCGTCCCTTATAAGAATAAGAATAAAAATAGTTATATTGTTATCGGGTCCGTAATTTAAGCAATATTTCACAATCATACCATCATAATGATATCGATGAGATAACTATACGAAATCGTACGATTGGATGGTTTTTTAAAATGTTAAGGTGGTTTAAGACGTCTATGGTCATAATCGTCATATCTTAAAGACTATGCTTTGTCGTTAAAACCAATTTACGCCGTCTTGGGTTGTAATCAATCCATAATAATTGAGTATTTTTTTTTTCACTATAAACAACCCTAACCCGAGTCCATTGTCTATTGATTTTATTATTTATGAAAGAAAAACGAAAGACTTAATAAATTACAGTTGGCCATAGGGCTAATTGTAAGAGCGTTTAGTAAAAATGAGAAAGTGCATGCGTTTTCGGTGCAAACAAAGGGGTGGTCTTAGCGAAAGTTTTCGTCTCATCTGTAAACTATATACGCGTTCGACTCGGACACTTTATCCTAGACACCGTTCGAATTTCAGACGTGACATTTGAAATTGGCCAATCAGAAACGACCACGCGGTGGCGTCTCGTATTTTCATATCTCTCTCTCTCTCTCTATCTCGCTCTATCCTCGGCTCGTTCGGCCTTTTCCGAAATAACACTATACGCATATATTATTATTTTATATACGAGCAGTGCACATCGTTGTATCATATAATATACTATTTTTCAGCTCATAAATCGTACGGAAGGCTCGCGCAGTTTGTCGGCCCGTCGCGGCCGCCGGTCGGCGGACGCGGATTATGCAAATGCGCGGCGCGCCGCCTCGTAATTGAGTTATTAAAAACCGATTTGTTCGCGGCCGTTGGTCAAACACAATGTCCCGCAAAGTATTATTATAGTATAATATTTTATAAGTACGATATTCGCATCAAAATGAGGCGGGCGGTGGTACCACGTGGCCCGGTTAGGTACTCGGACTCGACCGTACCGGAGTAATGCGCGTGTAGTGACCGGAGGTAAAATTCGTGTCCGGACGAAAACACATACACCGCCGCCGTGTCGTGTACGTATTTTATTATTCGGTACACACCTCCATACGTCATAATATAGTTTATGTTTAGTTTACACCGTAACCCCCGTCACAAATAATAATATAATAGACTGGCGGTCCGCGCGAAAAGAAACGAAAGAAAAATATGTATCGTCCGCATCGCCGGGGTAACCCGTAAATCAACAAAAATAATTAGATATTCGTACAAAGAACAGCGATAACCTTATATCGGCCCGTTCTTTTTTTACGGGTTGAAAGTAGTCTATATGTCATTTCCTGTCTTGAATCACACCTATGCAAAGTTTCGGCTCGACCCGTTCGACAGTTGTTGGCGTGAACGGATAACAGACATCCATCCGTCGAGCAAACCCTCGCGTTCCACGATATTACACCTGTAGTAGGATTGTTAATCACAGTACTGCTGAACATTTACGTGTAAAACAGTAAATATGCTAAAATTTTAACTTTTATCGACTTTATTTTGTCGTTCGTTTCTTTACGTTTAGTTAAATAAATAGCGAGTTAATTTCGAATCGGGTCCACGCGTCAAGTTCATTTAAATTTCTCAGAATTTTAAGTTATAATTCAATGTATTATTATTATACCATCGTGTATTTAATGTTCATTTTTTTTCTTTTATTTATTCGTTGTTTGAGTGCTAAATCGATAATATACACTACTTAAGTATGTAATAATCCCTTGTGTTAAACATTGATCGTCCTTATTTTTCAATAATAAATTATAAACTCTATAATTCAAGTGTAAGTATATTTAATAAGATTCGCTAGGTATGAAAACAAAAATTGTTCAAAACAAATAAACTATGACATTAACTTCAGTAAATAATCCAGTTCAGTTTTCCAATTAAGTAAATGTATAAAAAAAATAATCTTTTAATTCGTCAACTCGTTAACTTATCACAATTGACTTAACCAAGTTGATATTATTGTCGATAATTCGCCCAGCATTTTAAATGTATACAAGCATTGGCTTTTATCGCTTTACAGCCTTGTTTCGGGGACAAGCCAATGCTCTAAATTTACTGGAGTCGGTCAAATGAACTTTTTAAACGTTACAGTGGTCGCAAAGAAATTATCGCGAATTACAGACAATAATAACATTGGGCATTACGAAAATCAAGAAAATTGGTCGACCTTTACGTGGCTATATGTAGACCGGACAAACTGTTAGAAAAAAAAATATTACTTTGTTACGCCTCGCCCGTACGTATATTGGTGGCTATTATAAAATACGGTTTTTTTTTTTTTTTTTTTTTGCATGTAGAATGTCTTATTATAGTTAAACACGGCATCTTCTTTGTTCGGTGTCGGACTCAGTTCGCGCGAAACGAGATCCCGGGCGTGTCTTTGCGGGCGGTAGGTGACCGCTTACCGAATATATCGCGGGGTCAAATATTGATTTGAGCGTGATGGAGGAGGCGCGGAGGCAGTTATCACGAACCGTTCCAAACGATATTGTTCCCGAGACGTCATGATATGCATATTTATTAATATATAGCCGAAAACGTCGCCGCGTATGCCCGCCTGTATTAGACGTCTAGTCGTTTTGAGCGGACGGGTGTTTTTTTTCCATATAGTTCATCAGAAACGTCAATTAAGTTTCGTTTTTAAAATTTGACACACGAGTGTAATATTATTATCATGATAATAAATATTATAATAATACATTACGATCCGATCGTTCGATAAATCGATAAATAACATATCGGATGATTGCGTTTGATATGTAAACACCTGCAATATCAACACGCTTAATATATCTTTACGAACCGTATACCGTAATATAATGTGTACATTGTTTTAACCTTGAAAGCGTCATGATAATGTTTCGAAGTTGGTTTTTTTACATCGTCTTTATTTGGGTTTAGAGGAAAAAAAATATTTTAAACTCGAAACTATAGCCGTTCATATACTGCAGTATCCTGTGATAAAACGGTGTATTGTCGTTTGGGTCCATTTCCAGTGTCCCGTTGTGTGTGTCTAGTATAATTTCTGTAACGCGGTCTTGGAATATCGAAAGTCGTCGGGACACCGGGCGCTTATACAGAAACGGTTTTCTTTTAGTACCTATTCCATCCGCCATGTCAATAGCACGACTATCGTAAATTTGATTATCGTTTAATGAAATTTATTTAGATCAATAATAATAATTATATTGTTTTATTAGTACTATTAGTATTGTTATTATTTTTTTATTAACAAACGTAATATTTAAATTTAATAAAAAAAAAACAATACATTATCGACGTTTTCGATCGTTTGAAGTCGTTCGAACGTAACCCAAGTAAAGTCGGACGCGCTCTTTTGAAAAGTGCGATAGACAATAGTCGGACTGAAGCGGCCCAAGTCTCGGCGATCGCGTTGTCAACACAGGGGAAACGGCCACGGCGGATCCGAGTCGTAGTTTTGCCGTTCGGGCGATAATTTCTCTGTGCGATAAACTGCCGTTTTCCATAAAAAAAAAAAATAAAAAAAAAATTTATATACACGAGTAATAAACGTCGTTGTTAAACATATGCGCGCGTTTCCGGTCGCGGTACCAGACGATATTCCGTGTGCAAACGGATCGTTTCCACCTCACCACGCCTGTATCCACTAGCGAATATGTTTTCACAAAAGTCATTTACGTCGTCTCGACGGGTAAAAGTTGTTGCACCGCATGTAAATTGCAACGCGTCCGAAATCGCAGCGGGACTGCTAGGTATTTATATCGTCAAATATTCGGACCACCGCGACGAGATTTTTTTTTTTTCTAGATTCTAAATATCGGGCAAATAAACTATACAATTACAGTTACCGTTACGTCTCGTTTTTCTCTCAGAAAACACTTTTTCGGTCAGGCGAAAACGCTTCGATCTCCCATCTCGCGTTCGCCGGCTATTCCTCATGTCATTCTCAACCGCATCCAACTACTTCTTATTTCGATCATCCTCTCCAAAGCTTTCCTCCTGCGGTATTTTCATTACAATTCTTACGGATTCAGATTCATATTATCACCGTGACTTCTCCCCGTGAAGTCGCGAATTTCGTTTTGTAAGTTCGTTGGAGTCATTACTTTGATATGTTTTTTTTTTTTATAAATATTTTCATAATACGTATTTTCGTTACGATCGTAAATACTAACGTAGGCTATCATAATCGGCCACTTTTACACTCGTATCGGATTTTGAAACACGTGTAAATCGAACAAATTTAATACGCTGACTATACGTTCTATTCGAGTATAATAAATTTTTCGTATTTTCGAACAGTCTGGCAAATTTATAATATATACGGCGCGTATACCTATAACACGTTACAGACGATCGCGAATATCGTTGCCAAACACGGCAAAATATTATTTTATCCAACTGTGTACATTCAATTGTTTCTATACGTATAGGAATACGTTATAAAATAAACATTCGAATTTTTTACAGAATTCGTTGAAAATTTCGACTGATTTGAAATTATTATTCAAACACGTGCGCAAACAAAATCCTCTCTCGTTTGTCGGTCGTTTCGTTTCATATACCAAAAAAAAAAAAAAAACTGTTCATAGTGCGTGCGTTTACAATCGATATTATTCTGAAAAAAAAAAATTTAAAAAAAATTTAATAATGTACAATCAGTGTTTCATTGTACTAGTATTTTGTTTCATGTTAAAACAACGAAACTGCAAGAAAACAATTAACGTGTTATTCGCTACTGCTGCAATATATTATTATTCTATGAAGAATATGTGTACATGGACATTTTTGTTTTTTTTTTTTTTTTCTGCGAAAACGAATTTTTTAATAATATAACAAAAAAAAAGAAAAAAAGAAAACACGACCGGTTTCGTTTCGGCGTTTCAATTTTCAAACGAGTAACGAACGTGTGAATTATCATTTTATACCGACGAATCGCGTATGCGTAACTGCGGTTACAAGGGGGGAAATACACACGTTCGGTTCGTTGAACGGAAAAATCGACATATTTTATTTATTTCGGACCCGGCTTTTGCGAATTGTCACCGTTGTCGGGTTCGGGTAGATTAGACGCGGTAGGTAGGCAAGTATTACGTACCGCAAACGAAAAAGTCTCTACGATAATTGTTTTCGACCGCGCGCCCGGTGAATACTCCCGGCGGGGCCACGCCGCTGAACCGCAATCGGCCGGTACGACGGCCGGCGTTTGTAACGGTCGTTATATTTCTCACTTTCACACTTTTTCTCCCTCTCTCTCTCACACCGTCTCTCTCTCTCCTCCTCTCTGTTTCGCTGTCGTCCGCGTATCGGAATAATTATCCCGTACACAATCGGAGTGTAAAGTGTAAGCCGCTGCGCGCGCGCAACGGCCGGCGTACAGTATACGAGTTGTCGGTTCGCATAACACAATGCCGTAAAAACAATATGACCGAACGCGTTTGCGATTGCGTTTACGCGGCCGGTCCCCTGTTATTTTTTTTTTAATAAGGTATATCGCGGAGCTAACCCCCCGCTCTTGATAAAACGTTATAACGCGGCTGCGACGCGGTGCGATTATTGTTGTTATTATTATTTTTTTCCCCTCTTTTTCCTACTTGTTTTCTTTTTTTTTTTTTACTATTATTATTTTTTAATGTCACCTGTGTTGCCGCCGCCGTCTCAATACTTATATATATATATTGTTGTGTAAATTCTTCGCGTACCGCACGCGTACATATTTCCGTACGGGTATGCCTACAACCCGTGACTGGTTTTCGCAAAACGGTCGCCGCGACGTTCAATACAGTATTGAAAATGAAGAGAAAAAACAGGAAAAAAAAAAACCAATAAATTCCCGTTGTTTAAAATTTCACTTTCAAGCGCGCGCGCGGTCTGACCGGGATGCGATATTATTGTTATTATTATTTTTATTATTATACCAGAGCGCGTTTTCGCCGTGTCGATGAAGTTTCGTTCGAAATTACCCGCAGAGCTGGGCCGACACCTATAGGGGCCGACCCGGAGGCCGATCCATCACCGTAAATATACGGTGCCGAGTACCTGTAACAATACCGTAGTCGAATCGCTCGACATTTCCCGGTCGTTTCCAACGCGGTTTCGTTTAAAGATAACGAAAACCACAGAAAATTATAATTTTGTACATTGGCAATCGTGAAAACCAAGTACCGAACGAGCGGTGAACGTGCACCGGAGGATTCGGCACACGGTTAATTATTATTAGATTTCGCACGAAGCTTTCGTGGCTTAACAATCAAACCGTGTGTTATTAATACAAATAGCATGCGATTTAAAAATGATTTTACGAAATGCAATGTTTACCATTTGACGGTTCAATTGTTATTGATTCGATCTCATTCGTCCGGATAATGTGTAAAATAACACCCGAAACGCAAAACCGATCGTTGCAGTGTTGTTAATCTCGCCCGGTAGTCTGTCTCTGATGAAATGGACATTTCTCGTCCGCGACGGCCGAATTGGATAACAGTAATTAATACAGGAAATCGACCGGTCCATAAGTCGACAGTTTGCGAAAAAAAAAAAAAAAAAAAAACGTATTTTACCGGTCCGGTGAAAAACGTGCGTGCCACATTTCGATAAATAACGGAGCTCATTACGTCCTCCGCGCCGTATCGCATGTGTACGTTTTGTTGTACACGCGCATGTTGTTTTTTTAAACTTTACCGCGCACAGTTTGCCGGTGCACACGCCGTTCCGGCGATCCGGTGTGACGCGTAGGAGCGAGACACTTTTCGGCCAAAACAATACCGAGTTGCTGAGCCCCTCCCGTGCGTGTTGATAAGTACAAAATACTCATAACGAAAGTTTATGAACGTGTATCAAGGAGATTTGTTTGTGTGTTTTTATGGTTAACGTGTCCTACTCGTAGTTGAACGTATTTATTTATGTGTCTCGCGTACGAATACACGTGTATACGTGCGTTTGCGTTATGACAAAAAAAATTCAAACGTCCTGTTCGAATTTGTCAGCAAGTCCCCGGTTCGCCGCATATCAAAATTACACCGAACAATGCAATTACCGATAATGGGCGAAGTGAATGGGTCGAAAAGCGAATGGGGCGGCGGTTTCGGTCGAAAAAGGGAACCGGCTTTTTTTTTTTCAATCCGGTCGAAAACGGTGACGCCGATGCGACTCGGCACACGCGCCCGAGACCGTAAACACAAGTTTATCGTACTGCTGCCGCGGTCTTATCATTCATCCCAACTGCGGCCCGCGGACAGCGCGGAAAAGTCCGTTAGGTTAGGTTAGGTTCGGCGACGAACGTTGTTTACGATTTCCCGACAAGCGAAAATTGTTCGCGACGAGTCGAACCGGGTTTCCGGCGTTTCGAGTGGCGCCGGGTTTACGACGATTCGGCCGAATCCGCAGGCCCGTATTCGCCGCGAACGGTTTGTGAAAACCGCGTCTGAAAAAAAAAAAATCATTATTCCGCGGTTGTTACGCTCAAACACTCGGGCGGCGGTCGGGTCCGGGAAATGGCGAGACGAAAAAAACGCGCGGCGGGGCCGAAGCGAGCAACACAATCGACACGCGCGCGTGCGCTCGCGGCGAAACGACGCGCGTCGGAAAATCTACGAGATCGCTCTCCCGTTCGCCGGCGACGGTGGCGGGACGAAATAATTGTGTTGTCGAATACCCGCGGCGGCGGACCGACCGAAACGGAGTCGGGTGGGAGGTTCATTTTTCAACGGCGTCCGACTATTTTTTGTTTTTTCTTGTTTCCCAGACCGGCGGTTCCGGCACGCGTACCGCCAGCGGGGTACTCGGACAGCTCGTCGGCGGTACGCGAAGGGATTTCTCGACAAGCGAAACGAAAAAAAATCGTATTAGTCATGACGCTGCGGCATATCGGACCCATTAACAATAATAAGTAAATAAGTAAACAAAAAGTCGAAAAACCGTATACCGACCGGTACGTGAAAAACGTGAAAACGACACGCGGATGTGAAAAAGGCCGAGATGATTAGTTCCGGTATTATCGATTTTTTAACGATTCGAAATCAGTATCGTATGCGGGGCGTAGGTACAGTGCTGGGGACTGTCTGCGAAACTCTCCTCCGTTATCGCGACGCGCCGCGGACCGGCTGATTTCCGCGCGGTAACGCTACCGGCGGTGTAATTCGGCGTTACGATTTAACCGCGATAATTACATTATTTCCGTTAGAATCGAACGGTAGATGCCGCACGGACGGCGTCGTAAACCGCTTGTCTCTATTATACGGTTTCAAAAGCATTGCGCTCGTATTCACGCTTGTCAAATATTTCCGAATAATATTGCGAACAAATGACGTAATTTCAAATAGTATTACCCATGCACTAAAACTCAACCGAGTTAGTTAACGACGCGACACGCGAACGGCTTGATTACGGGCCACTAAAAACAGGCAGCTCACAGAGTTACTGAGACCCGGTTACTTTTTAACTGTATAAAACGCATTTTCCGAGAGCGCATAACCGCCCGGTCGGTAATCTCCCGTCACACGAGCATTCCGTCACCGGACGGGGTGTCAAAAATAAATTCAAAGTCGTAAATAAATCTAAGTTGTAAGTGATCAAGTTTTTCGGACTTGGGGAAAATAATGTATTTGAAAAAAAAGGTGCGCGGCCGGGCAACCATCATCAACGGATGACGTGACACGGCACTACCGACATCTGCAGGGAACGGCGAGGGGCGACCGATGACGTCGACGACGACGACGACGACGACGACGACGATGACGACGCCGTAAAGAGGCGTGCACCCGGGGGCGGCAGAGCGGACAGGCGACAGGTGGCGGCCGCGGCAATGTCGTCGTCGTCGGGAGAACCGCAAAAGAACCGGCGCGTGTCCAGCAACCTGTGCCGGAGCGCGTCCGCGTCGTTGGGCCACTTGGACAGGCGCCGCGGCGACGGCTGCAGCATGATGATGTCGATGGGCGACAACGGGTGCGGCGGCGGTGGCGGCTCGTCCGTCATGGGCGACGGCGGCGGCGGCGGCGATTACGGGGACGGCGGCGTCGGAACGCTGTCCGACTCCGGCGGCGGTGGTGGCGGCGGCGGCGGCGGCGGCGGCGGTGGCAGTAGCGGCAGCAGACTACTCCGACGCCACCCGTCCGAGTTCGGGTCGCTCAACTGCCTGCACAGGCCCCGCACCCTCATGGAGGCCCTGCTCATCGCCAAAATGGAGAGGGCCTCGCTAAACGGATGCGGCGGTCACCAGTACGGTTCGCATCCGTCGCTAGTGCGCACCGATTCGATCGGGTCGACCAGCTCGCTGGACTCGCTGTCGTCGTTGAACAGCGACGTGTGCCGTTGCGACGACTGTCTACTGGGCATCGCCGACTTGTACATCAACACGTTCGCGTACGAGGGACGCCACAGAAAGGTACGCTCCGTCACGCCACTAATCTTAACACTCTTACTGTATGTAGGCCGGAAATTTCTACGTCCTAAAAACATTTAAATTATCACGACGCGCGTACGTGCAATAAACATAGTACGATAATGACAAAAAAAAAAAAAATCACGTTGAAAATGTCCTAAAATTACGCACTTAAAATATTCTCTAAAAAACACCGAAATACGCGAAATAAAATTGAGTACGCGTCAATCGTGATTGGGCGGGAAATGCGCTTTGGTATAAATCAGCTACATTTTTAATCAATACAAAAATTCAAAACTGTATAAATCTCTGCCGTAATTACGTACCAAACTATGAATTACATTTGGACTCGTAAATTATATGCACTTCCGGATCTCTGTGGCGAGGTATCGGAATACTCCCGACACTACCCGGTGTAAGAGGCGACGTCGGATCGATAACCGGTGTAAAAAAATGTTTGCAAATGGTTTGGGAAGTTTCAAATAAAGTCTGGGCGAATGATTGTCCCGTCCCGGATGTATGCGGGAACAGAATAAAAAGAAGACGATGTCTTCGATATAGAGTTCAATGTGGTTCGATAAATCGGAGAGAAGCGTTAGGTGTGTTACGTGACGAGATAATTGCTACGAGGCTTAAATGTAAGTTCTACAAAAGCGTGGTGAGACGTATGGTTTTGAGTGTCGGACAGTAGACAGAAAAATAGAACAGACACTGAATCAATCAGAAACGAGCATGCTTGGGTGGGTGAGTGGAGCGATGAATTCATACGAGGTAACTGCGGCGTGGTTTCGGTAACTATTACAAAAACGGAGTGAGAAAGTGTGAGCATGTCATCACGAGAAGACAGTAATCGGTAGTGGTAAGAATGGAAATGAAAATAAACGTGGGAGGAAAAGAGAAAGAGGAAGACCGAAAAATGAATGTTTGGATACGACGGAGCATATGGGGTGAGAACGCTGAAGGACAGCCAGATTATGCGAGTGGAGATCGAGTGGAAGTTTCAGACCCCATGGCCGACCCCAAACGGCTGGCGCGAAAGCGAAGAACGATAAAGAAGAGAACAATTGAATGCTTTAAAAATCGTTAAAAAAAAAAAAAAAAACCGCAACATTTCTAAAATGAAAACGCGGATCTCCAGCGGTATACAACCGTAGTATCGTTCTATTTGTTATACGTGCTCATATCTGTCGTTTTCATTTGTTATAGTAAAATCAGATAAAAAGAGAAAAAGGTAAATATACAAAACGTATGTGAAAAACACGGTGCGCGGCACGGGGGAACGGTGAGAAATTCGCAGTTAGAAAAATGGTCGGGGCGGGAGACTTTTTTGCGTTTTGCGTTTTGCGTTTTATCGTACGGACGTACATAACAATAACGCACCCGAAGACACGGGAGACGAACGACGGTTAACGAGTTTGACGCATCCGCAGCTGACGCGCCTTGTCCGCAAGACGCGCGTGGGCGTGCGTGTTGGGCGTTGCCGCGAGCACTCGGGAATAAACTCAAACTCGTTCGGTTTGTTTGTTTTTTTTTTTTTTTTTTACGCGAACGATATTTTTTCCGACTAGAGAGTCTCTACCGTTTTCAAATTCGAATTTCACCATTTTTTTTTTTTTTTTTCTAATAAAATGCTCGGAAAATATTTCTACGGTAAAAAAAAAAAAAAAAACACAGGCGGGGGCGAAATTCTACTCTACGTACCGTATGGTAACGGGAGTCCCGGGGGAGACGCTCGCCGGCGCGTATGTTACAACGCGTTCGGAACGACGGGCAGTATTTCGGCGCGGTGTTGCGGTGAAGGATGGCGGGCGGGGGCTTTATAAAGAAAAAAGAAAAAAAAAAAAAGTAATCAAAAAGAAAAAACGCTACCGGTCGGCCGTTTTACGCGAACGAAAATAAATCCGTCCGTCTGGCGCACGCGAAAAGACGGACACCGCGCGGGGTGACGACGCGCGCGCGGGCACACGCGTCGTGTCGAAAGCGAAATATTGCGTGCCGGCGCTTGTTCGTCCGTCCGATTTATCGATGCGGAAACAGCGTTCGTCCAACGGGTCGTCGAAAACCGAAAATTAATTGAAACAAATAAATAATACGAGCGTGATTTATTCGGACCGACGGGCCGCGGTGCGCGTGTCCGTTTCGGTTTAACAACACGCCGACGCGCATCGAAAGCCGGCAGGTGTGTGTTGTTAAAAAGAAAGAGAAAAAAAACAAACAGAATTTTTTTTTTTTTTTGGGGGGGAGGGAAAGCTAATTTTAAATACGGCGGTGCCGAACGCCCGCCAGTAACCCATCCCAGCCCGCCCGCCACCCTTATTCGAAAACATTGTCGGCATTGTCGGATTCCGTCTTGTCGAATGCGAGACCGTATTCGTTCTTTGTCACATTTCGATTTGACTATGCGATATTTTTTGTCATAATTTGTGTTTTTTTTTTTTTTTCGGCCTACTATCTTGTAATAAATCACGGCCCTGACGGTCCCGAAAAACCCTCGACCCGTGACAAACCTAACCGAACACGAGTTCAGCGCGTAATTTTCTCAAACGTTTAACGCTCGGTACGCTGCTGCCGGTGAGCGCGGAACGTGTCAATTTATCCGCCGAAACGTTTGTGAGAGACGACGGCACATTCGGTTTTCCGTCGCGCACCGATACCGCCCGAGTCGTTTGTCGGGGTACGTTTTCGCGTCGTAAAAAACGGTTCTTTTGTCGCGGACATAATGCCATGATGAGGCTTGTTTCGTAGCCACCGGTCGCATTGAACCGTATTCGTTGGATGACCGGATTATTAGGCATCATCATTCTCGGATTCGTGCGAATTCGCGCATCTGCTTGCCGGTGGAATACGTACGCGTACCGTATGCGAAAATATTCGTCCCCGCGGATGATAAATTGTCGTACGGTCGGGTCGACGTTACTATGTCCGTGCGTATCCGTCCGGCCCGGTCTTTTCTGCGGTCCAATAACCGCGTGACAAACGAACGGCGTTCGTATATTGCCGTGCTCGTCGATCACTCCGCCAACGATCCGACGACGGCGACTGGGGAGAGAAAAAAAAAAAAAATGTCCCGACGGGAAAAAACGGTTTCCGACGTCGAATCATCTCGATAAAATCAACCGAAATATTATTTATCATTTTTTCATGTTGTTTCCCGGTTTTGGTCGACCGGAACGACGCCCCTGACCGCCGATCGACAGGCAACCCATCGTGCGTCAGCGGTTGTTACGGAGCGAACATCACTGTGAACGGCGGCTTACGTCTTGTTCAGCGGCGCGAAATCGAAATCGGTCGGCATTAAAAGATTCGATCGCGCAACGTGTCGACCGCGCTTTTCGTTGGGACACCGATTAACGCGATTTCGGCCCCGGGGAACGAGACGGTTTTCAATGTTATTTATTTATTTTTTCTCCTCCATACCGTTTTCTCGCGAAATTTTTCGCCATAATTTTCGAATAGTTCAATACTTTAAAAACATTTTGTCATTTATTTATTGAATATATATAATTTTTTTCTTTTATTTATCCTCGGGAACAGAGAAATTTAAATGCGTGTTGTAATTTAGTGGATTTCAGGTTTCTGACTTGTGTTTCCCCCCTCCCCCACAATAAAACACGTTTTTCTTGGTTTTTTATTGGCTTTTTCTAGACGCGGTAAATTCTTGGACCATTATAGCGATTTTTAAACCAACTATTTGCATTTGACATTTTCGAGGATTTAACGTGGCTTTTATTTCGCGGGTATTTTTTGGACTTCTATTCTGACGGTTTTATAAGACATGTCCGAAGATTTAATGAAAAAAAAAAAAAAAATGTTCGAAATGTAGAGAAACCGTAAATTTTTTTTTCACTTTGACGGCGTTCGGAATAGTAATAAATTGTAAAGTGATTTTCGTTGAATCCGATCCGTGTGAGTTTCGGATGTTTTTCGCCGATCGAAAACGCGTTTTTTTTTTTATATGTTCGACGTACGGGTGAAGTGAAACCGAGAGGTTCCACTCTCGGTATCTAAAAGAAAATGAATTTCGAAAAAAACGGAACAAATAATACTGGTCGGGAAGAGGGAGGGGGTTGGGAGGGGAGACGGATCGTTTGGCGCTTCGACCTGTCGACCGTCCGACGTCCTGAAAGCCGGTTTCAACTCTTCGGATACTGAGCGCGTTGTGTTGCCTACACCATACCCCTTTGTTCGGCACGTTTTTACAATATTCTTATTGTTTTTTAACGCGAAGACGTGTCGAAATTCGGAGGCGTTATCGGCGGCCGCAGATATTATTCTTTTTTTTTTTTTTTTTTTTTTTTTTTTTAATTTTATTCATGCGATTCACAATACGTAACTGAAATAATGCGCGACCGCGCGTTTTCGTTGCCGCTCGTGCGAAAAAATATTGCTGGAGGGGAGTGGGGAAAGAACCGTTGAAATTCCGCCCGAATGTACGCGCGGCGGTCAACAACAACGACAGCAATAATAATATAGTAATAAAAAACAAAAAAAAAAAAAAATAAATAAACAGACGTCCGCCACGGCGAGTAGTGTCGGCGGGTTTTTTTTTTATTTACATGCTCGTATATTAGTATTATTATTATTTTTTTTTTTCTATTGAGATTCGGATCGCCGAAACTACCTGTATTGTAGCGTTACAGGTCCCATAACGTTATTACACGCGAGTCATAAATAAAAACGATAAACGGGTCGTTTGTTTGTGCCGGTATTTATACGAAATTTTTTTCGCGTGCCGCGGTTTAAAACTACACCCGTAATAATATATTGTGCGCCGGTAATAACGTACAGAGTTGTATCTGCGGGGTTTGAAAATTGCCCGACTTGCAGAAAACGACCGAACGCTAGCCTCGAATACACTCCGTATTACATGTAACATAATATAAACGACAATTAATTGTACACTTGTGTTTTTTTTTTTTAAATTTTTTTTTTGTTCCTGTAAATCAAAAACGTCTCCGACGAAACCTTTGTCGAAACAACGGCCGTCGAAAAAAACACGCCTTGTCGACGTTCCGCGGGTCCGAAAAGTAAAATCGGGTTATGCGAAAAAAATTCCGGCGGCCGGTCGGCCAGAGCGCTCGGGTTCGCGCTCGATGAAAAATCGTCGTCGTCCCGGAAAATAATCCAGTTGTTATTATTACAAATCGGATAAAAAAAAAAAAAAAAAAAAAAAAAACTGTTTTCCTAGACATTCGTTTTTAATACGCATAACGGACACGCGGAACACAACGCGATGATGGCCGGACGGGAACCCTTTAAATGGACGTGAAATAACTATAGTCGGTCGGTCGGTCGGTCGCGCCGGTCGGTCGGTCGCGCCGGTCGGTCGGTCGGTCGTTCGCGCCGGTCGGTCGGTCGGTCGGTCGCGCCGGAGTGCCGGCAGACGGGACCGTATTATTATCAGTCAACCGCGGCGGCGTTGCGGCGCGAGCAACGAGGCCGGTTTAAACGCCGCGCGCCTACCGACCGCAAATGTCGCGGACCCGCGCAATCGCGTAACAAGTGAGGTCGAAGGATGCCGGGATTACAGGATTGAGCGTGCGCCGGTTAGTTAATCGTTGATCGTGGCCGGGCGCGCGCAGAATATGATATTATTATCGTCGGTGCCCGTATATACAGCTGCGCGCGCTTTTGCGTAAAAGCCTTTAAACTATACGCGCGCACTTTTGCGCTCGAAAACCCCAGAGCGTACGTTGAAAATTGGCCGTACGTTTATTTCCCCCCCCCTTTTCTTCCGCAATACTCAATACGTTGTTACGCCGAGACGACGGCCGCGATAAGGGAAAACGACGAATTGCCCGTTTGATTTAATTATCGTGTGCGACGCGCCGCGACCGAACAAATAAAACAAAAAAAAAAAAAAAACTATTCGTCCTCGCGTGACCGTTACTTCGGCTCTCCGCGTATAAACGTGTAAACGATATGTGTGTTATAGATTCGATTGAGCGCCGTCGCGTTAGCAATAACGAAACGGTCGTCGGCGATCGATGACCGCGGACGTCGTTCCGGTAATATGTCATTTTTTTAAGAAATTTCGCAACCCCCCCCCTAGGAAAACAATAAATACACTCGGGTACGCGGCCAGTAGAGTTACGGACTCGGTCCTTTGTCGTCGCGTGAAAAACGGCTTTTTACGGCCAACAACGAGTGCGCAAACGTTTTATGGCCCGTCCACCGCCCCGGTTATTTCGGTTATTCACGCGCTCGCATTTGTCGAAACTAGGAGAGACACATTTGAACTGTCGAGCCGTTGCGGCCGCGCGAAAATCGACATCGTTACAACGCGTTTTGGTGTTTCACGACGCGCTACTTTGTACGTATAATAATATTTCGCGTGCGCGCGGCAACAGATATTCGGTTGTTTTATTTTTTTTTTTTTTTTGAAAATAATATCGCCGAATAATTGATCACCGCGAAAGAGCGCTTTTTGTCGCGTCACCGGGAATAAGTGCAATTTCGGAGAATCGATTATCGCGTCCCGCTATTAGTAATAATTACGCTATGTTTATATAAAAATCAATATCCAATGATATTTTCATTTTTGATTTTTTTTTTCCTTTTTATCCGGGACCGTGTCGGCGAAACGTTTTCGATTCGCTTTTAGACTGTACTGCGACGTGACCGCGGATATAGAGCCCGGCACACACCGAGGCGACGCATAAAACGACTTTTCAGGTCGAAGTGTGTCGGCACGACAAAAGTAACACGTTTCGCTTTCAATCGAAACACGAAACGAATTGTCGATGAAACGTTTAGTTACTTCTGGAAATGTACCGGACGTTTCGTCGTGTCAACATATTTCGATTTAAAAAGTCGTTACGTGTTGTCTCGGTGTGGACCGGGCTTGACGCGTCGCGACGATGGACGTTGCGGGCCAATCGATCCGCGTAATACCAAATTTACCGTTTCGGTTTAGCGCTGTCGTAGCATCGGTACAGATTTGCATTGCGGGCGGATCATAGTATATTACGAGTAGTTTGGTTTGGAAAACCGTCGTGATAGAAAAAAAACAAAAAAACAAACGAAATTCCGAATTAAGCCGTTATATTGTTCAGCAGTAACGGAGAAACCGAATCGACTGGGAAAAATAAAAACCTACAAATAACCGCCGCCGCCGCCGCCCAACCCGAACGACGCGTCGACCGCAGAAAAGACGCGACACCGATCGTCGTACATTCGGAACAATATATCCGGTAGAAGTGTAGAACAGATTTGGCGAACGGCGTTGAACAGCGATAAAAAAACAAAACGAAAGAAAAGAAAAAAAAAAACACGCACGCATCACGGTAAAACCGACCCGTTCCTCGCTGTGTTTAGTTACTCTACGCCGGTGACACGTCCGCAATTCGCGTGCGATTATCGGTCATTTCGATGTAAATCGGATAGCGTGACGTCACGGGTGCTGTACTTTTGATAAATGCCGTTTTGTTGACGGTTATCGCGTTCGGTTAGGGAGTTCGGCGGATGAAGTTCTAGAAGGGACATTTGCCCCGCGCGCACACCCCCACCCCCCACCCCTCCTCTAGATTATACCCGGATCAAACGCGGAATTTCTGGACGCTCCGTATTTTCGCGTCGGTTTTCAGACGATCAACTCGTCAAACCCGGTACGACACTCGTGCGCGGCGAACCCGACGTGTGCGGTGCAGTGTCGCGTCCGAAATGACGGAGAATAGCGGTGCGGTGTGGCCGCGCGTGAAGATCAAAAAAAAAAAAATAAAAAATTGTTCCCGACAGTTTCGGGCGTGACGTTTAGAAACACCGTTGTCGTATCGCGACGTTCGTACGATTCCGGGGATGCGTTGAGTTTTTAACGGCCGTCGTGGTATCCGCTCCGGGAAAACCGCCGGACGAGTAGCGAATCGCCCCGCCGCGTATTGTGTCCGCGGTTGTTACAATCGGTCGACGCGCGGTCCGTCCCGTATTTCGATTGTTGATAATATTCGCCCGTCTCGGCTATACGCGTCGTCGTCGTCGGTTTTTTTTTTTTTTTTTTTTTTTTTTGTTCCTTTACAATAATATTATTATACCGCACCTCGGGTCGACTTTCTCCTCTATTTTCGAATCTAGTTTACCCCCCACCATCTCCGCCGCCGCCGCCGCCGTCGCTTTTACGCCGAGTGTCTATCTACTATCATCGCCAATATTACCACTACTACTACTACTACTACTACTACTACTCCTACTACTATTACTACTACTACTCCTACTACTACTACTACTACTACTATTACTACTACTATTACTACTACTGTTTACTACGGCTACTATTTTTTACCGTGTTTAATAATAGATAGACCGTGCCCTGTTATAGAGATGACGGTTCTAAATAATTATCGATTTGTAATCGGAGCGAAATGAGAGTTGAAAAAGATTTTCGAAATGGGAGGGAGGTGGTGGAGGTTAAACCCACCTAACGCATTACTAAGTAGTCTATCGGTTTGCGGAGTGATCCTCGGTCAACTGTCACACCCGGCAAAAAATGACAAACTGGAACGATACACGGAAGAAAAGTAAATTGCTCGCTCTGTTTAGGACATTCTAAATTCCCGATCGATTCCTGTTGACCCGCGTTGACGAGATATTTCACTTTTAAGTTTGGGTAGGGGAGAGTCGCGGAACATCATTTGTACGGCGTTACGAAGTGAGGTGTTTGAATAATCACTGCCTTTCCCTTGTTTAAACATAAAAGCGGAATAACTCAACGGACAGCGGGAACACAAATCTTCAACGCCGAAATGTATTTTAATTAATACTCCGTATATTTCTTCTTCTTCTCGACCTTTTACGGTCCATGAAGGGTTTTTAATGCCTCTACTACATTCTTCCATTTGATTCTATCCATGCTGTCCGCTATTGAAACTCCCCGAGTGCACCTATTTATCACCATAACCTGCCTATCCAGTATTATCTAGAACGAAAATTCCGTTGGCCCTCCAGACGAGATTCCAGTCCATTCAACTTGTTTACTCTTGAGATAAACATTGTTACTGGGTTTCTGGTATATTTATGATATACGTATCTGGTATATGTACGAGTAAAGGTTGTCATTTTGAAGATCACAATTATAAGTTTGACAAAAAAAATTTACGTTATTGTAATATTTTAGAACTGCTTGTTTCGTAAATAAAAAAATATTAAAAAAAAACTCGAAAAAAATTAGTACTTTCCGAGATTAATGAGTGCCTTATCGAGGATTGATCGTCCTGTCTCTCTCTCTGTCTTGTTAATTTATTATTCCCATAACCCCCTCACATGAATAATAATTATCGTTATCTCTGGATCCGTCGAACCATTTTGGGTTCTTACTGGCGATTCGGCGCCCGTGGTCCGCGTATCGTATAATGTTCGCGTTGGCTTCGAAGTCGCAGATCCGTTTAATAACGAAGACACGGAGGCCCGCGGCTAGACGATATTTGTCTGCGGCAACACGAGTTCGACGAACCCAATATAATTATTATATTACAATAATATTACCGTCAAAATTATGCACACGGTTGTTTGTGCGGGATTATTTAATTTAAAAAAAAATCAAAAATACAAACAAGCCGTAGGTACGGGTGGGCCGCTGTTCGAAAGGCGTGCAGGGAGAACGTGATTTAGTTTAAACTATAGAGTTTAGATATCATTGTCGTAGCTCAATAAAACATAACGAAAAAATAAAAAAATAATGCCGTTAGTTTCAATATTAGAGCGAACTAACCTATTATTGGTGGCGGATCCAGGATAAAATAACGGGGGAGAGGCCAATTTTAAAAATGCATATAAAGCACGCATTTATGACTAGCTCAATGACTTTTGCGTGTTAAGAGTATAATAGCCCCTATCGCCGTCCCTGGATCCGCCGCCGATCAGACTCAGAGATAAGAATATTATCTGTGTCGGATCGTCGTTTTTAGTTTTCGTCGACTAGATCGAATTAGATTAAAATAGATTACTATATTTATAATAGACACCGTAGTGAGTAAAAATTAAAACCAATGAAATCGAAATGTGTGTGTGTGGGAATCTAGAAAATAAAAATGTCGCAAACGTTTAAGAGTTACTGCTCCACGCGTGTCATGTATTTCGTCCGGATTGTATTTGTATCGTCGGTTTCCATCGGATTAAAAGACTGTAGTATAGAAATGTCTCGAAAAACTCCGTGCGAAAAATCCGCGTATTTTCCATGGTTTCGGAAGATTTTTACTGACTTTCACGGACGTAAATGATTCAAAATTTAAAATAAAAACATGCGCGGATTCTTGAAAAAAAAATCCCGTTCGATCTGCTCAGAAATCGTAAAATACGCATTTTAGCGATTGTTTGTTCTCGCAAAACACTAATCCCGATTTGAAAACAGATTAATATAAATGTTTGTTTTTTTTTTTTTTTTGTTCTAGGTAAGCAGAAATATAAAAATAGATTTTTTACTGTCGAAACGGACGGGGAGGAAAATTTGAACGACGCATAATGCCGTCGAATCGGTGAGTTTTAAAACATAAATATAAGCTTTGTATACAAAATAACTCGAGAAAAGAATTTGTAAAAATAAAAAAAATCTTTTTAGTAAAATACCAGGTTTCCCGTAGTCGCCCCGATTATATCTCGACAAAACTGACGGATCAAAATTTTTAAATTTTAAAATCTATATACGAATATGCGGGGGCGCTTACACTACAATTTCACGAACAATGGTACCTTAGTGAATTTTATTTGTTTTTCTTATTTGTCGATTTTTTCGTCGGTTCCCATGCGATTACTGCGTTATTTACGATTTATGATTTTTCTCTTGATATTTTTAGAATCTGAGTGGAACGATAAATGCATTGGTTTTACAATGATGTTTATTTTATTTTATTTTTTGGTTTTTTTATGTGAACGCTTTTTCTACTCAGTATACTCCGATTATCAAGTATAGCACCTTTTCTGAAAGGAAATGTTCTCTGGGTGGTACTTTATACAGGTCATTTTTTTCAGATTCTCATTAATATTCGAGATAGTGAGGAAAACGTCGGTCTTTAGGTTAAACAAGATCGAAAGATTAAAAATATGGTTGTCATTGACAACCGTTTTTGTTTATTTTTTATTATTATTTAAATCTTTTTTAAACAGTCATTGCTGTCATGAAAACGCATATTGTTGTATCCATTTTACCATAATATGACAAATACCATTTATCGTATTGTGGACAAAGTAACATTATCAACGGAACTCAGTTCAAAATCGATTTTTCGTTAGCAATGGTTTATCGTTGCTTACAGATACATTAAATTCCCTTCTGTATCCTACCTTCCCAACTTCCCACATTCAACAGTGACTGCACCCACGTAAGAAGTATGTCCATCCTTGTTCAATTTTTTTTTTTTACACCGTCAATTCAAATTGGACCTGTGCGTACCATGTTATGAATTCCGCGTTACGATTGTCTTTATAGATTATCTTTCGTACTACGTAATTTAATGTTTTATAATTATGACTTAACAACTGGGTAATAAATTGTTCGGGTACGAAAAATTCCGTAACGGTTCGGTAACGACGATTACAACACGTGACGGAAAAACGTTTCGGCAAGAAGCGTTCGGGTCGTGTCGAAATCGTTACCCGTTTATTCTGTAGCGTCCGAAAAACGTAGCGGAGGTAACGGATTTTTAACGCGGTTAGCGACACTTCTGATAAAAACGGTTTGTGGAACCGAATTAAGAAAATCGGCTACTAAAGTATACATTGTAAACGTCTATGCACACAATATAAAACCAACGCTCATAGTTGGTTTTTAAAAACCGTTAAGATTAAAACAAATTTAATATTTTCACATTTCAATCAGTTTTACTAAAAATATGGATAGTTTTTAGAATATTTTGTTATTTTTGTTCCACCTAAGCATAAGCACGTTTAAAGTTTGCCATAATTGATATTTATTCGTATCGTAAGATAAATTTTCGATAATAACAATGGAAAATATTGTATTGTCTGAGCAATTATTATCACGATCCAAAACCCACGGTTAGATTATGTTAGGTTAGATTTTTATAATTTTTAGTAAGTAAAATTTTTACACGTGCAAAACAGTTATTTTTAATTTCCCGAAATTTTTTTTTTTTAGATTTCATAAATAAACGATTCAAGCACAATAATAATTGATAAAACAAAAAAAACCGGTGTTGAGCGACCTAACTAATAACGTAATTAAAAACTCATTAAAAACAAAAACTAACCCGAAAGCGGCTAATTTTGTTCAAAGACCGTTCGTAAAACCAAAACCGAATATTTCAAAAACCGGTTTTGAAAATCAAAACCGAGACCGATAAATTTCACAAACCTATTTGAAAATCGAAACCGTTAAAATTGATAACGGTTTCGAGTCTTGTACTTGAATCGTCTATTAGGTAATATATTATATCTTAAAACTTGCATGGTATCCGAATAACTAAAAATCGTATTCAATCTTTATCTCGGATAAATCGTTTGTCATTGTGTAACTTTATCCGGTATCTGAATAAACATTTCGGTTATTGCCTCGCGTCAAAAATTCGTTAGCGATGATCGATAAACCCCCCCGTTTATCGAAAAAAATCATTTAAATAGACGCCCCCCGTCTATTTAAATGATTTTTTTTTTCCGGTTTTTTTTTTTTCAACCCACTAAAATAATAATTCCGTCGTAACAACGGTTTTCGAAAATCATTTTGGAAATTGGATTATCGCCAACGCGAAACACATATTGTTGTAATATTATCATCACCGTCGTCGTCGTCGATGATAATTTAATCTCCGTTTACAACGAATTACGAACTAAAACGGATTATCGGCAATGTACAAGTAGGACAATATTTCCGGCGAAGCCGTAGTTACGAATTATCACGGGAGGGGGGGGGGGCGAAAAATAAAAATTATCGGTATTATTATTATTATTATTATCATCGTTATTTTATAAACGCAAAAATATTGTATAGCTTTTTTAGATTCCGATTGCGAATCAGTTTTTTTTTTTATTGCAACGATAAATGTATAACCTAAAGGTTCCCGAATTTCCAATAATAAAAACGTCACTTGATCGTACGGGCGATTGTTAAGAGAGTTTCCCGTGTCCCGATGGACACGCGGCAAAGTCCGTCGGATCGACCAGTATAAAGAGTAAGAGTTCATACTGACCGCGTGTCCACTAGAAAAACGAAAATAAATTATCGCATACTGTGTAACAAAATAACACATTTCCTAATGGGAAATACTCACGCTGGGTCGGTATGGTAATCTAATTTATATTGCCCAGGCGAAAAATTCGCCCGGAGATTCGTGCGATGGTTCGGTGTATCGTGCAAATAAATCATGATTCGAGAAATCCGAGGGTTTAAACCGGAGGACGGGAAATAATCACCAGAGTCAACAAACATTCGAGCGCATAACGTTTAAAACCCTTCGAAACTCTATGCTGCAATAACAATGTTAAAGATCGAATATTATTTTAGTAAAGTGTATCGACAGTTGTGTGTACAAAGACAAAAAAACCAAACGAAACTGCAATAACAATGTTTACGATTAAATATTACTTTTGTCAAGTTATAATAGCAATAACAATGGTAAACTTTATCGCGACAAAACATAACAGTACAGTAACTGTATAATATATGAATTAACAATCGTATACAATGCTGCGGCGCCCACTAAAAGCATAGCTCATTGTGCCGTGGGAACGAGTTCTTGACAATTTTTTAAGAGTGCGCCAAAAACAATCAGTCGTTCATAATAGTGCTATACGCACAGTAAGAAGGCAATTTATTTTATTTTATTAAAAACGTTAAACCTCCTTACGAATCCACTGTTTTCGATAAATCTAAGTGCCTGTTTCAAATATGTTTTAAAACATTTTAAATTTTAACAAATCGATCAATACTATACAGAACGCTTTTTTGTCTAAACAATAGACGTATGTTAACATTTTGCTTACGTCCAGTTGTTATGTCGACGGTCCGATACGGGCAATATGTTTACATAAATCTACTAGTACTAAATAGATTATAAACAGTCTTAACAATTTCAACATGAGGTTTTATTTTTTAATAAAAAAATAGCGCCAGTTTGTTTAGAAAGATTTAGTGTGATATATTAATCAGTAACATAATTTATTGTTACATTCAGCATAGAAATAATGTTGTTAACAGTTTATTCGTTAACAATTGGTCGAACTAAAACTAAATAAATAACTCTTCTATAAGATCTGTGTCTAATACATGCCTGGCTTCCTTAAATATACAGAACAATTTACGTAAATATGTGTACTAACTAATCGTGTGTATTAATAGTAGTGTAAAAAAAAAAGAAAAAAAATGGAAAGACAAACGTATGTCAGACCGGACCGTACAATAAAAAACGAATGTAATAATAATAATAAACGTGAACCGTATTTCGATATTTTAGGATGATCTTATTCCTCCTCCTACGGGGCGCACGCGATTCCCCTAGGAAATTCCTACCTTCTTACCGGAGGTGGTGGGGTTGTAAACGCGTCCCGCGAATATCGTCCCGGTTGGTGAGGGGGTGGAGGTGGGGTAGGGGTGTAAGATCCGGTCTCGCCTATAACCGCCCGCGATTTCTCGGAGCGGTTTTATGTTCGGATAAAAAAAAAAAAAAAAAACACTTAACAGATTCGCGAGTGCCATCGTCGAAACCGTGGTGTTATCGGTGTCGCGCACCCGTGGCGAACAATTCGAAAAGCCGATCAGAGGTTTCCCGTCGGCGTGTGTGCGTACGCGAGTTTGTTTCAAGCGGGGAACGTTAATGCGCGGCCGGGTGTTCGCCGGGAGTCGCGGTCCGTTCGCGACGGACGGCCGAACGTCCGCGACGTTCGTTACGACGTCGTACCGTCGCTGTTCGCGAACACCGTCGGCCGGCGGTGTGCGCGGCGACGGCGCTGTTTTACGGGACGACCTGCAATTGTGCGTCGCGTTATTGTTTTGCTGTCCGCGCGCGTCACAATTTACGGCCCGGCAATAAATGTCAACACGGCGCGTCGTCGCCCGGCCGGGTCGTAACGGCCGGGCGGGCGCCTACGATACGGCCGCGACGATAATAACAACGAGCGTTAATAACGCGGTGGCGCGAGCGCGCGCGTACACGGTCGAAACGACCGCGTAACGGGAAGCGTATTAACGAGAGAGAGAGAGAGAGAGAGAGAGAGAGAAAAAACACTAATAATCGACGAAAAAAAAAAAAAAAAAAAAAAAAAATTAACAACGATGTTATAACGTCAGTTATCGCGTACGGGCCGATACGCGCCGGTATAATTGATACGGGCACTCGTACCGCGACGTATTGTGCGCGGGTTACCGTGCGATAACGCGGGCGACACCGGCTGCAGCGTACCGGTTTACGCGCGTCACGTACACAACAGACCGGCGCGCGCGCACGTATATAATAACAATAAATAATCTATACGGTGTACGCACGGTCGGCGCGACGCGGTTATCGGTATCGTTTGGCTGTTGCCCGAGAAACGGGCGCGCGCGCGTAATTTTTTTCGTTCGTTCGTCCGTTTTTTCTTTCTACTAAACGCCGAAACGCGTACAAAAATATCGAGCGCTCGTACCCGGCGGACGACGGATAAGACGCGATAAGATATAATACGGGGCGGGTTGTCCGTTTCACGTTTTGTCGGCGTTTCACGGGTGGACGGGTGCGGTTGCGCGCGGAGTGTCGTGCGGCTAGGCGTTCCGTCCGTCCGTATAAAATGACGGATCGCCTCGGTTTTAACCCCCCCCCTCCCATCAGCTCCGGGGACATCGCGCCGCTCGCGGACCGTCCGTTTCGCTGTCGCCGCGCGGCGCCCGATTTTTCTCCGCTCGCCGGCGTCGCGAAACGTTTTCTGAAAATCCGACGGCGCCCCACCGCCCCGGTGTACAGTGTTTGTCTGTTTTTTTTTCTCGGCCGGCCGTACGACCGAAGGTTTCGCACACGCGCGCGGGCGAATTTGAGTAATCGATAGCGCCGGGGGTCCGGAAAAAATGCGTACGCTTTTAAAACGCGTTTTCGATACGAAAGTCGTAATTTATTGATGCAACGATAATGTACTAAAAATCATATTTTCCGAGTATCCGCGCGGATGTAGGTACGGGCTCCAGTCCCCATAACGTCCCCAACCCTCTTATCCGCCTTTGTACGCGTATATTATATTATATTTAAAAAAAAAAAAAATAATAAAAAAAATGTTATAAATAAATTCGAGCCGGTAGGGAAATACAAAAGTACTATTTTTAGATATAATAATAAAAAACCGAGATAAAGCTACACGGGTATCCGCGGTTTTGTCGTTGACCAGTGGTACAACGCGATCGTTTTATAATAGTCCTGCATATTAAAAAGAACGAGTATAGGTACCTGCAGTGTGAAAATCAAAATATATTTTGCATCATAATCTGTGCCACTACACGTACACAAAACGGTATTAAAAAGTTGGTGATGTTTTTTTTTTTTTTTTCAAAAATGTGTATTTGTCCACGTTGGTCTGTTTCGAAAAAGTCTAAGCGAATCCGACGAGGTTTTCCATCGATAATATTATTTACTGCGCAAATCGTAAGTATAATCGAAACACTTAGATTTTTTTTTTTTATATAACAAAAACAAACGCGTCATAAGAATTTTAAATCAGATTAAAGCGGTTTTTTTTTTTTTTTTTTTTTTAACCGCTTAATCCAATTTTTTTTTAAACATTTTAATTTGTAATTAACCAACTGTATAATATTCTTAGCGCTGTGTTTTCAACGATACAATGACGCACTGACGCACTATATCACGGTCATAAAAATGCGTCATTACCACAATATAGCGGTGAGGCGAAAACAAAATGCTCAACCATAAGTATACATACATGGAGGGGAGGATAGGCACTTTTTTCGGCAAACTCATTATATTTTTCCGTTAGATTTTAACAATCTTTAATGGAGTTTTAAATGCAAGCAAAAAAGCAATAGAAACACTTTGTTCGTCGTCTTTTTTTTTTGTTTTTTTAATCGATACATCGTTATACCTTATACCGCAATAGGGACGTTAACGCACATTATATTATGCATATAGGATGCTTTTAAACACAAAATCCTTATACGAAGTAAAGTTGAGTGGAACAAAAAAAAAAGAAAGTCAAAGATGAACAAAAATATAAGGAGAACTAAGTGGAATTATTTCATTATTGTACATGTCATACCTTTACAATTTCAAATAGTTATTGATTATAATCAGTGACAATTTTTAAGGCGGGGGCAACGTGCACGGCGTTTACCGCCCTCTTCTCTTGGCCTTTTTTTTTTATTTTACTTTTAAAATTGTTACTCGAACACTACTATAGGTATACACGAGCGGAGGGTGTGTCCAGCGGTACGTATGCATACGTATTCGAACGTAAACGACAATACGAGTGTACAAAACCAAACAAACACTTCGTTTCGGAAACAACTCCCCCTCCCCTCTCCTCTGCGTCCTAAATTAGTTTTCGGTTACGGTGTCGCGAAACGCTTACGATAATACCCGCAGTTGGACCTCGCGCCCTTTTATTTGATAAACTTCGAATCCGCCGCGGCCTCTACAACGACCGCGAGATTGCGAAATTAAACCGCCGTGGACGTAAGTATTAATATTTCGGTTTGCGCGGACCTTTGACGGGGAGTTTGGACCCGGAACATATCGCCACAGCGAAACTCCACTGATCCGTTATTGCGTATGATACGTTGCGCTATTTACAGCGGGGTCTGCACAAGACGTTACTGGAAATTATCGCGAACGCTCGCGAATTCTGACCGCGACTTAATGTTTTAACGAACGGTTTTCGAGTCCCGTCCGACCTAATCGGAAAACGTAATAAGCGTACCGCGTTATTATGTGCGTGGAAATTCGACCGTGAATTCCGCGCGATTTTGCGACAACGGGAACCGTCGACGGCTGTAATATTTAAAACGGCCAAAGTCGCCACGATATCAAACGTATGCAAACACGAATCTAACGTTTTCAAATGGGTTTTTTTTAAAACTTGTTCGCGGCGCTCGTAAATCGCGCGTTCCGTGTCCGGCACGGGTTTCGCGGTCCATCAACACGAACCTTAATGCAGTGGCGGAACGAGATGTTTTACTTTGCGAGCACCTTTATGGCAGAACGTTAAAACTCGCATTTTCCGTGGTTCGCATTAATACAAAACGGATTGCTCGTCTCACCAGAGTGACGTACATATTATACGGTCTTAAGTAATACAACTGCGCGGGTCGACACGACTCGGGGTGATTGGGTTTTTTTTTTTTTTTTGCTCATTATGAATTTTAAGTTTTTGAAACATGTGTATAACGTATACATGTGTATAAAACAGGGATGACCTTTATTTTTTCTTGTATTTTTCGGCCCGGGGCACTGAGTGGGTGGATATACTTTGGTTTACTGCGTGGGCAGTGGTAATTCCTCTGTGCGCCACTACGTCCCACATACCCTGCCTTAGGTCGCTCGTATAGCAGACTAGTGTTAACAATGTTGGAAAATGACAGCCGATATTACTTACAGGGCGTATTTTAATAGGACTTAATCATTTACACTGTGGACTCGGTATTTTCACAGAACGATTTTTCGGACACACCACAAATCTACATAAAAATTCTGAATTTTCGCGATTTGTTTTTCAATTATTTTTGGGCTTCACCAAACCGCCGATCGAAAGTTTGGAAACACGAAATTCCGATTTGATAATAAATATTGATTCGGTAATTCAGTCTCGAAGAAATAATTTTTGCTCATACTGAGCCGAGTCCGCCCTGGTATCATGTTGAAAAAATAGTTATCCACAAGCGATATGAACCGTGGAATTCGCATCAGTCTGTTTGTTTTCGTCGTATAATATTAACGGAATTCGAATTATTTTCGCAGGTTTAGAATTCGAATTTCTTTATTGGTCATTTTATAAACTGAAATAGTTTTATTAAACACACTTATAAATAACCCGACTGCTGTACTCGTAATCGAATTGATGTAACGACGGCGATAAAATATTATCGTAGTTTATCTCAAATCGCCGCTTAAATTCAATTGAATTTTTCGATTTCAATCGTACCGCTCGTACCGTTTACCACCAAAATAAACCTCTGCCGTAGGTAAACAGTCGTTGAAACCGAGCAAAACGTCGTCAATCTGAATATTGGTCCCGTAAAGTACGAGTGTTTGTCGCTCGCCGATAAATACATATAAATCAAATACAATTGGTTCGAATTGATTATTGTTTACTCTCGGTTATTCGAACATTCGGTAAATCGAAAACCGACCCTGTAAATCTCCCAAAAACTCCCTTATCGGAACAGCGGAAACACTAGAGATAGACTTGCCGAAAGGACGCCGCGGCTTGCTGGATTTTTTCCGCGAGTCTGCGCCTCCGAAATTCGGTCTCTAGTTCGCGTTTGGTTTTTGTTACGTGAACGACACAATGTGTTCGCCACGTTATTCCATTGACGGCCGTTGGAAATGCGAGGAGACGGCGCACGCCGCTGCAGCGATGATCACCGGCCCGCCCCTTGAGGCGATCGGGAGACGAAAACGAAATTCGCCCAGAGCCCCGCCGATCGCCCCACGCACACGCGCACACGCACACACGCGCGCGTGCGACGGCGCGAAGGACCACGGGGAGCGCGGCGGTTGCGTTACTACGGCCGACCGCGCGGCACGTCCGGGGCGTACCGAGCGAGCGAGTGCGTGTGTCGGCCGTGTGACGTGTTGCGACGCGCGCGTGTGTGGTGCGTACGTGTGCGCGCGCGAGTATCGCTCCGTACGCAGACGACGACGGCGACGAGCCGACGAAGACGAACGCGATGCGGTCTCGCCGACGGACGCCAACGGAAACGCGGTTGTCGACCGCCGGGACGACGACGAACGACACTACGGCGGCGCTCGGTTGAAAAGTCATTCGTTTTACGCGATCGGTTGTTGTTTTAATTTTATTTCGTTTTTTTTTTTTTTGTCTTTCTCTTTCCGTTCCGTCCGCAGTGTTGTCCGCGAGTGTCGCGAATATCCGTCTTGGTCCGTCGGCACCGGTGCCGCGACCCGCACAACCGCGCCGCGTGTGTCGTATAATTATAATAAAATTCTGTTACGCGCCGTTTTTCCGCCGGCGCGTGTTCGCGCGAGCCCGCGTCCGTCCGTTTCGCGCGCCGTTACCGCCGTTACGCGCCGGCCGGTCTCGGCCCGCAGCACGTGGCCGCGTGTCGCCGCCCCGAAACCGCACGTTGGCCGCGCGCGTCGCGCGAGCCGGCCCAGTTTCCGCGGTTCCCGTCGTCCGCGAGCGCACGTGTCCCGTCGCCGCGCCGCTCCCGGAGTGCGTACCCGGACCGCGACCCCCTGAGCCAGAGCGCCCGGACGCGATCGACCGTCAACCATGTTCGTATACCTGTGCACCATGATTATATTATACGCATTTGTTTTACCAGTCCGTCGTTACCGTTGTCATTAACGATCGATTGCGTTATTTGCATTCGCTGTCTGTCGCGAGATGATCCGCGGCACGCATTCGCCGGACGGTCACGCGCATCGCCCCGCGTCGTCCGGCGTTTGTGCGCGCGCTCGCGCGTGTGTGTGTGTGTGTGTGTACCGCCAGAAAATCTGCGCGATTCGCCTGCCGGCCGAATATTTCGGACCCGCAGACTCGGGTCGGCAAGTCGGCCGTGGGGTCTTTTTGTTTTGTCCGGCGCGTGAAAAATGACAAACCGATCCTAGCGCGTCCTGTTTGGCGCATCGGGAACGGTTTTTTTTAAATTTTTTTTTCTAATAGCCCGTCGTGCGCCCCGTAGTCGCGGTATAGTCCACATCCGGTACACCCAATATTCCAAATTTATCCGTCCGGTTCGTCGGGTATCGTCGTCGTCATACGCGTTTGAATTTCGAACGTTTTTCATCGTTTCCAGTTGAGTTGCGGTACGGCCGACGAAAACAATCGACCCGTAAAACCCGTAACGTCTCGGCGGGCCCGCCCCGCGGCTATTATCGCCCGGGCGTCGATCGCGCGATTCACGCCGACGTTCGAAAACGTCAAATACGTTTATTTTTGTTATTTTCTTCGGAATTCACGCGACCGCGCGTTTTCGCCCCGCTAGGACTCGGCCCTGCGTAATCGTTCGGCGCAAACCGACGAAACCGACTCGACAAACGTACGCGAAAAACGGTTTTCACTTTTCGACCGGACCGCATTGTGCTGACGACTGCCTTTCGCTGCAACCGAAACGCGTCGCGGTGTCATTTTCAACTCTCCGAATGCGAACGTTCCCGCTTTCCGAGAAATTAACGAAAAACCCGTCGGTTTGCCGTCCGGCAAACGTACGGACGGACAAAAGCCGCGACCACGATGGTTTACTCAGATTCCGGATACGGGTGTGCACGTATGTATCGTCGGGCCGCGTGCGAACGTCCCGCGCAATTCACCCTTTGAGCATTTACCCGAAACACGTGTCGCGCGTCGTTTGTTCGTTTGTTTTTTTTTTTCCCCCCCAATATTTCCGTGTAAATATTTTCGATCCGTTATTGTAATCTGATCACGAGACCGCGTGCGTCACTACAATACGCACGATAATAATAATTTTATTATTATGCCGTCCGTGACGACGACGTGCGCAATTCGTGCGTAATAAGTATAACGTCTTTTTCTGGTTTTTTTTTTTTTGTTCGTTTTGACGATCGAGTAGATAAGAAAACGGACACGTGCAACAGCCCTCTCCCCCGCCCCCCCCCCATCCGCCCGCAAATAAAATTCGATTTTCAGAATTTTTTTTCTCGTCCCGTTTTTTAATGTGCGAATTACTACGATAAAACTCAACGGGTTTTATTTTTTTGCTAAATATATTATCGGTGGAGTGGGGGGGACGGCGTTGAAATGTACGTAAAACTCGACTCGACAGTCCGTCACATGCCCGTCACTGAAAATCGTTCAAATAAATTTTTATTTTTTTTTCTTACGCTACTCATCAAACATGAAGTCTCACTCGGGAGCTATTTACTCTTGAGAATGCACATTTCTCCAACGTTCAATACATCGGTAAATTCTTGAAACGGCCTTAGCCGATTGTTTAGACGGACAGCGACTTTAAAACTTTTAAATAGACATTCTTCTACATTACGTCTGTATAATTGTAAATATGTTCGTCTACATTTTCGACCGGTTTTCTCTTCGGATAGATATTTCAAACTTTCCCAAACCGTGCAGTCCAAAAACCGCGGATCAAATGTTTGGAGCCGACGCGAGGCCACGACGGAGTACTTGTATAATAATTACGAACCGTTTGTCATTTTGTTAAAAAAAAAAACACGTCAGTTCGAAAAAACCGGCCAACGGGGAAAAATTGACGAAGCGGTTCTCGGTCTTTTTGGTTTTTCTTCGGTTTTTATCCGAACATTTATTGGAGGAACCGGGGACGCTGCATTAAACCTCGGGGAGTTTCGGCGATCTCTCCGGGCTATCTTCTAATCGCGCAAATCGTGAGCCGCCGGCTCCCGTAGCAGCGCGTTCGCGGACACCCGAGGATCGCAGACGTCACGAGGACGATCGGACGCCGCCGACGCCTACGACCGCCCACGTCTGATACGGCGTTTTGTTGCGACAAGCGGCGGTTGTCGACGTAGACGTCTCGACATATGTCACTATGAAAAGTAAAATCGCACGCGCACACCGAACAATGTGACGCGAATTAATAAATAATTAATACGGGATTACTTAATAATTAATCCGGATTAACACACTTGTATTTTATAGTAAATCAGAATTGATTCGGCATTCGCGTATTTATAAATAATAATTCCTCTACGACTATGCAAATTCGTCGTCGACAGTAATGTGCTGTATTCATATGATAGTATTTTAAAAGGCTTTTAAAAGGATTAAAACAGTTTTTTTTTTTTTTAAATCCCGTTGAAAAACAAAAATAAATTTATAAATGTTCGTTATAGGCGAAGAACGTTCATTATTGTAGACGACAAAATTACATATTATAATCCGGTTTTTATTTTCAATGTATTTATAATTTTTATTCTCGCTTTCTATAGACGAGTGCACGAGTGTGTGCGCCGAACGGAATAATTCCGATTTACAGATGATTGTACCGATCAATCCGGATTAATCGATTGTCGGATTGTTTTCGTTCGATAAAACTTAAGTGACCGTATAATTTTTTTTCGTAAAAGCGGTACAATTATCACAAACCTAACCGACGGCTGCGGAGTTTAAAAGGTGGGGAGAATAGCGGCCGAGGAGGGGGGGGAGTTAGCTTAATGACGAGGAGAACTGTAATAATAATCGCACGAAAACGATTTTAAAACGAATAACTACTGACGTATAACTCATAGTCACTTATTCAATATACAGACATTTGTAGTGGACGTTTTATTACACTTTCGATAATACTTCAGTGTTAACGAATTGATGAATTGTGGAAATTGAGACACGCTCTAAATTATACCTGTACGGATACCGTAGATTAAATTGAATCCATGCTTGAAATTATGAAATCGGGACAAATTTAACGAAAATCAGTACGTTTCACCGCCTAACCTAACCTAACGCCCCGGCTGTACGCTTAGAAATTTAACGGCATCAGTGGCGTGCCCGGGTATTTTCAACGACACGGGACGTAGTCAATATAGTAATCGCGATTTTTTTTGCAGCTTTTTATCTAACCCTCGAGAACGACGGGAATTTTTAAAAACCCGGTCCAAAATAATAATACGGAGCTAATAATTCGAGCTATTCGGCTAATTCGGTTAAAAATACGCACAACGGTTTAATCCGAAGACGGATTTTTTTTTTTTTTTTTGGGAACCACTCGCAAAAACGTCATAATTCACTCGCAAAAACGTCATAATTCATTATTATTATTATTGTTATTATTATTATTATTATTATTATTATTATTATGCGTGGCACTGTGGCGTATCCGTGTACCTATTTAAAATAGAGGCACCTCACTTATTGCGCAGCCACCTCATATTTATTCGACAACGACTGGCGAAACGCCGGGGAAATTCGTGTCGGTTGCGTAATTCGCTTTAATTGTTTCTTCGTGTTTTTTTTTTTTTAATACGCAGGACCGTTGTTTTTTAATATTTTTTTAACCGTATAGGTACGCGGTATATTATTTTTTAAAACTATTTTTAGGTATACTCGTGTATTATATATATATATGTATAATTTTTTTTTACAAGTAATGTATAAGGCAGTATACACGATGAGGTCCGCCTACGAGTCCGTCACCGCTATATATATATATATATATATACGAGTGGGTGGGGTGGGGGAGGGGGAAACGACGAAATCATTGTAAACGATCCGCCGCACGCGGAGGAAACGGGGGTGGGGAGAAACGTATTATATTAGGTATATATTATATCGGAACCCGTCTGATGCGGATAATAATAATAATAGTAATAATAATAATATTTTTTATACGCCCACGACTGAGTTCATCTTCTTCGTCTTCTTGCCCGCACGAATATTGACCAAATCGGTCGGTACATTATTCGGTGAACCATCGAGAAACACATACAATAAAATATGATCGCCTATTGGAAATCACAAATCTGAAAACATTTCCTATCGATTTGCTCGTATTCCGCAGTATCAAATTGCCCCGAATAGTAAATAGCGCTGAAACGGGCACGTCAATACGATTTCATCGTTAATGTGTTTTCAAAGGCGGCGGTTAGTTTCGCGTCTAATGCGCATTAATGTTATGCTATCCATTCGGGTTACACAAAAAAACGCCTCGTCTTTTATTTATTCGGCCCGGGATCACTCCCCCGCAGTCGCACGGGTTCTAGTTTTTTTTTTCCCCTCGATTTTCATTGCCGGACGAGTTTCGGCGAGTTCAGCTCCGCAGCCGTAAATTCCGATCGATGCACGCGTATTTTAAGACATTTCTACCGAGTGGCATTGGTCTAGTGTCTGTGTAGTGTTTAACCGACGTCTGTAAACTACAGTCGGGTCCGCGACTGTTTACAAAACTAAATTATTCATTATTACGCGCGTTTCGTTAAATATTAACACGACGTATGCACTTTGACGTGCTAGTGTTCTGATCACGAACGTACCTAACATTATATCGGACAATCATTTTATTATGGTTGCGATTATAACATCTACTAATGATAACAACGATAACCTAACCGTTACACCGTTACAACAGCCGATGTACATTACCGTATTGCCCAATCCTTAATCGGAATAAATGTATGCATAGGCATTAGACAGTGCGTATCGGTTATCCAGCGTTGAAAATTGCTCGTTGATTTCGCGAGAACGTTTTTTTCAACCATAATAGCGGTTTACTGTAATTGTTTGTACACGGACATAAATACAATTGCGAATACCAATCAATTTTACGATAGTTATTTCCGTTTTTTTTCTTCACTTCTAAACTTTTACAGTTGAACGCGTTGTACTGTAAATGGTGTTTTCGCAGTGTTCTCCGGACCGAAAGTCTCGGATTAATATTATATTCATAGAAATTCAAGTCAAGATCGCGCCGCTTGAAAAGTCCATTCGGTCTTTCCGCCCGTCTTCAGACGGCCGTGCACGCGGACAGTCTCGGCGAAAAACCACGGCACCGGGGCGCAGTCCTCGGATCATCAGAGCCTCTAGACCAGATTCTTCTCAATCCGGCCCTAGGTCCGGGGCACGTTCGGTTTTCGTTTCCGCTGGTCGGCGTTATTATCGATATGATTATGGGCCGCAGTGTACGTTAATATTCCGTAAATCACGCCGTTGGTATACAATTTTTTTTTTTTTACGACATTTTTTTTCACCTACCGATTTCAGTACAAGCGAATAATTTTTACGGTTTCCCCCCGCCTCCTGCTCCTGACAAAAAAATTAACGCTTTTCCGCGGTGTAACACACGCGCGGCTGCAGCACTTGGACAAACATTTCGCCGCGCACTCCCACGTCGACGGTAATTTATGTAAGCATACCTGTATAATACTTATTACTTATAAACTCGTTTTCAACCACCGACTGAAAAAAACACGCGCGTAGTGTTCGTTTATACACATATACATACCTACAATATAGTATTTTTATTACCAAAAAGCGAGTATACAATAATTACATATTATACGGCGTATCGCGTATATGATATTATGTGTTCAGCAGCCGCAGCAGCAGGAGTGTGTGAACACACTAAAAAAAAAAATAAAAAAATATTCGTCGGCGATAATATTATGCTATGTGAAAATTACGGCGAACAAACCGCGCGTTTAAAAACGAAAAAAATTATAAACGCGTGTAAAACGCCGCAAAATCCATTTAACGACGCGACGTAGTTTTTATTATTATTATTTCTTTTTTCTTTTTTTCGATATTTCACCGGATTTTTCATTTTCAAAACGTTTTTCGGCTGTACAATATACGATTGACGCAAAAGTTGACGCTTAAAATTGAACTTATCTCCGATATATTTCAAACGTTTATGAGTGATGTTCGAAACTCAAATTTGAACGCATACGTTTAAAATAGAAAAAAAACATTTTGAATTGTATGCATCATATCGTTCTAATACTTTTTTTTTTACACTCGCGTATTATTCGATTTTTATAATACGATAATACTCGATTCAAAATATAATTTTGAAATGTTGTTTTCGTTTCAATTAGTGCCCGGATTTCAATGCGAAAGTAAATTTGCTTTTCTTAGCGATCCTAATGTTTACCGAGTACATAATTACTTCGAAAATGAAACTTTTATTTCGCATTTATTACCATTAGTCTACCATTTCGTTTAGTTTTAAATGCATTAAATGTTTATGTAGCATACGGATTAATAGTTTAAATTTCGGTTACTCAATATATTATTATCTCGAGAAATTCGGTTTTTGCTATATTTGATTTAATAGGTTTTATATATTCTTTTCGTCAATATAGAATATTAATCGTTCTGTTTACGATTTCGATAACGCCTTTATCTCAAATCATTATTGGCGGCTGAGTTGCGTTATCCGGTTCAAACAAAGAACAATAAAAACGAGATATTTAATTCGAATTTTTTCACGTTTGTCCATTTTCAGAACGGCCGTTTTTAGCACTGTCGGGTTATTTTTTAAGATTATTATTTCGCTAAAAAAGCATTGTGTTTTTGTTTTTGTTTGATTTCGTCAATTTTTCAAAGCCGTTTTCCATAGTTTTCGGAGCGTTTAAATCCGGGCCGGAGCCGCATTCAACGGCAATAGGCCGACCTACGGGACCGTTATGTCCTAAATACGGTCCTGACCCTGGGCACTGCAGTTATAATACACATTTGCCTCGGCATAGATTTTCGGTATTATATTCGTCAAACAGTATGGATTTTTTTTTTTTTTTAACAGCATTTGATTGCCGGACAACTATAATACATTATGCACGAGCGTAAATAAATAATTTTCTTCGATAAATAACGGTCTCTCGGCCACCGTATGTTATTATTATTATTATTTAGTAATAATAATTTATCACTACCATAAATACATTGATTTACGCCCGACGGAATTTTCGGACGATATGTTTTCGGGCGCGTTTGGTCACGTTTACCGAAAAAAAAAAAAAAAAAACAACCGTCGTGGGTCATATTATTATAGATATTATAATGATAGTATCGTATCGCGTTTTCCCGTGCACTCTCTCGGCCGCGGTCGTAAATCAAATCGCAGATTCTGTTATCGAGTATAATATTATACACATGCGATTTAGGAATCTGCGATGATATACGGTAGGCCGATTTTCGGAGGCGGATCCAGTTGAAGTTCTTCGCGGTGGGGGGGGGGGCGGTGGAGGGAGCAGAGCCGGATTTACGACTCTAATATAGACGTTATAATCGTGAAAAATGTTAGTCGGTATTTTAGCAATCTAACCTGACCGCGGCGATCATAATCGAAAATAATAATTTATAAGTATTTACGGGTACAGGAGTACTTTTTTTCTTTGGAAAAAAAAAAAAAAAAGAAGGGCTAGAGGAATTTGGATAGTTTTGAGCTAAAAAATAATAAGAACCAGTATATGATTTTCGTTTAATACCGAGGGCGGGTTTTCCGTACGTATTGACGCGCATTCGAGCGTTTTTTCTATTTCGAAAGGCAACATCAACAATTAATCCTACCGTCGTCTTGCAATCGGAGGGCTCAGTGCAATAACTCATAGTCCGAAATTGCCTATAAGAGAAAGATAATAAACCGTTTATCCTACGGACGCGACTCGTATTTTTTTCACCCAAAATTCGGTTGTACCATGCAAGTCCTCGTCCCCTATTTTTCCCCGCGTTCCATTTATAGTAGACGGACTTGAATCGCATGTCAAATCGTATAGCGTTTTTATCATATTGCTCGAAACTAACAAAAAAAAAAAAAATCGTTTATTCGGGCTCGGAATCGTGCTCACCGATTGTAAAATATTGTCGACTCGCGTGCTTGTGCGGTCACTCGCTCCGCGAATCTGGAAAAAAAAAACGCAATCGTCAACTTTCTTTTTAAAACCCTTGCGCTGACCGTTTAAGTCTCCAGACGGCGGCGTATAATATCGTATTCGGTCCGCATCGCGATCTCGTACGTGTTGATACGCGAATTACCTATAATACTGCAGACGAGGCTAGGCAATTATTCTTTTCTTTTTTTTCCGCGAACATCGAGTCAGCTTTTATCGCCGAGACGGTTTTTCGAATGTGATCTCGGAATAGGATTACGGTGAACACAAAGAAAAAAAACGGCCTGAAAACCAGTATGTCGCGCGTGTCTGTCGAAAGGGCAAAAGCGGCGTCGGGTTAATATGTATATGCATAGGTATGTAATTTTTTTTAAAAACGTACGTGTTCTCCTCGCGTTCCCTCCGTTCCCCTTCTCCCGATTCCTTTTGACCGGCAACTTTCGTCGTCGCAGTCGTAAGGTAATCGCCACGACGTCTGCCGGTTGTGCGGCGTTCCAAAAACGGACACTCTTCCCTTCGATACCTTATTGTCATTTTGTTATCTTTAGATCTCTATCTTTTCAATCGCGGCGATATCCACTTGTATCCGTGTTTTTTTTTTTTAATTATCGCATATCGCGTGTGCAGTTCACGATCGGACGATTTTTCCGTTCATCGGCCACCGGTGACTGACCTGCGCTTTGTGTGCCTGCAGGATACAGTAATATCTTAATCGTTTTTGCGCGCGAGTGTCAAAAATCGAAAACTGTGTTTTTTTTTTTATTTCGTAATTTTCTCCAATAGTTATATTTAGTCGTCTATTCGGGAGACACTTAAATTATGTGCCGTCCGCCCTGCAGTACCCCGGCGTTACAAAAGTAGCCGCCCATTCCCCTGGCTTTCATCCCTCGCATCACGAATGACGTCAAACAATGCACATTATTATTTTACATTACGTTTGTGAGTCGTACGTTTATGATGTAGGTTTGTAAAACTAAATATTTTCGTTTTTAGAGAAAACCAAAAAAAAGTTATTACGTTTCGAAACAAGGCGCCGGTTCTGAGGAACTGGGTGCAATTTATAGGAAAAAACTCAAAAACTTTCTTTTGGTTTCCTGTTCAAATGAAAATTTTGTTTTTACAAACTGTTATAAGCGTAATGTAAAATAACTAGAAAACGCGTATAGTTTTGACGTAATTTTACTGACATAATACGATGACTGTCTACCAAGTAGATTGATAGGGGATTTACGATTCTGTGAAACTTTCAGGACAATAGTGTTACAGTTATCCATTCAAGTTCACCTCAGAATTAAATTACCTAGAAAAATGTATGCGTATGTAACGAATGCGAACAAATCCAACGACCGCATTGGCAAAATTCTTAAACAGATGATGTGATGATTCACTGCAGGTCTGTACTTTCAGCGAATTTCTCTGTAGTGTTTGACTTAAAACACTGAGATTGATAACATATAATATGAAGTTATGTATATTGAAAGAGATGTAATTGGATAGAGAGTTGACAGTATCCGTTTTATCCCTCATCTCGATCATCAGGTTATCGGCACATCGACTTGGTCCTCGTCGGACTATCGAAATTTCTTTTAGTAGTATTTAAAAGTTTAGGTGGGGGGGGGGTCGCTGCTCTTTTATCTTGCAGAAGCCTCGAATTTAATGATCAAAAATCATCCGATTCTCTAGTTCCGCCATTACGAGTGGTCCGGCAAGAACGGCGTTGTTGCGAGTACTCCGAATCTATCTGCGAAAACAAAAAGGTCAATTTAAAGGTTTTTTTGTTTTTATTTTTTACCAACTTCGTATGTGCGTATACATTATACGAAATCTGTAAAATGTTGTTGTTTTTCGATTAACGCGAATAACATGCCAGGAGAATATTACGTTTATAACGGATCGAACAGCTTGCGAGCGTTCTTTGAAGTCGTTTCGGTCCGTGAAAATCCCGATCCCTGAGAACGGGTATCGGATTGGCCGCAAGAGATCGTCGGGGAGAAAATCATACAAGACGACTTTTTTATAGTTTTTTTTTTAAAAAACGACAGTTTTCGGAATATCGGGAAACGCGCGTCGGGGCCTTTTAATGCCGCGAACGAGGGGGGGAGGAGGGGAATAACGATTTTACATGCCCAAAACCACGTATACGCTCAATCGGCGCATAAATTACAATGAATTATATTATGAGAGTAAATCACGTCGGGCCCACGCTTACAAACCGGTTGCGCAAATAGTTGTTCAAGTGCGCTCGTTCGTTATTGCACACGCATCATTAGAATAATACTTATCGCGTTTGGATTTTTTTCGTTATTATTTTTTTTTTTTACAACATTTTTACGGCCTAGCGCGGTCTCTTTTTTTGTTCGCAACCGGCCGACGGTAACCCATCACCGTTTCCGCCGTCTACGAAAACGTTTACTCTCGGTCCGCGATCTCGTTAACGTTATCGTAAACTTTGGACGCGGTTGCATTGCCATAGACGTTACACCGTTTGAACGGACTTTCTAGAGCCGACTAAATGTCGTTTTCAAGAGAATGCTAAATGGGAAATTTTAGTGAAAACAACATTCGGTGTATTCGACCGGATTAAGCGGTCGGGTGCATATTATACGCCCGCGTATACGTCGTTTGCGGAAAACACGAAGCGCGGCTAACAGACGCTTTCGGGCTCGGGCCGCGAGACGTTTTTTCTCGCAATTCTACCGAAACTGCTCCGTGGCGACGAATAATACTTCGCGCAGCCGCTGGACCGACCTTCCGCTCGGCCTCGGCGAATCCCCCTGGTATTTTGTTTTCTACAGGTACACACACACACACCTATAAGCGAATATGTCGGTACCTATATAGCTAGTATATATTTATATATAATAAAACATTATCGAGAAAACGAAGGGCTCCGCGCGACAACCAGACAAGTCCATATATGTTTTTATTTTTCCGCACAGAAAAACGGTTTTTCACGTTTTCGATGGCGGATTTTTCAACCGCGCGCGAGAACAGTGTTACGCCGGCGGGTCCGATCGGCGTGCATCGTGCACCGCGGATAATTGCGAATAATTGCGCGGAATTCGGAAATTTACGCGCGAAAACCGAACGCGTCCGTACTGATTTCCCCTTCTCCTCGACAAGCCGACGTGTCTGGTCGTCGCGCGCAGGCCTTCGCATATAACGGCAACGATATTGTGTCGCGAGTTTTCGAAACACGACCGGCGGAACAGCTGCTGCTGCCGTCGCCGCGGTGACATCGGCCGCCCGACGTTATCGCGCCCAACTCTGCTATCGTTATTTTCCTTATCGCCCGACGACGGCGCTCGGTCTACGGCCGCGTCACGCGGTTATTGCGGCCGTGACCGCGTGGCGATCACGGGAGTTTGTTCGACGCGCACCATATCCGACGGCGAACGTGAAATAATATTTCCGAACGCCCAACCGTCGCGAAATGGCTGTGACGACGGCACTGGCGATTTTCGCGGCCGCGGCGGCGTCGTTTGTCTGCTGCGGCCTGCCGCCGCGGTCGTGTCCCGCCGCCCCGTCCCCGCTGCCCTGTGGCCGCGCGGGTCGTGTTTCGAAAACGTCCGCCGCCGTCGTCGACCGGACGACGGCGACGACGCCACCGCCGCGCGTACGGTACTGTGAGGACAGTTGTGTTTGGCGCAGGGGCCCCAGGCCAGGCAAAGGCCGCACCAGCCGGACCAGCAGGCGGTCGCCCAGTCCGGTGGCCGGACCCGCGGCCGCGGCTGCCGCACTGCTGACGACCGCGACCACGATGACCGCGGCTACGTCCACGACGGCGGCGCCCGGCTACGAGCAGTACCAGAAGTCCCTGTTGGAGGTGCCGTGGCCGCACGCCGAATACGGGGAGGCGTCCAGCGACGACCTGAGCTCCGAATGGGATTCGGACGTGCCCGATCCGCCGCTCAACGCAAAGGTTAATAAATTACCGATTATTTCTACGCACCTACCGTTCGTATAGACGATCGAACAATCCCCGCGTCTTCGCGGTCGAATTTATAGATATTATCAGCGACGGATCCGGAAATTGTTCGAATACGGGAATGGGGGGGGGGGCGGGCGATGGGCACATTAGATGCGCAATTTATCACGCTTCTCTACTCCTCCGATCCAAACTGTTGTAAATCACAAAATCATTAATCACTAATATCAGATTTACAAGTCAACGGTTATACATCTGATACTATAGTGTTACGTGTACCAAAATGTCTAAAAAAATATCCTCTATTCGAATCTGTGTTCGAAAAAAGGGGGTCCCTATTTGAAAAAAAATGTATGTACCTATTCAAAGTACATATAACTATTTTATAAAGGTATAAAGTTAAGGGTATACAATTAAAAAACTGGTTTTAAAACAAAGCTTAACCGATTCCACAATGATAAAATTGATAGTTCGTATAAAAAAAATCGCCCTGTATAGGTAAACCGATGAATTCCTCTATTCGCTCAGAATCTAAAAGTAAATATTCCGTTTGACCGGTGTTTAGACATTTTTTTTTATCTATGACATCGTCATGTTTTCAAGGACGTTTTGATTTTCGGACTACGTGATACGTCGACGATTTCAATTTTCCCTTTTTTTGTTTCCGCACAATAAGCTATTGACACAGTTACCTGCAGTGATTAATTATTATCTGACTGTGGGTGTGTGATTATTTTTTCTTTCTAAACGATGAGTTTTTACTAACTCATATTGTGTTGTACGCGAGTAATAAGACCGGAGAGATCGGTCGGGGACGGCTGCGGCCGCGTCGCGGGAATATCCGGTCGCGGTCTTTTCGTTTATATAATGAAATTTACAAGACGGTAAAAATACCGTCATCGGCGACAGTGAAATGAAAAAAAAAAAATAAATTAATAAATTAATTAATTAAGCCGACGACTACGCGAAAAACCGTGCGGACGTATAGCCGCGGTAGCGTCCGAAGTCCGAGTATATTATTACGTTTGTACGTTAGAGAAAAATATAAATATCATCGTGACTTAGCGCCGGCGGTCGGTAAAATTATCGTTTTCCACAGTGTAGGCAGGCACGCACGCACGTCGGTATAAACCGCGATAAAAAAAAAAAAAAAATAATAATAATAATAAATAAAACGCAATAGTGTACGTTCGTGTGCCGTTGCAATTGTCGAGATAATCGCCGGCTCGGCGGCGTTAATCGGCTGCTGTACGAATACACACCCTGTATTTTATTGTGTTGCACGTATAGCACGGCGACGGTCGTGTACTACCCGGTTATGTCGTCGATTATTTCCGTCTTTGGGGAAATTTATAGAAAAAAAAAAAAAAAAAAAAACGTCAGTGGTGTTCTCGACTCGCTTATAATATACTTGGATCGCCCGCCGATCTTTCCGTCTTTAACGGCCAACGGGAGAGACGCTTACCGAACGTCCGCGGTATCTTGTAAAAAGCGCCGGGTGAATAATAACGCGTAGTGAATTTCCAATCGAATTTCGCGTATTCGGTATTTGATACCGGAGTGAATTGACCTTATTACCGTGCTTAATAAATTACGAAAATTATCTGCGTTTGTACGTCGGTATTTTCGTCGACAGGTATTTCATGATTTTCGGGCAAAATATAACGGAGTTTTTGAACAATAAATTGCGATATTTCACGTACTTACTCGTATCAAACTTTTACATTAAAATAACGAAGAAAAAAAAAAAAGAAAGAAAAACCAACGCGCGCGCACCACACAGATAATGTTCTGTCCTTCCTAACTATCGGTAATTTTGCTATTTGCCGTCCTCTTGAAAAGTCTGCGTCCAAAACCCACGCGTCTAGTGTTCCTTTTAGGCAAGTATTCGGGGGGCGGTAGCCGGGTATCCACCGTCCCCCGCCAGACAAAATTAAAGACAAATTGTGTACTACCAGTTCGTTTAACCGTAATTCATACTACGAAAAAATGTGATAACTATTAGAGTTTTTTCTCCAGCGCTAATCCCTTATGATAATCTTTTTGGGTTTGATGTAAACTGACTGTTTAATATTATTTTCGCATTCGAACATTTCAAACGTTGTAGCCGATCAGCGGAATACCAACCGCTCAACCGGTCTTCGCTGACTACGCCGCCGCCGTCGTCATGACTGTCGGCTTTGGTTGAAAGATCTCTCAGAGTTATGAATAGAATTCCGGGTAGACGCTACCAGGGAACATGGGCGTGACTATAGGGGAGGGTTTCAGTCCCCCAGAATTTCTTAAAGCCATTCCGGAATTTTCGGGTAAATGTGTGTGGAATTATTAATTAAAATATGTGACTATGTGGAGGAAATCATGTTCTCGTAGGTGCCTTATTTTGCTATAAAACATTTTTAGGACTCCAGCCCCTTAAATTAAAGGGCTAGTTACGCCTGAGCTCCCTGGGACCTTAATACATTGTATGACGATAAGTATTGATGGACTTGAGATTCCTACCCACGAATTTGTGGATAGTATCGTAGAATTGTATGCAACGTGTAATTTGTTAAGCTGTTCTTATTTTATATGCCTACATCAATCAATTTTAAAGTTAACTTTTACCAAATTAATGGCGTGGGATTTGTCTTTATCTTATATTTCTTGCCACCCCCCTCCTCCGAAATGTTGAAATGCTCTTCTGGAAAAAAACGCCTGAAATAAACACTGCACGCACCGTTCGTTCTGTTCATAATTATTGTAATTTATCGTTTCCGATTTCGTCTGGGAGCAAAAAATCTTCACGTAAAATACGGAGTTTTTCCGTTTTACGCGGCTGCTTATCGTGTTTTTTTAAATTTTTTTTTAATAACATAATTTTTATACTCATGGCGCCCGTATTGTAATTGTACGATAATTGTTAATTGCGGTTTATCATCCTGTACATACACGATGACGTCAATTACTGTTATTGAAATACGTGCGTATTGTTATTGCATTGAAATTTCGAGGGTCAGTTGAACAGTCGAACGCCTAAGGGAAGAAATGACTTGACGGCCTCACACTATAAACGCGGCCGTTCTAAATGGCTCAAAAAGTGTACCGTAGTGCGCTTTAAGGTGTTATATTTTAATTGTTAGTACATCACACGTGTTAGAATACACAATAATATACACTTACGCTGTATCTACCGAAAATGAAGAAAACGAGTTTTCATGGACGCGATTAAAAAAAAATTAGCTGATTTCTTCGAGACTCATGATATGATGCATTCGTTTCTCTCGAATTCTTAACCTCATCTGACCTAGGTTTTAATTCTGAACATTTATAGGCGTGAAACACTGATGAAACCCTGGGGGCAGATCTAGGGTCATATTAAATTCATACAATTTGTCCCTCCCCCCTCCAAAAAAAAAAAACCGTTCTAAAAACGTTAAAAATGTTTACGCTTCACAAACGTCTTAATTTTAATATTTTTACACATCGCATTATGTTATTTTACTGTGCAATAGTACTTTTTCGATTTTATAATACTACGGAAAAAAATCGCTTTCCTACATGATTTCGAAAATTAAACTAAACGACTCGATCGAATACCAATTCAGTAGTTAAGTAAAACGTTAGAACCGATATTTTCTGTCTCTTTTCAACGTGTCCTCTATAAATCGGGGAGAGGTCACTTTTTATTTTTTTTTTTTTTTCGTTGGGATTTGTTGACAAATTATTGTTATATTGTTGTGTCGATCGGAAGTCAATTTGAATACCTATGTGTAGTGTATCACACTTTTACCACCACGTGGTCACGTGATAATAGACGAAAACACTTTAATTCAATATGATTCATTTGAATTTGTAGCCATGAAAACACATACTATAGATAGGCGTTTTATTGTTTGTTCAAACATTTTTATTTTATTCTATGTCATTGAACGGTAATAAATATGTAGTAGTGTATTGAACGGGTGACCGGACGTATACCCGCAGAATTCGTACACTTAATTTTAGTATACTCAATAGCGTTTTAATTTTTTTAATCGTTTGAAAAACCTACTAATATTATGACATCATGAGTAAAGTCAATGTATCCTGTACACGAGTCAATTTTCGATTTTTCTGGCTAATTTCGGATTTTTTTTTTTTTTGATACCTTTCTATATCGATGTACTTATTATTACTTTTAAAATTGACTTCGTATAGGTAGTTCTTCTGTTATGGGTTTATATATAAAAAAAAAAAAAAATAAAAACCTTGATACAAAGAGATATGATGTTTCGGAAAAGCGCTCGAGTTCCCCTGGATCGAGAGAGATATAAACGAAGAACTATTAGACGTGAAAAACTGCAACGAACTTTAATTTGAAGATTAATGACTAAAAACGAAAATAAAAAGACGGACAAACTTTGCACGATGAGTGGGCCACTGTTGTAGGTGAGAAATTAGGTAGGTAGGATATAGAGGGAATTTAACTAAGAAAACCGATTCGGAGCAAAGTTCCTCTCTAAAGTACCAACTAAATAAAAATAGATAACATTTCTTATCAGAAAAGGTAATAGACAGAGGATTATTTCTGGTAGAACAGTTGCTCTCAGAAAAAAAAAATTACATTGTAAAACCAATTGATTCCTATCACAACGTTCTGAATCTAAAATATCTTTGCATATCATTTATAGAGTTTTATCGCTTTTTCTATATATTTTTTAAATATTTTTGTTTTTTGAGAAGGAGGTAGGCTTTAAAATGCATACTCTAGCGACGGTGACCTTTTAATGCTACGTTCAATATTTTTTATGGCAATATTATATTGCCGTATTCGGTTTACGAAGATCGTATAGATATTTTGTTCCTCTTGGGGCGTGGAGTACGTCACTTCGATAAATCGTTAAACCGTAAAATTGATACGAACGTCCAACCGATCGGATTGGATAGTGTCATCGTCGTCGTCGTACCCGTGTCTCGATTTGCCGCGATTATGACGTCGGTGACGGTTTTCTATATACGATGATATATTATTATGGTTTTCACAAAAAAAAAACCCGTCTACGGTGTGACGGGGCGTGTAAAAATGTCAACTCGCGTTACGATGATGAGACAACACAATAAATTATAATTTCAAAAAAAAAAAAAATAAATTACACTCGATACGCGATAAAACGGTTAGATTTTCGTTATTTATCGGCCGATTTCTCGCTCCCCCCTTTTCCCTAGTTTTTTATCGTGTTTAAACAAGTGCGTCACCACACGTTAATATTATTACTGTCCCCTCCCACCCCCTCCCCTTCGATTTACGGACGATACTTCAACGATTTTCAAACGGTTTTTTACCCGGAATGTCATCAACGGTCGCGTTTATACGCAAAAATTAATTACCATTAACTCGTAATATTAATAAATTATTGTAGTTGGTGAACTACATATTGTTTCGCTAAATGATAAATCGTTTTATTATAATTATAATCTATTTGAATTTAAAATTATTGACAAAAAACCAGACAGGATACAGGTGGGTAGGCCACTGCAGTTGTTGTGTAGGCGAGAGAAGTTGGACAGATAATCGGGTTTTAAATATTGCAGAAAGAAACGATAAATCGTATTGTATACAGAAAACAAATTCGATTATAGGAGCTCGTTTAACGGAGAAGAAAAATTAGAAAAAAAAGTACGAGCAAACAAAAAAATTGCATGAAAACTGTCGGAAATCTGGAAAAAATGTTTGAATAATAAAAGTACGTGGACCCGGTGTGGACAATTCGAAACACTGACGTATTTAAGGGGAGATATATCTCCCCTTTTGACTTTTTTTTTTAGTTTATATTATTTAAATTTCTACCTGTTTTAGATTTTCGGTCTACCCGATAAATACATCATTTTTACTGTGACGCGTGCGTGTTGCTTCTTTTTTTGATGTCTATGAACAATTTTTCTACCAGAGAGAAGCACTACTGTAAACAAATGGATTTTTTATACCTACAATTTTTTTTTTGGTTTTTCAGGTGTTTTTTTTTTCTCAAAGGCGTTTTATCGCATTAAATTTACAGCCCTAATAATTATTACGTATATTCGTCTGGTTTTTTTTTTTTTTTTGATTTGAACGGGAATTTTAGAGCTCGAGTTGAATTATATGTATACAATTTCCAAATTCAATATCTCCATCCCCGGGTAACGTAATGTGATAAATATTCCAGAGGTACGTGTAATGAACGATCGAGTTCGGCACAACGCAACCGCCAACTCCCGAAACAATATTATCGTCGGTGAATCCCGCGCGTAACCTAACTCGGGAACCGCGTGCACACGCTATAGTCGAAGTCGTCGAAGCCGACGTTTCGGTTGGAATTTTACCCGCCGAAAGCGCGCGACGACAGACGTGAACATAATAATAATAATAATGATAATAATAAAACTTTATGCGTTATCGTACGCTCGTAAATCCGGTACGGCTTTTGCGGTATTTTAAATCGAATAGCGCGGGAGCAATAAAGGTACATCCGCTCGTTCGACGTCCGTGACGTATATTTGTGCGCGACGACGAATTTATCGACGACACGGCGGTATTTATGTTGACATTTTCCATCTCGGGGTATTTTTTTTTATGAGATTTTTTTATAAATACGTGTAAGCATATTATGTACGAAACGAGTTTTACGTTTGGAAAAAAAAAAAAAAAAGTTTTTTATCGATACGGCGTTTGTTGTTCCGCGGCGCGCGTCAGTAATTCCCGCAATTGTGTTGTTTTCCCCTCCGTTTAACCTGTTATTATTATTGCTATCATCGTCGTGGTTTATTTCTCTCCCCTCCGCCCCCCCCTCACATACGCGCGTGCATCGTTATCAAAATAACACGCTAAACGATTTGTTATCGCCGCGTAATTTTTTTTTGTATTTTTTTTTTTTAATTTTACCTTTACGTCACTGTACACGCGTTAACCGAACACAGCGCGTTGCACAGCGAACACGTATAGTAATATTATACATTACGGGACCCGGGGTTAAACGATAATACTATCGCGGTTCGTTTTCACGGATTTTATTTATTATTTAATTGTATTATTAAATTATTAAATTAAACTTTGTTATAATAACGGTTTCCGTCTGAATCCGAGCATACCGGTAAGATCGTCTATCGTGCATCTATCATCCGTCATATCATACTTGTGCACGGTTGATAACCTAAATTTCATACGATCCGACGACGGTGTGTTGTGTAGTCGCGTAATCTTATCTACGCGAACGCAAACAATTCCGACACCGTCGATTTTCCATTGTGCGATGGTGGATTTTGCATAGACGTATATTTGTGTACTAGTCAGAACCGCGGCATGTGCGTGTCTCGTACCTGGGAAATCAGGCGACCGTCTGATAAGCGAAAAATAGGCGTCCGGAAAGTAGTAAAACACAAGTTTACGCGGTTTTTTCTACGGAAATCGTTGACTTATTGCCACGAATTTGTGCGTATCGTGAATCGCCGTAAATCATACCGTGGATACCGTAAAAAGTCGTATAATATACCTATAGTGATATTTATGATAAATCGCCATTTTTCACGATTGACACGAGAAACCGTTAATTTTTTTTCCGGATACTCCTTTTTGCTTATCAGATGTCCAACCAATATTCACGCAAGACGCGGTTAATTATATCTATAGTTAATAGGTCTATTGTATTTCATACACGATCAGTAATCTAATATGATAGCTGTTATTGGATTACTGGCGATAAAGTCAAGATAATACGACAATTATGTGTTACCCGTTTACCTTCATGTACACTCGTTTATATCTCAATTTTGAAGTGAGAGTGAATTTCCTAATCCACGGGATATAATGGGGTTAAAAACATTCCGTTGTCCTAGTCGGAAATGTATTACTTTGGTGATCAGCACGGAATGTGTAAATTACGGTGATTTTAATTGAAACAATTTTTTATAACCCTTATCCTTTTTTACTGTTGGGCTTCAACAGCAATCAAACAGCCGCAGACTGTTGTTTATTATAACCATAGATCTCTAATAATCTATTTTTATTGATTAACGGTTAAAATACGGTCATGACTTCTTATCATTATATCACTAATTGGCAATTAAAGGAAGAACTGCGTCGACATTTTACACATTTTTATCCACACCACTAGCATACACAATTTCACAAGTATATTAGGTTGTGCATAGCTACTAAATATAACGTGACTAAAATCTCTGGGAGAGAGAGAGGGGCGATCCACAAATAATCCTTCTCCTGATATCCGGCTCTGGCTCGTACCAGAGTTGGTCAGAGTTAAAACGGTATTATTAGTAATAGTGATAATAAATAATTATTTATTATTGTGTTGCTGCATTTGATGTTCACGCGAAAACAAATCTAAATAAACAAATAGTTTAAAAAAAAAAAAAAAACGATAAACGTTCTGCTCTGGCACTGTAGTAGCAGCAGACGATTTTCACTTTCACCTGGATTGTTCCGAAAAACGATTTTTTTTTTTTTTGTCCGCGTCTTTCACCAGCAGCGCGGCGCCGAGTGCGGCATTCGCACGACCGCGTGCGGGTAACAAAAAATAATAATAATTTATAAAATCCCCGACGTTTTTCCCTCCCGTTTCGAAAACCATAATACACGAGACGTGTCGCTTTTATACAAATAAATAATACGTTCTTTTCTCGAAGGCGTGGAGGCACACCGTGTTGTATATTTTTTTTTCTCGGTTCTATATTAAGAATTCCGATCGGACTACGGATTGGAAAAAAAAACACGACTTCTCGTATTGTGATTCGAGCGATCGTTTTTTATTCAATTATTCTCCCGCGCTTCGCGGCGTCTCGTTGAACATCACAATTATTTATCTAATCGCACATCAGTGCGCCAGGCCAAGTTCCAGAGAACGCACGCCAGTGTTCTTTACATTAACTAATTCGTTCGCATATCTCTGTTTCTCTACTATTGGTCAAACTTATTAGGCACTTCCCGTATAGGTAGAAACGTTCGATTTGACACGAAGGTTGTTCTTATTCCGTGTAAAGAGAAAAATCCGCTTAAAGGGTCGTTTTCGGCAAGGCGGTAAACCTATCGCTTCGGTGTGCCCATAAAACAGCGATCGCTTTGCCCCGGGTACGTATAAAAGCTGACGACGACGGCGAGGCCCGTACGTTACGTACGTCAAACGACACTCGCGACGACACAGCAACGACAAATTATTATTATATTAATATCGACGAGACTCTCTCTCACTCGTCGTCGTGTGTTTAGCTCCGTGTTCGGACTCGGTCGGCGACGACGTGATTGGCATCGGTTCAGGTCATTCACACCTGTCGGCGAGTGGGACCGGTTGCTTTATGCGCCGCTTGTGTCGGTGTGCGTGTGTTTGAGTGTTTGTGTGTTGTCCGTGTGTAGTGTGTGTGTGTGTGTGTGTGTCCTCCTCCCACCGACATCGGCAATCCGTTTAATAATAATAATAATAATAATATCTATCGTGTACCGTTCGATCGGCCGATATATATATATAAATATATAATATTATTGATATTAGGCGTGTTTTGGCGATGCGGTTCTCAGCAACCCGGTTTAGCGAACAAACCGTTTTGGCGATATTGTTTACCGCAACGACATTATGGTTTGAGAACCGAACGCATTTTTCGACAACCGGGTTACACCGACAATTCAGGGGCATTCCCGAGAGCTATTACTATACCTAACCGAACTTTCGGGAAACACATCACCTGGGACAAAACGACCGAAATGTTTTTTTTTCTCTCACACGTTCGATATTGTCCGACTCGTATGCCTGTTCAGTAAAAATAAAGTGAAACGGAGTCTGATTACTTATAATACTTATAATCTAACATTCTTATAGGCATTGAATAACTTATATTCAATAATACTACTTGCAGTTTTTAATATGTTATTAAACACGTCTCAGGAACAATAACTCATGCGTCCTCCGGATTTCAAAGACTCGATAATTTTACCTAAAAATAATATGTAAACTTCCAAGTTCCGGCCTACTATATACAAGTCTAATGGCACGTTCGCACCTGAGCGCATTTAAGCCGAGCATATTTGATTTATCCGTTTAAAGTTTAAACGTTTATATTATGAAAACTCAAACGGTAGTCGAGTTAATAAGCGTAAACGGCAAAAATAACGAACTGGACGAGTTGAAAAGTTCAAATAGAAATTTGCTTTTTAACTTGTCGATGCCTTTGTTGAAAACGGCTATACTCGATCGGAACGTTCGATATCGGCGTTGCTTTCGGCGAACAGACGAACGGGATTAAACTCCCGCAAATCGAAAACTGTTGGCCGGACAATGAAACGGTCCGGAGGAGAATTCCCGTTTCAAGACCGGCTCACGCTAATTGTATTATTGCGTCCGTTCCGAGACTGTACGCGAGCCGAACAGAGCCTGAACGCCGCGTATGGTGGGGACCGGCCTAAAAATGGTGATCCCGTCGCTCGGCGGTCAAGTCGATTGAGAGATTTTTTTTTTATCTCTTTCTCGACGATCGCGGGAAAACGGATTCGAAACGGTTCCTTGGGGCGCGAAGAACGTTTTTTCACGACTACCGTACGCGTGACTTTTGTTTTCAGTTCTCCGGGCGCAGTGTAACGTAATATCAACGTTATTATACACAGGCGAAATGGTTTCACGGCGTATTTTACAATAACGTCCGAACGATATAACGAGGAAGAGGAAGCTCTCGGAAGTCGCAGAAAAAAAAAAGCTAATCTCCGACGCTTTAATGTAGGCTCAAAATATCGTCAACATAAGCAGCGCGCTTTACAAGAATACCGTTGAAAACGGGAAAACGCGCGAAACACAATTTTCCGAAATGAAAATCCGATAGGGCCGCGATTATAATATGGCACGATTCGACTGACACGAATTTAATATAAAAACCGTGGAATCATTGAGAACGAACGGAGCGATTATATGCGATTAGTTCAGATAAGATCGGCGAAAACGATGCGTTTAGCCGTACTGTCGTTTGAAAGCAGCAAGGCGAAATAGCTAAATCAGCGAAATAACTCACGTGAAGTATATGGAACAAGTTTGTTTCTTACTCGGAATGTTCTACATAGACGTAGTCGAAAATAATATACAAATTCCATTTTCGAATACTTAAAATACTATTTCGCGCGTCGTCGTAATCAAATCTATTCTGTTCGAGACGGCGGATTTTAAATGTCTTGTTTTGAGTTTTCAAACCGTTCGAGTTTATCTACACCGACACGACGTTATAAAATAAATTCGTTATATTGGATTCTGAATAGAGCGAGGACGTTATTTTGGGCTGACTAAAATACTCCGTTTTTTTTTCATTTCGGCCTCCGCATAGCATATCCATCATCCGTAATGCGTACCTACATCATAAACGAATCGGATTTTCTACCCGGTGGCTATACTTTTTGTTAAAACCGCCGTTCTGTAAATTTCCAATAGTTTCCACAAACTGATTTAAAATGATATTTGGTACTGTAACCCAATGGAGTAGACCGCCGTTGTAGGCGCAGATTATGGTCAGGTGTGGTATTTCGATATTTGAATTTATCTTCATCTGAAAACCAAACAGATATATTCAATGATTTAAATTATGAATACAAAATACATTTTTAATGAAATTAATTTTACCTCTTGCCTGACGAATATTGATGTTTACAAATCTTGAGCAATTATTTAGTGGTTATCGATTCGTCGGGTTGAAAATGTCTTTAAGTGTATGAAATTCTTGAAATATGCTCTAAAAACGCGCAAAAGGTTAGGTAGTACAATTAATATGCCTTAATAACCCTCAAACGCCAAAAAACAAAACTGTTTGTAATATAGACGCATTAGGTCATGAAACACATTTTGGTAGGTGTAAACTATTTTTTTGGCTAACCAATAAAAAAATACAAATAAATAAAAAAATGTTGGTCCTAATAATGAGCAATATTTCATAAAAAAAATATTATAAATTTTGAAAAAAAATATGTTCATATAAAGTACCACCAGCCGACAAATCCGTGTATGTTTCTATCATATTGGTACAGATCCGAGCATTTTTACTGACCTTTTTCGAGGGATTTTGAATGGGCGAGAAATATTATTATATTTTTTTCTAACAACGGTGGCGTGTCATTTATTTTTAATAATACGACCGTACCTACCTATAATAAATTATGATTAATATTTCCGCCGAGACGGTTATTAAAATATACCTATTAAACAGTATACACACATTATGTATCATTATACGAACCCGTTAAAACGTATTTTTTTTCGAAATCGCTCTCACGCAAATTTACTCCGCACTCATGTTGTATTATATTGTCTCTCGTGTCCTGCCTTGAGTAGCCAATAGGTTAATACGCTGCCCTGGAGCGTATTGACGACCCTTATATTTGAAACTTGAGCCACAGACGCCAGTGGAATCCTCCGGTTGGTCAGATGTTATTCGTTTTAAGTATACAGATAACTTATCGTACAACTCAAAATGCGTTTCGATGGTATTTCGAATCTCAATAGATTACTATCGGCGGTGTCCATAAACTGTTGGGTTCGAATCCGACGATTATAGGTCATTTTTTTTTTCCCAGTTTTTTCCCTCTATACTTCATGTGCAATTATTGTTGCGATTTTCCATCGACTAAGTTCATACTCAAAACCTCGGATAATTTTTAAACTAGCACTTACTATATAATGCGTAACAAGTTCCAAAAATATCCGCTAAGACGGCGTTGCGGCTCATAATGAAAATGATAGCCCCGCGTAATCACTTTTCAGTCATGCATATATCTTATATTGGTCCGTTATTAAGTTGCTATATTAATTCCTCGGAGACGGCTCCAACAGTGAAAGGTATTTAACATAGAGAAGTGTGTTTATCGTTAAAATCATATTATCGATTTTATAACCTGTAAAAAATCATAAAATTCCGTTAGGCTCTTTTCGAATTGGGAACGTTTCTACGCGCTCGGGTATCCAACAATAGGACTTCTATGGGCTATTTTTTTTTCTAATAATAACGTTGTTGTCTTTGTTGTTAAACTTTCCTCTCTCTCTGTCTTGCTCGTAACATTAACGGGTATATACACGGTGTTACGGTGTGCTCAATCTTTTTATGACAACGTTGCCCCTCCCCCGGACCTCATGCTCTTCCTCTCTCTATTTCTTTCGCTCGATGCTATAAGTTCATTTTTTTTTTTTTTTGCCATAGGTCTGTGACTCCGCGTCTATTAGGTTAATTATTTAACTATATTATTATTATCATTATGAGCTCCACGGTCGTCTCCTAATATCGTTTTAATTGTTATTATACACACTGCCCTATAACACGGGTAACGTTTATACGTACATAAATTAACGGGCAACCTACCTATATTATAAAATTAATTAATAATTATGTATGCCACACGTCCAGAAAACATGTTAATAATGAACAATAAGAAACTCGTAATGGAATAATATTTGTATACAGAGTGATTCTTTTATTGTTGAACACTCGTTATTTAAACAAGTATTGGTATTTTTGATCGTTGATAATTTAAGAAATAAACGGCTCGAAAATATTACATTTCCATTATTTTTGTCGGTAAAACGATTACTTGCTTTTGATATTTTCAAATGAAGAGCTGTACTTTTTTTAAATAACCAACGTTCAATTATCAAAGAATCACCCAGTATAATTAATATATGTGTGTATTGAGTGCGAGCATATCGATCGGTTTGTAGATATTATGGGGGACTGGAATACGCGTACGATGTGTCCGGGGAAAACAAAAAACCGAAAATTACCCTGGGAAATCGATAAAATTTTATTGGCGTGTTGATGTCTATATAGGTATACTTACATCGCCGCCGCGTAGGTAATATACACGTAATTATGTCGTAAAATTTAAATGCACGCTGTCGATTTTCCCATGAAATCCGTCGGGATATAGACAGTACTTACTATCGTACACGTGTATATTATATACGTCCGTTTCCGAGGCGTGGCCGGAATTGAAATGAAAAAAAAAACCTTTTACGATCTCATCGTGCCGAGCCACGTGTTAATGCGCGTCCACACCTAAGTACGTTCGAGTAAAGTTAGCGGGGGCAAACAAAATTAAATAAACCGTGCGAATGTAAAATAGTGAATTTGTAACGCCGTAGTACATTTGTCCGTTTTTCTTCTACGTGTTTTCCCGTTTTCCCCCCCAATTTTAATGAAAATTCAATGAAAAATCAACAAACTACTTACTTCATCGCCATATAGACGTTGCCAAATGCAACAAAATAAGTGTCTTTTCGGTTTTTGATTTTTGGCAAGATTTCTGGTTGAAAGTTATTTACAATACTAAAAAAAAACCCCCGTCATAGTAAAACCAATATGTTATTCGCTCCGCTCAGAATCTGAAACACATTCTTTTTATAGGATTTTGCTATAGCAAATTAGAACCCTTAGAGAATTTGTACTTTCAGCTTCCGGTATTAACATCAATCGGATAGACGAGAGAACGATATTTAATAAACGATAACAAAAAAATATATAACGGCTATTCGGCAGTTTGTTTTGTCGAAAATGTGAAAAAATCTTGTTTTTATAAGAAAACAAACCGCCGTTATCTATATTATTAATACTGTTTACCGGAAATAGTGATAAGACTTTTAAATAAAATATTATGTACATAAGACACCGTTACCTCTGTCCGTCTCGTGCACGTAATATAGCAAAAATTAAACAAAAGGCAACGCATTATTCACTTGTACGTATTTGTATTATGCATACAAAGAAGATGCGTTTACCGGGGTACCCGAGTGCGTCCCGAAATGACTCTTTTCAATGTTCCAAGAGCGTCCGGAATAAGGCGTATCACCCAAGAAAAAATATCATATTTTTTAACGTAGCCCGAATACGTTACGGTTCATGAAAAAAGTATTTACTTTATTGACCCTGCAGGTTACGAATGATTTTTTTTTTTTTAAGTGTTATATTTAACGGTTAAAATTGTAAGACTCGCGCTTAAAAAAAAAAAAAAAAAAAATGAAACCGAACGGTTGACGGTGTTGTACGCGCGCCGTCGTCGTGTGCGGCGTCGATTTACGGAGATCACGTCTGTCCGCGACCGCGTCGGACCGCGCAACGTTATAAATATACATACGGACCGTGTGTCGAATAAATAATTCGAATGGGTACGAACGAAAACAACAAAAAAACGAAAAATAAAAAACAGCGTATTTATACCTGGTGTATACCGGGTATTGTGTACCGCTCGCCGACGCCTACACGAGCGCGCACACCGGGAATGCGAAAAACACGAGCGTACGTCGTCGCCGCCGCCGCAGGTACGCGCGGACAAAATTAATCTGCGGTGCGAGCGGCCGGTATTCGCGGTCGTACACGGTTGTCGTCGGAATTACTGTTACAGTGCGCCGACGGGAATACTCGCGAGAGGTTTTATTATTATTATTATTTTTATTTTTTTTTTTTAATTCTATTTTTCGAAATAAAACATTGTATGCGTACGCTCGGCGAAAAAAAAAAAATCGCAATCACCGCGCGAATCGAGAGTCCGCGGGTGCGTTTATTTACGATCGAAATCAACGCGGTCGGGTCGCGCGGGTCAGGCGGTTTCATTTTTTTTTTTTAATTCTTATTCGCTAGGGTTCTCGCCGAATTCATCACTCGCAGGCGTACCGTGTATACCTTACTTATAATTAATATCTAGTGGCAACATTATTACATATATATATATATATGTACCTAATTAGGTAATGACTCTATTATCTCTCGCCGGCCCTTTCGAAAACGCGCCGACACTCGGTGTATTATATCGCGATTATAACGGCGTTGTATCAAAACCAGAGGTTCCCAAAGTGAATCCGAATCGAACACCGGCGGCCTATATCGAATGGGGGAGGGGAGGGGTGATGGGATGAACAGGGTGTAAACGGGTCCGCGACAGTGCGGTAAACACACCGCGCATTAGTGTAATCGAATTTCACTCGATCCGTTTTGCGAAACGTTTCGATTACCTCTCTCGGCGGTTCCTGGACTCCGAGCCGGCAATCAAAATACATCGGCGCTGACGATCCCTACGTGAAACCGACAACGTTTGTGTCAATTGTCGCACGAACCTTCGAAATAGCTTACACGGTCCGCCCGGGTACCGCGAAACGGATGATAATCGTGTGGCATGTTAAGCGCGGATATAATTTGTCGGTTTAGACCAATATTAAGTACACAATTCAAATTTAATTAACAAAGGTGTGCGAGTATAAACGAATTTTTCGTTATTTTTTTTGTTTTTTTTTGGTTTGAAGTCGTTCGTTCCACAGTACGCCTTTTTGGTAGAGAGCAGCTATCGAACGAATACACGTTTGAAGTTAGTCAATGCGTTTTTGTCAAAACCCAATATTACCCGAAAACACGGAATCGGCCCGTTGTTCACCGTACAAAAAAGTTTAAGAACTCCTGCCATAAACGAGCCGAAAAACTCTATACGGCGCGTACGCGACCGCGTCTAATTATTACAGCGATCATTTCCCGAGATAGACGAAGAAAAAAACATTAGGCTGTCGCACAAACAACTGCACCACCGGCCAGATACAATCAACGCAGTGTCGAGTTGTATAGGTCGGAATTGGCAATTGCCCGAGGGTTTTTTAGACAATTACAGCAACTAGGACCCTAGCCGCGGTAACCTGTGTTCTTGGACTCGAATGATAAAACCGCGAGATTGTCTAAAGTAGTTTTTAGAATTTTCGAAATCTAGATAAACGGATATCTCGGAAACTAATGTGGTTCGGCACCTATTTTTAATCCGTCCGCGCAATGTCGAATCCGATTTGCAGCACACACCAAGTGTTTCGCGTGCCGGGGTACAGCGATAAGCGAACGAAAAACGAATTAATATAATATTATTTCGGTTTCGAGACCAGTTCTCGTGTTTTAATAATCATTATCGCCGTGATCATCGGGTCGATTTGTTTTTTTTTCAAATAGACCTCACGATTATATACGCGTCCGAAAACGTATTTAACGGATATATAAAGGTAATAATATAGGTATATATCGCTCAAGTATTGTCGGGTCTTTCATGAAACAAAATCGTAAAAGCCCAGGGAAGTACTAAGGGAAGAATTGAGTCTAAAGGCAATGATTTTCGTCCCAGTACCATAGTTTTTCGCGGAGACTGACCAAATATCTAACCTCGAATACAGGGGGAAAAAGGGGCCAGGGTTTTTCAAGGGGCACAGCCCGACTTTTGGATCGACTCAAATTTGTATGCATAAAAAAAAACCATCCAAAGTTTTTGGGGCTTTATGATTTCTCCTCTTCCATTGAGCTCAGGCTTTTCTCTCCAAGACCCTGCGAAAACTGATTTTGTATGCTTATCAATCGGCTAGAAAAAATACAAGTCACGATAAATTTCGAGTCAATTTAAAAAATTTAAAAATGCTATAAACAGATTTTTATGAAATATTATAGTAAAATCAATTTTGTTTTTTCCCGGGTATAATACCGCATATAAATCCTATTAATAAAATTTCGCATATGAAAATTGTTTCTCAATATTCAAATGTTTTTTTTTTTAACTTTTAACGAGTATATTATGTATTCGATTTGCATGCGATTCCAATCCGCTAGTACACTGCACTCGGAACTTGTGTCGAATATGGTTATTTTTTAAATGTATAATGATAAATTGATAGTGGAAACAGGGAGACGAAGGGAATGAAATACAAATCTATAAAATTAGGAACATTTTTTTTTTTAATTATTTAAAGTCATATGATGTATATCCTACGTGGAATTTTTAAAAAAAAAACATATAAGAGGACCCTTCTAGCTAGTGCGTATACATTTTGTAATGTAATACGATTTTTTCAAATCTTCATAATCTCCTTCGCGGTTCAGTCTTCTCCGTAAAATAATTATTTTGTTTACTACACGTTATAATAATATTTTAATTCGTAGAAAAACCAACAAATCAATTTACAGTAGATGATTTTCGTCCCGTTTCCGTATTTCGTTTACATTATTTTAATTTAAGCGTTTTCGTGTTTTATTTTTTTCAGAATTCTGGATGGCGAAAACTGAGAAACATTGTTCAGTGGACTCCGTTCTTTCAGACCTACAAAAAACAGAGGTATCCATGGGTACAACTAGCCGGACACCAAGGTACGTTTGAAAACTAAATAATACTATTGTTATATTTCATACAAATATATTTAATAGACATATAAAAAGAAAAATTGTATTTTAATACATTTCAAAAATTACTGAAATTTAACAACAACTATTCGCACGTCGTCATAAACTCTTACTGTGCGATGCTCGTTTTGTTATCAATTCGTCTCGAGTATTTTTAAATAAGAGTCAGGCATTTTATTTCGTTTTTTTTTTTTCGTTTTTTTTTTTGATTTATAAGTCATTTTATTAGTTCATTTTAAAAATGTATTTTTTGAAATGTTTGTATAAAAGCACGTTTTCTTTCTAGGGCATTTTTGGGGTTTTGTGTACCGTTACACATTTTCAGTAGTGATTCAACTCAAAGACGGGTCCGCGTGAAAATGACAAAATATAAGACCCTTCATTTGAATTCTAAATAATAAATAATAGTGTACACGTACGTGTATTGAAATTTCGAATAAATATTTCTATGCTTGAATAATGAAATCGTATGCAAACTCGCAGTACTATCCATTTTTATGGAAATTTAATTTTCGCACACAATAATAGTCCGTAGAATATGATAATATGATATAATAACAAATATTAAAAAAAAAATACGATACCAAGCGGGGAACCGCGACGTAGTAAAATCATCTTGTTTATATTTTTGTTTATACATTACCTATGCGTAAAGTAAATTTAATTTTTTTTTTTTTTAGAACGTCCGATAATAATGCCCCTCCCCTCCCCTTGTCAAGGGCCATTTGCACAAGTCGCGCGCGTACACGAAACGCCACATTTGTCGTATTATTTTCTTTCGGTTCGAATTTTACGCGCGAACAAGATTCGATTTAGTAATATTCCGCAACATAAAAAACGCGGCGATGTTTACGAATGCAATAATATTCAACTACAATGCCCCGGACGGCGGCGGCGGCGTTCACGTGCATATTGTTGTTATTATTATTATTGAAAACGTGACGATCGTATGATATTCTCAAGAGTCTCGTAAAACACGTATAACGTCTTTATTTTATAATTTACTCCGTGTACCTTGAGGCCGCGAAGTCGTCATTCCTCGCCCGTCTCGGAAAGGCGTAAAAAAAAAAAAAAACTATTTCGAAAATTCCGTTCTTTTACACTCACAATGTTGTTGTAGTATTTAATAATATAATAATTTTTTTTTTTTTTTGTATTTTGTCCGACGTATCTATACGTTTTTGATTATTCGTACAGATAACCGAGCTGCGGTTATTATAGGTGTGCGCGTCGTCGTCGTCGTTGTTTTTACAAGTGCGGGTACAATTTGTTTCCCTCCCGAAACGCTGCGTAACGTTACACTGCCGATATTATTTAAACAGTTTCGCGGATTTCGCATACAATATCATCGAGTGTCACACGTGCAACGCAAGGCGACACTTCGTTTTTTCGACGAAAAATGGACGAGCGTATTATTGTTATTTTTATTTCATAACCGACATTAAAAAAAAAAAAGAGGATATTTCTCGTCTCGTGTGTACCGAATACGCATCGATCAAGATGATATTTTTTCGTTTTTGTTTAAAAGATTATTGCATTTCCGCGATAGTCCCGTATAATAAATTTAATCGAAATCCGATCATCATATTTTAATATTTACGAATCCGAACCAATAACATTTACGGGCGGGACGGGGTGATCATTGACGTTGCAGATGTATTATGGGATATATTAGGCTGTGTATATGCTATTCACAGTCAATTTGGTAAACCATAAAATAAAAAATAAAACCTACTAAAAAAAAAAAGAGCCCTGAAAACAGTACCTACTTTTAAGTATTTCTGTTAAGTAATCCGTTAGAATTAGCGCTAAATAAACGATAATTGAACGATGAAATATAATTATTATATAGCGAGTCACTTATTAGTGACAAATGACGATGATGTACCACATATAATAGTAGGTGAACGCAGCTGTTACAGTGTCGCCGAAGTCTTAAAATTATTCCATGTTCAACCTTTTAGAGTTGTTTTGTTGTTTTTTTTTTTAGTCGATCAGATTTTAAACGAACGATAAATGATTTACCAAGTGGTTTTTTTTTTTTTTTTGTCTGTAAACAACTTATTTATCAGAAATCTTGGTCCGATCGAAATATCTGTAAAAACTTTCTCGTAGAATTTGCGATCTACAGTCTCGGTGTACCGTGGAGGTCATCTTTTAAATTGTTCTCGTTGGTTACTCGGTTACTTTGACAACGAGGGACAAAATACTGGTAATAACAATTCTCCGTTCAAAACCGTTTTTCGTCAATAACGGTTTATCGCCGTCAGATACAATTAATTATCGTGTTACCGCTTTTAAACTCGACCCCCTAAACCAGCGGCACGCCCGTCGACTGCGGCGTCGGTATTTTACGAAAAAACCAATCCGTTTCGTTCCGGGAGTCGATTTTTTTACTCGAATATACTATAATGCTATACGATTGTACGGTCGACTTTCTCGCACCGTCTCGGACGAACGAGACGCGTACGCGTATACAGGGTGCCCGCTCGCCGCCAACGATAATCGCCCGGCCGAGCGACTGATTGCGCGTGAATTCTCGCCCCGCGGCGCCGGGCCGGCGATCGTTAGTTTTCTCACCGAATGCACACGGCCGCGCGAGTACGAGAAATACCGCGCGTTCCGGTCGCAAGTACGGTGGCCTACGGGTTTGAATTTCGAGGGGAAACGATCGACACACTGTTCGCGCTTGCGCGCGCCCATCGTCCATCACCGTTTTGCCTGAAACGTGGTATAGACAGACCGCCACTCTCGTTTACAAAAACCAACGGGCTCGTACGTGTTTTCGCCCGAAATCGACCTTTTAGTCTTTGGCCCAAATGACTTTTCTTTTACGCAAACGCGAAAAATAATGATTCCGGTTTTCGCCCAGAGTAATATTATTCATCAGGAAACGAAAAAAAACAAAAAAAAAAAAACATTTTGGTTAACACTGTATTTTTTTTATTTTTATTTTGAAGTGTTGTTTAAACCTGTACAAAATCAAGCACGGCATTTAAATGATCCATCAACGTAAATTGAATCAACCAAACACAACATTTTTAAATTTGTATCACATTAAAAATTAACAATACTTTTTGTTTTATCGTTAGAAAATAAAAATTGTTCGCCTCCGCAAGTTATTAACAAGTACATCTGTATTCTTTAAAGCCAAGGGCGCCCGCAAGGGGTTTGCCGGTGAAGGCCATGGCTTCCCCTCGCTATTTTAGCTAATATTAAATATTAATCGTTTTATTACTCGTATGGATTAAATATTCAAGCCATAATTACTTGTAAGTTGTAAGTTGTAAAAAAAAAGTCTTATACTTTTGACTTTGGTCCCCCTCAGTTTATATTTCTGTCCTTGTTTAAAGCTTCAGTTTCAATAATTTAGCGCCGTTTTCGATAATAACTTATCTAATTTATCGGCAAGATTACGATGTATAATTTAATTTAGAATCCGGAGTTTCATATAAAAGCCGAAAGTATTTTATTGATTACGACTCGTGGACAGTGAAAACAGGTCCGTGCATTCGGTAGCCAAATTGTTTTTTTGTTTTTTTTTTTTTGTTTTTATACATTGTATAATATTACTATGGACGAAAACCGAAGCATTTTTTTTTTTGAGTTTGGGTAAAAAAAGTAATTTGGGCGAAAACTAAAAGGTCGATTTTGGACGACAAAACCAGGTTCGCCCAAAACAAACTCCCATACAACTAATACTTCGAATTTTATTGCGTATTATTATTAAAATTTTTAACAATAACGATAATAATTTATTTACAATACCGCAACGCGCGCGTATACCGGCGGTAATAGTAAAACGCGTATCGTCGTAAACGGCGATTTTTTTACAATTTTTTTTTTTTTTTTTTCCATTAAAAAAATCTGATATTACGATATTGTTGTGATGTAACGCGCGTAATATAATATATATTTTTTTTTTCTACGCGTCGTACATTCGAGTGTGATTCGTTCGTCGACCGCGTGCGTACATATTATATATACGAAAACAATAACACAACAATAATAATACCACGGCGTTCGATAATAATAATACATACACATGTTATGTAAATTTTTTTCCCGAACTGTGTTCAACTGGTGTGGAAAAATAAGAAGCCATTACCTACATCGCGGGTGTTTCCGTGCCTCAACTAGTTGATAGGTAGCCATTTGTCGAGCCGAACAAATTACAGAATCTAAATCGGATTTATAATATTATAATGCGTAGTAGATGAGGAAAAAATATCGCGGTTTTGAATTATTTATAATAATATGACGGTGTGAAAAACGAGTTTTTCGACAAAATATTATTATTAATAAGAAAAAAAAAAAAAAAAACTACTACTACTACTAAATTTGTTATCGTTATTATTTTTTTTAATTAGCGCGATAGTGTTTTACGATACAATTGTACCTGCGGTTTTCGTTTTCTTTCGTAATATTAATTTTTATACGCGTTAGTGCATATTGTATACGTAAAAAACACGACTTGTTTACTCTTATCATTGTTTTTAAATCTACTATTTTTGGTGAGAATCGTGTATTATATTATTACACTCGATAAAGCGTGTTTAGGATAACGCCAAGGAGGACGAGATATTAAATTTAGAAATGGCACAATATTATGTAATATATTGTATAAAGTGTACTTACCCAGGATACAAACAAACACATCAACGCTTTCGGTCATTTATGTCATTTTTTAAGTAATCCAATCCATACCCTAATCGTCAAAATCGAATATCTAACTTTTTATGTATAGCTTATTGTTTACATTATATTTTTATGTTTGAGTACTAATTTTACCGACTTCATAATACGTTTGTTCGGGTAATAGACTTCTTTTTAAAAGAGAACGTGTTTACACTCATTTAACAATAATTAAATTTTTAATTATTGCGAATTTATATTGCGTGCTAAAAATGTCTAGAACAGTATACGATAAATTAGTGATTGATCTAAGAGGGAGTGGGGGCAACGGGAGTGGGTCATTTGTCTCCCAAACACTGTAGTGGATTTTTTCCTTTCTTCATCAAAGAACACAAATCGACAGATCACGGACTAAATAAAACCCGCGAATGTGGGATTATAATGTTTCCGAAATTCGTGCTGCTATAGATAGTACCCGAATTACTATAATGTTTTATTTGTACGGTGAAGCGAATTAATAAATGAATAAGAGGCTTTTACTATTTTTATAGATGCCTGGTTAACGCGTAAACTCCAATAAAGACATTAACACCTATCTATACGGCCGTCGTAGTTGTGCGTTTTTACTAATGTTTGCAAAATGTTTTGCACTTTTCATCACCTCCCGCGCCTAACCGAATCCGAACTTTGGATTCGACACTACGGTAAACGGCAAATTCATCGAAACCGTCGGTACGTCGTTCCTCGTCGCGCAGAATCTAAGTAAATTATTTTAAACTGACGGCCGTCAGTGACGATGTTACGCGATTCGTGTAAATCGCGTTCGAAGTATGCGAGCGATGTTGTTTGCCATTGTCTCGGCTTATAACGACGTCAAATCGCGCGCTATTAAACGATTACGTTATTATTACGGGACGAGTAGGTCGCGATCGTTACGTTATTATTATTATTTTGTCCGTTGTAAAACAAACGTGTCTGCCGCCGTACGTGTGTGTACATAACACGGTATAATTGTTGTTGTTTATAATAAAATAATAAAGTGAAAACGAAATTATTAAAATGGTTAATTGTTATTGTTTACTATTTCGGTTCGTTAATATTGAACGTGCCGTAGACCGACGATATTATTATTAACGGCGTTTCGACTTCTGTTCCGTACGCGCGTCGCCGTGCCTGCAGTGCGCTACTGCCGTATTGCCACTCGAACGCAATAACATACAGGGCGGTTATCGTCTACCGCGGCGTATTGTGCGGACAGCAACAGCCGTGAAGTATGCATTATAGTGACAGCGGACGGTTACACATTGAGCGAAAATTAGTCGGACGACGACCACTCGTCGTCATCGTTATTATTAAAACCCGAGTCTTGTCATCGGAGACACTCCTTTCTGTTTGACGTCACGTTCTTTAATGAAACAAAAACAACGCACTCGGTTCTTGCGGATGTGTTCAAAATATAATTGTTTCTTCGGGGGAGCGTCCTCTCGACAATTTCTTCCCGTCAACTGTTACTTCGAATACGTTTGTTACGGAGTCGGTGTGTTGGATAATGTGTCCACAATTCGCTTTGCCATCCTTGATTCAATTGTGCTCATCTTCTAACACTCACTCGTTGCTTATCTCGTGTATCCGTCTGGTCTTTGCCGTTTTCCATCACGTCCGCATCTCTCCTGTCACCAGGTTGTCTCGGTATTTCGTGTCCGTTGTCCACGTTTCACTACCGTATGTATACCCACGCTCTAAACGAATGTCTTAACGAGTTATTTACTCGATCGCGTGCGCGTTTGCACGGTGAAAAGTTGACGATTGTCTTGGAATGTTTCCTTTGCTCGTGTTATTCTTCTTCTGGCGAAATCTAAAAAATATTGACCACAAATAATACGGATAGTATTATGATTAATGCGCGTGATCTATTCATGATAAATCGACGTTTTTCACGGGAAAAGGTTTTTTTTCTTTCTGTATAACCGCTAATATCCACCAATAAGCATAGGCATATGTCTATGATCAATATTAAACAAGAATAATTCGAATAAATTCTATTGTTTCGGCGGTTTTTCAGTCGTTGAGTCGTTTGACGATAACACAACAGTTTCAACATTCGGTCCCGTATATTATAATAAACTGCCATAAACGCATATTATTGACTTACGTTTTTAAAATCGCGTTATAATTGATGGCACGCGCTCAACACTACTATAAAATACTTAGGTAGATGCCTAGTATACAATACAGGAGACGGGCCGTTTGTTCACTAGTTTGAAATTAAATTAGACCGCGAAAGAAATTTATTCGAAATCCGTTCGTTTTCTCGTAGATAATCTCTGACGACGGTTTGTGATAACAAAAAAAAAAAAAATCACTGTATTTTGTTAGTGCAGGCGGAACAACTCGCACGTTCGGCCGGTTTTCCGTCGGCCGAGTATATTAGCGAAGAACACAACAACAGCAATAATAATATTGAATGTATGTGTGTGTATTTTTTATTTTTTTCTATGTGTCGTAGCGTATGTATAAATCGTTCAATGTCAAACCGATCTATTGCGAAAACCTCGTCGTCGTCGTCGTCGTCGACGGAGACACTCGACCCGGTGGCCGTAACGTCGTAATAGGCTATCCGGTACCAATAATATACCTATATAATATAATAACCAGGTGTGGCGAGGCGCTCTACGTGCGTCAGTAGCAATAAAATGAAAGAATTAAAAAGAATAAAATAGAACAATAACTCGTGGAAACGCAAGCGATCCGCAAAAGCCTGCATATTGAAACACGACAGTCCTGTTGTTATATTATAATAATAATAATAATAATAGAAAAAAAAAAAAAAAACCAACGCCCTAGCCTATTACAATAATTATAGTTTTATAAATGAAAAACTATTATTTACAACGTGATTGACGAACGCGTCGACAATAACGGGGGAGAATTAATGAATATACCCGGGTCTGAAATTCGATTAAATCCGATACGATTATAAATTGCCGCTGCTATTAGTATATCATAATCACCGCGGGTGTTTTTTTTGTCTACACAGGCACCAATAGGAAATTATTCCATTATCGCACGCACAAACAATTTATTTACAATATTATTATTTTCAAGGTTTGACCGTGAAACGATATCCGAAATTTCGTATACGGTATTAATAATTCATAGAAAACGTGTCGGAATATGTTATTTTTCGTGAATTCGCCAATTTTTATTATTTTTCTCCCGGCGTAGTCTCCCGTAGCCTTATACTTTTTGAACGTTTTGACTGCCACTAAAACACCATTATATTCTGACACGTATCATGGTACTTATTTCAATCTTTTACAGGTCTGAAAAAAAAAACCAGTGTCCTGTCGTATTTTTCCCAAAAATAATAAACTATCGAACTGTAATTGTGACTGTTGTACATAATGTTATAATGTTATGTGTATTTCTTTTACCCGGTACAGTTGAACACTTTTAGTGGCTCCCTCTGCATCTAAAGAGCTCAAACACGGGAATTAGAAATTTTTGTGGGTGGATTGGATTAATACGATTTCGGTTGAATTTCAATATGAACTTCGCATCATGTTGTTGCGGGAATTTTTTCGACTTTTCACATCCCTATAACAGACACCTCTAAATGAAGCCAGAGGGATACAATTCTGCGCGTGAATGGTGTAAGAATCAAATATCTAAAACTGATTTTGACTTTCAAAACCCTTCGCCAATCATTTTTATCTTCAGATTTCATGTTTTCAGAGTAAATGTTGAGTTTTAATTATCCTTTCAGACTCATGAAAGTAAGAAACTTGATTAAAATGTGTGTCTATAAATATAATTGCTGTCGAGGATGTGTCTTCAGAAGGTTTTAACTTCCGACTCTCAACCCCACCATCTGTTTGTATTTTATCACACATTTCGAGACCTACTTTACCTATTTTGTCCAATTTGTATATATACATATATACATCAAATATAAAAAAAAAAAAAAATTTTTTTTATAATATTGTAACATAGTAACAAGGAAAATTCGATATATAGTGTAGAGCTCTGTTGCTCATGCGTTTTACATATTAATTTTGTTTAAAATGTGTTTTTGATTGTAAATATTAAATAATTGTTAGTTTGTTTTTATGTTTCAAAAATTATTTTTTATAATAATAACTTTTAATCAAGAATAAATAGAATTTTAATAATTATTTAGAAACAAAATATTAATTGAAAAAATGTTACTTTTTTTCCAAAAGTAATAGGAACTTTATGAATATCTTCACTCTTCAGAATATATTATTAGTTATTTTAATTTTTGAACGTTTAAAACGGTTTAAATATTTACTTTTCAAATACAATTGTCTTTCATATAGATAGTTGTTACTCTTGATATTTGAAGCAAGAGCGATCGGACATGATTTCCGGTAAAAAAAGGTGTTAACCGATACGAAAAAAAAAAAAGAACACAAATCATAGTACAATCAATACGTTCCTCTCTGCGAACAGAATTTAAAATACAAAATACGGAATCTAAATATAAATCTAAGTATACGATTTATTATATCTTCAATAACGAGTCAAACATTTGGAGAATTGTAAATCGCAAACCCAGATCGAATTCAAAATGCTCTCATTTAAACATTTCGTAGTAAATTCTCTCTCACTCTCTCTCTCTCTCTCTAAAACCAATTTCAAAGGTTATATGTGTGGGTTTTGTTTTGCGCGAACACGTTTTCGCTATATTGGTCATTAAAAACGAGACAGAGACGGCGAATGTAACCGCGATAGCCTCTTACATAACCACGAAATTACATAAAAATTCTAAATTCTAACCATTTATATTCGTTTTTAAGAGAATATATTAAACTAGGTGTTTAGTTTTTAAATGTGACCGTTGTCGTATCGTAATAAGTGTACGAGAATAGTCCCCGAACGTGTTTTCTGTACAAATTGTCACCTGTTCCTGGCGTTATCAATTTTTTTTTCTCTCCGCAACGAGTCGATCATAATCTAAAAGTGCGCAGGTGTTCCCCGTATATAATATTTACCTGTCCGTGTCGTCCGCGATAAATATAATATATACTATTTACATCTGCATAATAATTATTCAACACGGTCACGGTTGGTCGATAACATGTTGATATAACCGTCTGCATTGCCGATTTCGTACGGTACATCAGATCGTTTTTGTCAACGATATGGCGCAGTCATATTATATTAGTAAACGTCTATTCAATGTATACGGATTGGCATAAATATACCCGTGACACATTCGTGTTACGAACGGCTCGGAGAAAACGGAAAAAGCGATTACCACCGCCTTTAGCCGGACCCGTTAACGTGTTTATTGTACTCGATATTGACGGAAGTGCTCCCCCCGCCGAAATTTTATAAGCATAATTTATTTTACACCGTTATTTTAATGATTGTGTGCGGTTTTTAATTTTTTTCCATCCGTCAACACGATTTCGACCCGAAAACATAAAGAGGGTGGTTATAGTAGTTTGATTGTATTTTCGATATAAGTGGTGTCTTTGGGAAAAACCGCGCAGAAATCCGAAACGTCGAACATTTTCGACAACATTTCAATGCCGGTTTTTAAAATTTTGATTTCGGAGACTAGCGCGCTCGAATTTGCGACTTTTCGATTCCGGATGAATCGAACAATACACTGATCATTATGTATGCGATTTTTAAGTTTTATTTTTTTTTTTTATGTGTCGTTTAACGAGCTAACTATCACTTTAATTCTAAAATCTTATCTATCTCTAAGCATAACGAGGAACGTATTGATTTAATCTCGGGTAACAAATTTTCTACCAGAAATATTGCTCCAATCAAAAAACGACAACAGAGATTAATTTTTAGCATTTTTAATCTAGTTGTTTCGTTGAACAAGTCCTGTCGGCTGCACGCGAAATCCCATTGTAGTCTCGAAACTGGCATTTGTACAATTTTGGTCGCATCTCTGGATTGCTTTGGTAACAAGTACGACGATATGACTAATAATACTCTACATGGAATCGTTTATCGAATGGATATAAATTAAATTAGTCTCAGTACGCGGGTGGGATGAGCAAAAAAGAAAACAAAAAAAAAACATCATGACTATAATTTTAGTAATGCTCTCCCTTCCCTAGACAAATTTTCTGGATCCAACATTGAATACGCAGCCAGCGGTATTGTATCCAATGTCCCCGGCGTGTATAGTAATAATAATATGCAAGTACACAAGACGTGTATCTATTGCTCGGTCTGTAATCGTTTTCGACGTTCTGCGCAACATCAGTTGTATAGTCTCCTCCGCAAATGCGCATGCGCGTTTCGCGTTCTCCGCGACTCATTAATTACAGCGAAATAATAATAATAAAAAGGAAAAAAAAAAAACGAATGCGAAACGCCGAGCAGTGTATTATACATAATGGCGGCGGCGATCGTGACAAACCAGTTTTGAATTGCGCTTCGGGCTGTTAATCGGTTTACATAGGTAGTTAAAACACCGATCGTACTAATACCGCGCGTATACCCAATATTATTATTATTTACGCGTAAACACGCGGCTCCGGTCGTTTTTTATTTTCTTCTTCTTCCTCTCCTACAAAGTGTATTTTATTAATTTCACGTACGATTCGCGCTGTCGCACGTACCTCAATAATACGCGCGTATAATAATAATGGCGGCGCGAGATCCACTCGGTCCGGTAACCGATACACGGCGGGAGTGCAGCTGCCGGCGGGGCATCGCCGGAGTTTTCTCGTATAGTCGGGTATTTTCGAGTAGCACGGAAATTGCGTGTCGTAACCTAACGCGGTCGTCACCGTAGTTTTAAATTTTTTTCGGGTGCATACGAATGAGGATCCGTTTATAGCCGGGCCGGGCACGGTAAACGGTATTTGTCAGAAAAACGCGGTATCCGCTTCTGTCGCGCGCGTCAGATTAGACCGCCGGACCCGGCGGAGAGTAGCGACGCGAACGGATGAATCCTATACGAAGTAACGGCCGGTTCACAGCCGAATCACGAGGACGCGCGTGTGCATACATGTTGTTTAATTGTCAAACGTGTAAACGAAAAACGCGTGAATCTTATAGGAACGTCTGTAGAGAATCCAAGATCAGATTTTTTAAAAGGATTAGGAATATTTTAATAAGGTATACGTGTTTAAAAAAATGTAAGGTTAAGTTCGGATACGTTCAGAGTAAAGATATTAAATGATAACAATAGGCGACATAATATTAAGCATTATACTTGAAATAGCTGGTGGAAATTTCAAATAAATGTTCAAATCAAATATCACTGAGTAACAATTAAAATTTATTTAACCGAAAAAAATATTATTTTTTTTTTTCATTTGAAGCTCTCAAATAAACACTTAAAAACCATTTTTAAAAAACTTATAAAAGGATTTTTATTTTTTAACTATTAAAATATACAAAAAAAAAAATTTTCAAATTTGATAGCTGAACTCTTGAATCTTTTTGAAAATACATTGGTAAATTTGTATTAATGACGACCGACTCGGAACTCGAAAAGTAAATAAGATAACGCAGGGAAACAAAAGTTCTTGGATAATGGGGACGGGTGCAGTTTTTTTTATAAGTAAAAAGTTGGGAAGGTAGGATGTAGACGCGAATTTAATGTACATCTACAACGCAATGATAAATCATTACTAACGAAAATACATACCTCGCTCCATTCAGAATTTAAAATCATCAGGGAGGAGGAAGAAATTAGTGTTTTGTCTGTAACCTACGTAACCATAAAATAGAAAATGAACACGAAAACAAAAAAAAACAGGGAAAACTAGTCAAAAACATATATATAAAAAAAAAAAAAATCTATCAAAATAATCAAAAACGCACTTTTAAATAATATTGCGTATTTAAACATGACATAAATGTCCATGGCACTATGCCGGATTTAATAAAACGTCAAAAAAAAAACAAAATAAGCGAATGCTGTAAATTCTGAACCTGTACATGATCATTCATTTAGTCGTCATAAAATATCGGCGGTGACTTCATCTACGGACAATGTTTGAACGTAATATAATTATTAATATATTAATTTTTCCACTCGGCAGAACGGGCGATAGATACTGCGGTAAACATAAACGATAAATAAAAAAAAAAAAAAAAAACAATAATAATAATAACAGGTACTTAGATTAAAGAGTATTTGCTATCATATACGTGGATTAGCAACGGAAAACGATAACTGAGCTGTTGTAGGTTTAATAGGTAGGCGGGTAAAGTCGGCGTTTACTATTATTAGTGTTTTTTCTTTTATTACTACGATAGCAACACGTTATTTATATAGTAACAGTCGTTTGCATATTATCTCCATGCGGCACTATATTTTTTATTCAAATCACACTTCCGTCAAAGGTTTTTTTTTTGTTTTCTCTTAGTGTTTTACTTTCGTGGGTACTTGCGATAAATTTCTATGTAAAACAGTAAGTATGCGAAGTTTCTCTGTTTCTCTTTTACACGTAAACTGACGTACTCACGTGAAATCAACATCCGAATCTATAAAAATGTATAATTGAAAAATCCGTGTACACGGGTAATATTATTCGCGTGTACGCGTACGTTCGCGTATTTTAGCATTTTGATGTTTATTTTGAGTTTATAAGAGTATTGACAACTTTAATTTAACAATAAAATTAATTAAAATTATACAAAATCCGCAGTAAATTTAGTATATAGTACGTCATCGCCTTAACACGTGAACACGGATAACGAATTCATGTATATTAAGTACACGTGGTACATTATAACTTACAATAAGTATAATTATAATACACATATAATTTTCTTCACGTGTAGACGGACTCTGCATTAATGTACGTATTTAATTCACGTATTCAATTTACTTCTAGTAAGTACCCGTTTTAAAAACGAGTAGAGCAAAACAAGGTCAACCGGGAGATCGGCGTAAACTTTTCCGACAATATTTTACGAATAATATACACTCGCCTTCGGAGTTTTCGAATTCCCGTACGGGTCTTTCTAAAAACATAATGTTATTCTTCTATAAGCCGCTCGGCTCGACTTCTACGGGGTCGCGAAAACTTTGTAAGTTTACGTCTAATCCGTAAAACCAGCCGAAACGAACGCTCGACTTCTGGAGTTGTCTAACCGTTCCAAATACCCGTACTACGTGGTTTAGTTATATTAAAACAGTATTTCGCCGTACGAAACGTGCTTGGCTTTTTAAGTCAAGTACCTGTGTCGTTGTCATTGAAATCATGTTGTTCACCATCCTGCGGTTCCGTAGAAAATTGCGATAACGCCATAATGCCGTTTTTTTTTTTTTTTTTTTGTGTGAAAATCTGATCAAACTAAAAATAAATATTACGATAATACGATCGCTTATTGATTTATTTAATGGATTTATTTAATTTTTGTAAGCTCATCACCGTACTAATATTATAGTGCCTGGTGTGGCGAACTCGTTTTGTCTTCGCGCGTGCATTGTATTCGGAACCTATGCCGACAATATCCGATGGGAGGCGTGCAATAAAAATTGCCGAATTAAAAAGAAACAGTGACCGGTAGAAAATTATTTAAATTAATAGTAATGCGGATATAAAAACAGATATAAAAAAAAAAAAAAATAAGTTTTAACCTTTTTTACTTTTATCAAACCATCTCCGTTCCGGCATTCCTACCGGTTTATTTCCCCGCGGGATCCGGTTTAATACATCATTTATATAATTGACGTAGCCCTAATTATTTCTGACCAACTCGGTCTTTTGAGTCCTATTTCAGCTACTAAATTCGGTTTTCGAATAATCCCTTTACTTTTATGTTGGATCTAATTTCATACGTTTATCTTTGTTGGTCTGAGGGGCGTCCGTAAATCCTTCTAAGGAGTTTTCTCACCATGACAGATAATTTTCTCTAACGTTTCACACACGTAAATAATCACTGGTCTTGCTAATACTCTGTGTAGCGGTTCTTACGATTTCCTTGGATAGATGATATATTATTATTATTACTTATATCCATGTTGGCCATTTTATCATTACAATATAGCGCATCGTGAGGTATCACGCGTGGTAATATGGAAATTCGCCGTTTTTCCCATCATGTGTACACAGCGATTGTACCGGTTTTTAAACAGAGTACCATAATAGTATTATAAATCGTTTTTTTTTTTTTTTTTTTTGCAGGTAACTTCAAAGCCGGTCCGGAACCCGGCACGATCCTCAAGAAACTCTGTCCCAAAGAACAGTTGTGCTTCCAAGTGTTGATGAAGGACGTGCTCAGGCCTTACGTGCCCGAGTACAAGGGCCACTTGACAACCGACGACGGAGACCGTATCCTTTTGAAAACTGTAAATAATATTATCGCTGTCGCGGGGGGGGGGGATCGAACGAATCTATGCACATATTGTAATCCGTTGACTAGCCGGCGAAATTCCGTGAGTAAATTTTAACCGCACGTTTCGGAAGAGAATCTAAAACTTGTGGCAGACTGTTTAATAACGTGCGGCCGATCGCGGTGCTCGATGAAATAATTGCGTGTCGGCTTACGGGGGGGGTTTTGTTTTTCCGGTCGTTGACACACTTAGCCGCCGTGTTAAACGCGATAATATAGCTATGTTTAAAAAAAAAAACAAAAGAATAATAATAAAAAGCGCTTTCGAGGTTGGAGGGGGGCGAGGGGGTAATTTGATCGAAAATTCGATTTTCCTGGTTCTCGTTACGACGATTCGTTAATACGTTCAGATCGTTTATCGTAAACGCGAAACGGGGTACATTATAATCGGCTGTGTCGAAACGTCATTATTATTCGCTCGAGTTGGGTGACGCGTAGAAAAAAAAAAAGGAAAACGCGTAATAACATTATTATATTTCTATGGAAATCGCGTGTCGCGTATATTATTGTGCACCGGTGACGTTCTATCCCGAGCCGTTTAACCGTTTTAGGTAGATAGGTACATAATAATAGTGTTTTTTCGGTTTATTACTTTTGTTTTCGCCAAACGCGCGGGTTCTTCTCGTTTTATTTTTGTATAAAAAAAAAACAAAAAAAAATCGAACGCATACGTATATTTAATATCGCCGCGAATAATAATAACGATATTATATAAACGTCGACCTCCAACCGGAATGACGTACTGTTCAACATTTTATTATAAAGTCCGTGACCCATTCTGTGTATTAAGTTTAAATATTATTATTATTATACGCATTTTACGTTCGGGCCGTTTATAATGCGGGCGCAGACGAAAACGTTTAAAAAAAAAAAAACAGTAGCCGAGTCCCGCAACGTCAAATGGCTAGTTTTTTTTTTTTTTTTATCGTTTAATTATTAATTCTTTAAAATTCGGTCGTGCCCACACACGCGTTTTATACGCATTGAGCATCATCGTAGTGGGTCCGCGATAACGGTCAATAAAATCGTACGGTATACAGGACGATCGGAATTTTTCGTTTAAACAAAAAATGAACGTATGACGACAAAATTGACAATATTGTACAGTAATTTATTACGATTCACAGTTTTATGAGTGGGTTTCATAGGAGTACTGGGGGGAGAGGGAGGGGGTGCTATGGGATCTTATGCACCCTAAAATTTAAAATTAGCATTCCCGAAAAACCCAATCAGGTTTTTCATATTTATGATAAAATATTTCACTAACGTTTTTTATAGTTAATGAGCAGAACAATATACAGACAATACATGTGTGTGTGAAAAATAATGTTAAAATATGTCATGATAAATTTACAAGTACGAAATTGTGAATTTAAGGTGTAGCTATTTGTTGTAAGAGTCATGTAAAAGGGATTTGTGGGGACCCCATGCGTCTTTGATGTGTCCATAATTTTAGAATACCCAAAGTTGGTGGTCTAGTTGCGCCTATTTTACTTCGGATAAAAATAGTAAGGGTAAAAGATTTAAAATCGTATACAAATTTGCTTGTATACATTTGTATACGACCTCTCGGATGGGATTTCTGGTAAATTTGTAAAATTCAAATATGAATCTATTTTTTTCTTCTCTTTTAGCAAACATCGCGTCAAGACGAAAAACGATTTAATTTCCTAACGAATTTCGGAAAAAACTCACCCAAAAATGGTTTTAAGTTTGTAAAAAGCTGTGGTACGCATACGTCCACGCGTGCGATTTTCTCTATATTGCATATGTAATATTCATATCAAAAAAATGACCGCGACGCACAATTCAGATCGGCCTGTATGCTATGCTAATATTATTACTGCATCTGTCCGTTATAACTAGGCCAGAGAATATAAAAATACGATTATGATGCGCTAAAAATATATTTATCAAATGTAGAACGTTAAACATCTATAGCTAGACTTCTAATTAAAAAAGAGCTAAAGTAGCAGAGAATTTTTTTAAAAATAACTGTGAAGAAAAAAGGTTCAGAATATCGTATTGTAATATATAAATTTTAAATATTTTGTTAAAATGTCGTGATTTTTGCGATTCACGTCAAAATCTTAATTGAAAACGATTTTTGAATAACATATTCCAATCGTATCGAACTATGTCTTAAAATGGTGGGCAGGTAAAAAAATGAATGGACCACCAATCTCGTTTACAAAACAAACTTCTAAGATATAACACTCTTAATTAATATTCTATACGTACAAATTTGATAAAAATATGGCTCAGGTACCCATCACTACCTACCCATTAACAAAAAGGGCGGCGATCGCCACTGCAGACACATTCAATATTATAATCAGCTTTTTTTCTTATTTTTGACCACTATGTAAGCACAATATTTACGACATATTTCAACATGTGTGATTTTTTTAAGTACAAGACACTGCAATAAAAAATATTTTTCGGAGCAATATTTTCGGTGATTAAATTCGGATTTTCGAAATTCGGATAAAATTCGTTAACGCCTACCAAAACGAAAACATAGGTGTTAGTCCATAACGATGTTCTAATAAATACGAATAAACATATCTAAAGCTATGGAGTGCACGGAGATGCGTTTAAAAATAATTATTACGCTACACGATAGTTATAAAGAATTGTAATTTTGTGAGTTACCTACTTGTATATTGTTTGCCGGTTTCGTTCGCGAAATTCGTCCGACAGTCGTTTTGTAACCCGACAGTTGGGTACATTTTTCACGTAAACGGTTTTGAAAATTTATTGTTTGAAACGCTTTTCGACATTCCGATAAGTACTCATACACAAATCGCCTGCACAGTTTAAATCGGTCAGATGCTTCGGTCAATGTTTACACAATAATATAGTTGTAGTGTAAGGTGCACTTTAATCGAAATACCCATTTTGAAAATGTTTGCTTACAGTCGATTTTCGAATAAAACAGACGTATACACCGTTAAGATGACGTGTTAGACGTGCGTATTTTGTTGTTCCCGTCTTACAAACACAAGATATAGCAAAATCATGCTCCCGCAGACCACTCAGAAATTGCTTAATTTTAGTTTTAGAGTAAAAGCGCCTATTATATAATTAATAGAGAACAATATTTTTGGAGGCCAATACAATGCGTTTTTTTGAAAATATTTTTTTTTTTTTTTTAAGGTTTTAGTGAATTAAAAAAATCGTTGAAAAGTCGCAATTTGTAATCGGTAAATTGACTGTGATTTTCAGAGAAAATTGAAAAAAATTAACGTCTTAACCTCCAGAATATTCTTTTCTTTTTATTTTATTATGGATGGTTCTAAAATCAAAATTAAATGAGTTCTGTGTAGTCTGCGCAAGCATGTTTTAACTATATCGTGCGTTAATAAAACAAAAATAACAACAGCGTGTGTAACGTCCTCTTAAAATAAAATATGAATGCGCTCTGAAAAAAAAAAAAAAAAAAAAAAAAATTCTACTTCACATCGAAAGTGCGTCACCGTTATAAACGACCACTGCGGTTATCCACGCGGATTATCGACGGTAATTATTTAGGAAACGTAAATTACAATCCGTTTTTAAACGAAAGGAATAAATAACCTGCTGGGTTTATAATGTTTCCGCCGATTTCATTATTTCCCGACTATACGATAAATCGTCTAGATCGGTAGATTTTTTTAATCTCAAATCTAGATAAACGATAAACTAGTTATCCTAGCCGTTACAATGCTATGTGTAACGAATAAAATGATCCTACCAGACAGATCGTTTTTAATCGCAATACTATTAAAAATAATTGGGAAAAATATTTGGATTTTTATACAATATCAGTACGTTTTAACGAATTAATTATTGAGTAACATCGATCGCATAACCTTTACGGAATGTGAATGTCTGTATCGAATTTGCAGGTACACTTTTAACGCGTTAAGCACGTAAATCAACGAAATTATCTCGTTTAGTGTCTAGACAAAAAGTCCCGAATTATTTTCTCTTATCTTTATCTGGATATTTAAAAAAAAAAAAAACATTTTTTAAATTTTGAAACACTGATAACAACGCTTCGCGGGTGGCAAACTACGACTATATTATAACATAATAGTTTATATTGTTTCTTCTAAATCGGTGATTAGGCCTCTTTTCGACGCCGTGACGAATGTTTTTTTGAACGCGCATTTCGTTCACGGCCCGAGCCCATTGAAATCCCGTGATATTATTGTTATAATAATTATTAATATAAAAGAAAAAAAAATTATTTACGCGGCTGCATTGGTCGTCGAGGTCGATTATATTATATTATTGTTGTATTTTCGAATTTTTCAAACTTCTATTGTGCCCGTTTGTGCGAATTTACACGTATCGCGTAGGTATATTATTATGATATTCTATTCCGCCGTCCATTCGGTCCATCGATTATTTTCGACCTCCTCCTACTAATGTTGTAAACGCGAAAGTTTGTTTGCACGGACGAACGTATGTGTTTGTTATCACCTTTCGCCCAAATCACTGAACAAAAACTACGCAGACCCGCAGAATTAGCACATAATACGTCCCCCCCGTATTTTACCCCTAAAGGGGGGGCTGACACACGAGGGTCGATTTGTATTTCGGGAACGAAAATCAAATAAGCGTTATCGATTTACGGGTCACTTTTGTGACACGGATGAAATTCAAAACAAAAACAAAAATAATGAATTAATCCGAGATAGCGTAATGTTAAGAACTGTACTATTACTTCTTTTGGCATGGTTAACGCCGAACGGAAACGCCTTCAACGTTATAATATGATTTGACATTTGCCCGAGACGACATACGAATCTGAGTGTTGGCCGCTGATCGAAATTGACGAAATAATGATAAAGGAAAAAAAAATTGTTCTTATGGTTCAGGTTAATAATCCTGTAGTTAATTGTTAGGTACAGATGACGTAGCCTAAAATTACTTTAGGTCCTATTGATTTTCCTCATATATTCTGACCCGGCCTTTCTCTGCACACGTATCCTTTTAACATCTTCTGTATAACACGAAATATATATATATATATATATAAATTTGTTTTATTCTATCTGCTCTGGATTGAATATCCATTTTCATAGTAGCTGATTTTCCTCTATTCTTATCTCTTCGTTTGCACTCGACTTTTTTATCCACGAAGGAATTTTAGCGTTTTCCCGAAAATAAAATTGTATCGAATGCCTTTAGTTTACTGAGCTTCAACTAAGCTAATTCATGGATGTGTATTACAGCAGAGAAAAACCAGAGAGAATATAATATTCATTGACCACAAAAAAAAAAAAAAAAAAAACACGCACCTATTATCATAGATTCGCGAATATATCCATGTAGGCGGAGATCTGTGCAGTGAATTTTAAATTAAAGAGGAATAAAGACCACGAGTTTATGAAAACTGTCGCCTTGGCGGTAGTAAGGGAGGACGTATTAAATTTATAGACCGGTAAGAAATTTTATTGCATGTACATTTTTCAAATGAATAATTTTTTTTTTTTTTTTTTAATCGGTCTATAATACACATTTTATACATTTTTACGCATTTCTTCGCTAGCTATATGTAATAACGTGTACGTATATTTTAATTTTTATCTATTATTGTTGTATACGTGTCCGTATAGTTACTATTTCATGGTATTTTTATTGTTAATTGTTGCATTGATCCACATATTGCGCGCTAGTACGTGCGTATTTCAACATATTGTTTGAACTAATAATAATTATACTACTATCAAAGTATAATAGTAATATTAATTAATTACGAATAATAATATTCGCAATCACAAAGTTTTTTTTTTTTTATAATAATAGTATGAATACGAGCCGACCATGAGGCATGAGTATTATGATAGTGTAAATAGTGTAATAGTGTTACAAGGATCCATTAACAAAAAAAAAAAAAAACAACAAAATTAATAAAACGTTCAGCGAGACGGTTTTCTCCCCAGAGTAAATCTCGTGTGTTTAATAGTTTTGGTTTTGATAATATTCGACAATATAAATAGGGAAACGGTGTACACGAAACTACGATAGTTTACCGTTATACAAGAGATGTCGTCCACGTGATGATAATGTAGTATAAAATTAATTTCGTTCGAAACGTGAGTTGTAGTCACGGATATATTGATCCGTAAAAACCAGCGTGTCGATCGCGGCGGGGGCTCTATATTCTGTTATCTTATCATAATTTATTTTTCTGATAATAACGACGAATTCATAGAAACAACTTGACATTTGTATCGTTCATCAGTAATAACAATAATAATAATATCGCAGCAACGATAATTGATAAAATATCACAACCGACTTTGTCGAAAAAGCGGCGTCATCCAACCCGTAGCTTGTCTATGCGTTATGTATTTTACATGGTTGGCAATCTGGTCTATTATCTGTATCTGCGATGACGGTTGTGCCATCGTCACGGCAATAAAACAAAACAACAGTGTGTATCCCATACCACGATAGTTACTATCACTCTCAACAGATAGTATAGCGTATAGCTGTCAATATTTTATTATGTTTATGGTAGTGTGATAGTAGCTTTCGCGATACTTCAATATACCTACCCAGTCACTATTTCCTTGTTTACACGACACCAATAGTTCGTGATAGTCACTATCGCAGTATTGTGAATTTCACTAATAACGCGATTACAGTGACATTCACCGCGTGTACCTGCAGACTCTTAGACGGGCCGATGACTTTTGATCGGGTCGACGAGAAAATCGAAAACACGTTATCGTTCAATAAATCAGGGTTAGGTTTTAGCGCGATTCTTTTTTTTTTTTTTTTTCACATACACCCAATATATTATTTATATATTATTATTAACACTATATAAATTATAGGAGTGACTGAGTAGACAATGCAAACGATACCATTATATCAGGTGTATATTATTATACTATACACATTGCATATACAGTATTCATATTTTCGCGTGGTCCAAAATTCGCATTTGCATATTATATGGCAGTCGACGAAATTCTATAGGTTCCGGGTGTATCGCCGCTGAATATTGTAATGCACACAAACGACCTTTTTACGATACCATATGAATATAGTTCGGGAATTACGTGGTCGTCGTCTCGTGTGGGCGTCCTGTGTATACCTATGTACGTAAATACGTATAGAAATCACGGATGGTATGACGAATCGCTTTTTTTTCGTATCGAACCTCCGCTATAATGAAATGTCAATATCCGCGTAACCGCAAAAAAAATCGCGTGAAAAAAAATATAATATTAATTATACATAGAGCAAAATAATATATTATAACTACGTTACACATTTGTTCAATCAAATTTTCCGTGACTCGTAAGTGTTTGCACAGTATACCTACAGCTGGAAGACTTGTTGGGCGATTTTACCTCGCCGTGCGTCATGGACTGCAAGATCGGCGTCAGGACGTACCTGGAAGAAGAACTGGCCAAAGCCAAAGAGAAGCCCAAGTTAAGAAAGGTCAGTATATAATAATATAATGAAATATGAGGACAGGAACAAAGGGTGTTAGACGCATTAGACGAGCATTATCGAATGGTATTATATAATTTACTATTAAAACCCAAAAGGACAAAAACAAATTCTGCCTAGGTTTAACATATTTGTATACATTATATAGACAGGGAGAAATAGGAATGGTAAAATTTAAAATCTATAAATTTGTATAATGCAATATGAGGACATGCGTTAGATTAGTAATCAGATGTAATCAGGAGGGCACAAGTAGCACGCCTAATCCCGTTGTCACAAAATATTTTTATCGTAATATTTTCATATTCATGTTACTTTAGTCTTTATGGTATATGTGAGGTGCGTGTTTTCAGATTCTGAATGCAGTGAGGAGTGAATGGGTTTTATTATGTGTTTTTATTTAAATTTGTTACCAACTTTTCCTGAGAAATCTCATGTTTTAATCGCAAAAATCATAGTATTTAACGTACTATTTTTCGATTAACTTGGACGAAACTTATTTGGCCTTATACAAACAATTTATAACCAAAAACCAAAAAAATCCGGACAAATATAATTTATTTTTTATTTAAATAAAAATGAATACAATTTTTAGTACGTTTAGATTATTGAAACACGATTAAACTTCATTCAGAATCGTTGTTCGTTAGCTATGATAATATTATTTTTGTGCACGGATATAAATTATGTTACCCAACATAATATGTATATTTTCTTCGAAATTTCTCACTTACAACACTGACCTATCCATGATCAGTGTATCTTATACGAGGATCGTAGAGAACATGTACCTATGAAACACCCATAATGTTCTGGCGTTTCTTCTGCCCTTTTCCTCACCCCCCCCACCACCCATTTAGGAAACCTGGCTACGCCACTGGACTGTAAACATAAACGAGAAAACAGTGACGACTATTGTCGCTTGATGCGGAGAACGAGAGCTGATCTGACTCTGGGACTATAAAAACAGAGGATAAAATTATACTTAGTATTATTATGTTATTGTTGTTTATTGTTTTACACAGGACATGTACGAGAAAATGATTCAGATCGACCAGAACGCGCCGTCGGAAGAAGAACATCGGCTGAAGGGCGTGACAAAACCTAGGTAAGAAAAAAAAAAGAAACCAATAATATTACACGTATAACGTTTTGACGTTTTTTTTTCGTCTGAATTTTTGCACTCTGTCGTGCACAATAATATTCGAGCAAACCACAACGATAGTTGATTTATTATCATTATTATTTATCGGGAGCGTCGGGTCGGACACACGAAAAAAATATCGCGAAGTGGCCGTAATAATATTTTATACGTATATATCGTAATTTATAGTAGCCGAACGAGTTTGTGCGTACGCGTAATAAAACATATATGTATACATTTTGTTACCGTCAGAGAAGAAAGATTTCTATATGATTTACTTGCGAGTATACAGGGTGTTACGCTTATTGCGGACGGTTGATTTTCTCGGAGAATATCAAGTGAAATTGATTTCTGTTTTTTTTCTCAATCATAATTGTTTCGTTTAGACTTAATTTTGAATTGTTTACCCCCGTAAACACTACACCTCGAATGAGTATAATATTAGACTTTCGATTTTCAAATAGCGACCTCATTTTCGAATACAGATTTGAATTGAGAGTTTGTTTCCAAAGATTCTAATATGCATTACATTAATATCGGTTTTATCGTTAACGAGTTATAACAGTTTAAAGCTCAGACCGGAATTATAAGGGAGGATTATCGATTTATCGCGTAAACATGGATACGTAATGAATTACACTTTCTTACAACACTTTTAATTTGTTAAAACTCATAAACGGCAAATCCGGTGTTAGTGTTATAGGAATACAAATTTTTAGTCAAATATTCTCTATTGCAGTCAGTGTGTCGAAAAGAGTGGTGACCGTTTTAAAATCAAAAGCGCGCGCTCATTTCCAGTACAAACAAGACTGCAGGGGTAAGAGATACAATACAAAACGGTTTTGAAATAAAATTTAAACGATTCCGTAATGACTGATAATAAAAAAACAGAAATCAGAAATGGAGTCCGCTTAAAAAATATCCCGAGAAAATCGTAACATAAGCGGATCACTCTGTATAGTCGTAAACGCCTTTTTTTTTCTGGCCGATAAAAATCGCATCGTAAACCGATCGAGTATATTATACACTGTATCGCGTACGTCTGCAGTATTTATATATTATTATAAACAGTATTTGATCGGCTCTTGAGTTATAGCCGTAATAAAATTAACCGCGCATAACGTATGTCTCAATCATATTACAAGTAGGTGTGCGAGCGATTTTTTTTTCGCCCCGGAAAGACATTTCGCGCGGAAGAACCGTCCATTTCTTACAATTTCTAACAGGTTGCGTAATAATTACGGCACGCGCAATAAAAAAAAAAAAACATAATAATAATAATAAATAAATTAATAATAATAATAAAAAATTAATAATCGCGCAAAAGACCGTGTACCCGCAGTGAAAATACTTATTCATACGTCTTGTCCTACCGTCCATTTCTTACAATTTCTAACAGGTTGCGTAATAATTACGGCACGCGCAAAAAAAAAAAAAAAAAAAAAAAACCGTTCGATTAATATTAGCTATTATATACTAACCAGCGGTACGATCGAAGTTGTTTCCTTTCTTACCGACCCCCCTCCCCATCTCATTAACGTTTTCTTATTGTACGCACGGCGATTCTTTAGCGGTGCCAACCGGCTGGCGTTTACACGAAGTCTTCTGGTAAACGATTGATATCGGTTTTTTTTTATTTTTTTTTCAAATCGTATTATTATCACATTATATTGTAGAACTGTTTGAACACAATTCCATTATTCACAATATTTTAGACGTTTTACACGAACACATATTCCGGTCAAATTGGACTTTTTACCGAAATTAAACGGTCGAAAAAAAGATTTCAAAACGCTAATTTCTTTTCACACATTCGGTCTTGGGGACATCATAACGTCATATGAAAAATGGTTGACCAGTAATAAATTTTCAATTAATTTGTTAATCCTGTTAACAGTATTATAACACGCGTTGTGTGTAAGAGAGATTTTAATAAAATCGAATAGTTTTTTATCGGTGTTAATGATAATTTATTTAAAACATGTATTTTTTCGTTTTCGACTTGTTTTTTTGTAAAATCAATATTTTCGTTCCCATTTTTCAGACTTAGAACTGGCAATGTAATTTAATATTAGTGTGGTTAAAAATATCGGTTTTGCTGTATTTTGTTTAGAATTTTAAAAAATGATATTATTAAAAATTAGTAATTAAATATAGTAGGTATAAATGTGTATGATTAAAAAAAATGTATTAATTATCCGATAATAGCCGCACATAGTCTAATCGAGTAATTTCGTTTGCTCGCGATTCATAAATTTTATCATGTATATACATATAATACATGTTTATTTGTTCAGCTATTTTTTCGCTTTTTGTCCCCAGACTTCTCACTGAGAAGTTCTCAAGGTGTCATACGTATCACATTGCATGTTTTTTTTTTTTTTTTAATGTTAAATAAATTCAATATGTTTGGGTGTGATGAATTGAATGAACTGTTTAATTTTTTATGAAATGATTCACAATTATTTGTTGTCCATGTCGTTGAGAATACAAATTCGGGCCATATCTATGGTGAAAACTGCATAGTTGGTTAAATATATTTTTCAAATATGTAGACACCAAGTTGTTATATTATCCTATCATCTTGTGGTTGCAATAACATTATATTGTACGCAAAACAATCTTCAACCATATCAAAACTGAAAAAAAGAAATTCAAAAAATAATTTTACGAAATAACTCATTATTGTTGTTTTTATAAGCTTTACTTAGGCTCAGCGGCTGTATCAATTGTATCCTGTACCAATTTTGATGAAGGCGGAATCTACACTTTTTACTTCAATAGAAGGCCAAATATGTCTTGCTGTATTGTGAATTGCCTTTTCAAAATCAGCATACGACTGATAGGACGGAATTGTAAATTATTATTTTTCGCATTCTAAAACTAAACATGAAAAGGAAAATATTGATTTTACAAAAAAAAATCTTTGACGTAATTTACGTATGAATAAAAAATATTTAGCCATATATTATACAAAATATACCCGGGCCGCAATTTGCATATATATGACTATGACCTTTTTGGGGAGACGCGATTTACCGACTACGTTGACCTTATCCTTACGTAGAACGAAGATTTCAACGGGTAAAATGCTAAAAGGGCATCTCGAAAAGCGTTGGTTAGACGAAATTAAATTGAACACGCGCGGAAAACGGAAAACATCGATTGTAAAGAATAGTGTATTGTTGATAGAAATAAACGGAAGGTAATCGTGTCTACAGCTATGTATCGTAATTACAAAATGTTTATAGAAAAGTATATCGTCTTATCGAATTCGAATTTATGTCACACAAAAAATACTAAACACGAGGAATGTATTGGTTTTACAGTAATGTTTATTTTGTTTCTACAATGGACAACTTTTTTACTAGCAATTTTGTTCCAATTTACAATGATAGCACTTTTTCCGAAAGAAAATCTGGCCGGGGAGATACATTAGGGAGGTCAAATTTTTAAATTTTCCCAAGAGTTTTCCCGATAAATGGGAAAAACTTAGGATAAACGAGAAAATTGGTACAGTATAATAACGAATAGTATTCAAGAATACAAATAATGTAAATGTAATTATTTTACCATAATATGACATGTATATATATTGTTGAAGGACCAACGCTGTAAACCAAACTCCGCTCATAATCGTTTTTTCATTAGCGTTTTAATCAAGAATCACGTGGTTTCTAAACTATTTTTACAATATCACTCTGACACTTTTTTTCGTAAATATAGTTTAATATGGTGACGAATTAAAGTATTTAAACGCGGTATTATAATAACAGTGACTTTTTGCTCTCGGTCACTCGTTGCACGACAATAACGAAATTATACGGAATAATAACTGTGTGAAATATCGCGTGTGAGTATATACAAACGTGAAACTATTATTTGTAAAAAATCCGGACATAAAAAGGAAACACAGCCAATAACAAATTCGTTCGAAATATTCGTGGATAATCGGTACGGGTTCGACGGCTACAATATCATAATACATATAAAATAGACTCGCCCTGTGTGCGCATACGTATATTGATACACCGTGTACAATATACGAAACCAGCGTGCGTATACTCGATTAACGTGTAATTTCCCCGTCTCTACGGTGGTTTATGAAAAAAAAAAAAAAAAAAAAAAATGCACGAAGTATGCGTGCTCGCGCACGTTTCTACGCGGACGATAAAAAAAAAAAAAAAAAAAAAAAANATCGTTCTTCTTCTCGCGATTATCACGTGATAAAGACGTCTTGAGCGCGGTACACGGTAATAGTAATAAAAAATTACACAACCGTTTTTAATCGTGTATGTTTGCATCGATCGACTTACCTAGCCGCGTATGGTATAGGTATATACACGAAACACGAATACAACAACAATTAATAATCGGTCGTACTGTTGACACTGACAAATAACTTCAAGAGCATTCGATATTGTTATTATAATAATAATATAATAGGTACCGGACCGTGAGTCCGATATTAATTGATTAGTATGAAAAAAAAAAAAAAAAATGCACGAAGTATGCGTGCTCGCGCACGTTTCTACGCGGACGATAAAAAAAAAAAAAAACAAGAATAAACAAACACGGACTTTGTTATCGAAAACAACAATCGGATGTTACGTATATACGCTCGGACGCACAAAGTTTGAATTGACGTATATTGCGTCGATGTGTGTGTGTATTGTCTGTAAAATAACATCGGACGTTTCTGTTTTCGTTTGCCGCGTTTTTTTATTGCTACTATATTTTTTTACAGATATTACTCGTATCTGTATAAAATTATCGGTTATGGGTATTTTTCCGACGCCACGACGACGCTAGTACCACCTGACCTCGTGCGGTTCACGCATAATAGTTAGATACATAATACTCTAGGTCTCATTTATCGCAGGCCCACGGGAAAACAAAACTGCGGGCACCCGCGAACACCGATATACTAGTCGGAGACGGTCGATTGTTGCGTCCCGTTCGTAAAAACGAAAAATCGATTAGGTATTGTATGTCTATTGCCCATTGCATTTGGAGATTTTGTTTGTTTTTTTTTTTCTTACTCTCGTGTTTCGATTGCGTACGGCGATGTTAGAAGATATTGTATGCGGATTGGGAGAAAAAAAATTATACATAATATTATACGGTATCGTTGTTTATTAGTTATTCCAATTAACAATGCATAATAATTAATCGTCGTGATCAAAGAATCTCTGAAAACTGTACATAATCGTGTTTTTAATAAAAAAAAAAAAAAAAAAAACCCGAAATTGTAAACATACAAGTATATTATTATAATTAGTGTAGTTTTTGTTATTATTGTTTTGTTTTTTTTGAAATTGTAAAAATTACATTTAGATATTTAAAATTTACAATAGACATTTTTTGATAAGAGATAATTATTATTAGCAGTCAAGATTTTTAATTATTATGGTATTATTGAAAGGAAAACGTTTTGAGTGACATTTATTTTTTTTAAACACTCTAAACGTGATAATATAACATTATTTCTTAAATCGTTTATTTTGTTTTTCGATAAGCTCTTGTATTCGCTATACTTTTTTATGCGTTTTATCGAAATTCATTTCTAATATGTATGATTTTTTTTTATAATGATAAAAATCAACGGTTCTCACTTTCAACCATCTACAATAATATTGCCAAACGCAATCGAAATTCTCGATTTTTTTTTTTTTTGGTACGTAATGGGATGCACATCCGTTACATTCGGACGCAATCGAAACTCGAGAAGGGTTAAATAAATTAAAACGCCCATAGGTATGCGCTGCGGTCTTAACGATCGTATTTTAGTGCATTATGCGTAGTTCGGATTTTGACCTTTTTATTCATTTTTACCTGAGTATATTATGCCCGGTGAAAATTCGTTTCTGTAGAGAATTTTTTTTCTTCCCCGAGTTAAATATACACCGCTCGAACGTAATTATTATAAACCGGCGGCGCAACGAACCTGCAGTTGACATTTTCGGACCCCCGAATAAAAACTACTGATCAAAAAAACAAATTGCCTTCTTCTTCCCATAATGGCTCTCCAAGAGTTCTTAAAACTCGTTTTATTAATGTCGATAATGATCTCACTCGATCAACTGTCGAGGTACGTGCTGTTGGAGTGCAAATGTACGAATATTTTCGGTACTGAAGACGGTTCGGTTGCGATTTTAAATCTATTATTCCAATTAACAATATTGTCTAAAGCATTCGTATCGTACAGATAGTTTTTTGTCAACGTCATTGTTTCCCAGTGTATAATAAGCGTGTGGCTCAAAATAAATTGTCGACGTAGAAATACATAGATGGCGCGAAAAAACAAATCCGAACGCGTTCTCGTAACTACAGTAATATCTAGTATATAATTAGAACGTTTATTTTAAATTTTTATAAAACTATTTTTACATTCTCAATCAAAAACATTATAATTCGAGAATAGCGCATAGTTATTATAACCCGGTTACCGGTTAGCGGGTTATAATAACTATAGGCGTGTTAAGCCGATATGATTTTGTTTTTTTTTTTTCTATATTTTCTATATTTCCTACCGATAACTTGGTACAAAACCTAGAGTGTAAATTCAAAATTAAAAACCGCGATCCGATATTGAATTTAACGGCCTGTGTATTGAAGTTAGGGACGCTTTTTGAACAGACTTCAAAAACGGAAAAGAATTTTCCGAATTTATACACACATAACCCATGAAATTTGACATTCGTAAATTTGTTGACGATTTGTTTGTTCATCTTCCAATGACATTAGCGGTTTTTTCTGCGAAAATATCGTTTGTATACTCGATAATTGACATTAAATATCGGTTGACGACGATACTCACCACCAGTTTACACTACGACAATAACGTTAAAGCGTTAGTGTATTCTCATTGTATTGGATACGTACGATAAAGTAATTAAATGCACTTATTACTGCACCATATTAGTATAGGTAGGTCTATACTTATAGGTATACATTGTTCCAATCGTCTAATTAGGTGGATAACTCATTTATGGAAAATCAATGATTGTTTTTCCCGAGCAAACGAGACGAAAATCTCCCGGACATTTTGGTCAGTGTCTACGTCACTGTTTGTATGGTAATTATTTTATAAACGTTTCAACGAGCTTGTTACGACGAGAAAATAACAGGTGCAATAGAATCAAACTGTCGATTTACGTCTGTTTTGTTTTTCGTCGGACAAATGAGAAACAATGCGATTTCGGTTAGAATATTATTGGATACACGTACAGCAACGTTAAAAAAAAAAAAAAAAAATAAAACAATCCAAACTACTAATGACACAATTCGTTAACGAATCGTCTGTATGGGTATAACATGCAGCTAATGGTATCGACTTTAAATAATAATGCACCGGTAATCGACTTGTTAAAAGAAAATAATAATTAACCGATCCTTATTTTTTTTTTCTATGGGCTCCGTTTAGACGAACATAGAGCGCGTTTCGGCTGTCTTATTGATTTATGCGTTAGACCGTGTACATATTATAATACGTGTTTAATGATATTATACTTACTTACAAAGGCGAGTTTTTATACATGTGTACAAGTTTTTTTTTTTCAATCCTAAGATTGCTGGTTAAACGACTACTGCGGTCCTCGCCCGTCCTCACTCTATTCTCTGCAACAGTCCACCGCTACTATTTTAAGGTCTTTGTACATAAGTATTCTTTGCTCTTATCACCGTGTGTTCGTTTCGATTTTTCCATTATACCAGCTGCGTGTGTAATTTTACTCGATAGTATATTTTGTAGCAGGAGTGACCAAACGGTCGATCCCGGACGATTTCAATGTCGATCTCGTTTTGTTAGAATTTATTTGTATACAATTGCCGTAGATAAATTACAATTGCTGAGCATTTCTATCTTATTAACTCATTTGCTTATCAAGTAATACATTTCAAGAGTTTTTAAGCATTGATCATTTTTTTCTGGCTCATTTCATTTGCAATACTAAATTAAAATCTTAATAAAAGTCCAATTAAAAACATTATTTAATTATACATTACATTTATATTTATTATTTTTAACTATCCATTTTTTTTTTTTTTAATGGAAGTTGGTTTGCAAAGAAAAAATAAACTGTTTGTAAACCTCTACCAAAAAAGTTCGATCACCACTTTTATACAGGGACATGTTGTATCCTACCAAATTCGGCCACTGTTTTCCTACTCCTCCTCCGAAAATATCAATCGAAATCGACCAAATGATCAAATAAGTTCGAGAATTAGAGTTGTTTTATATTCGGGTTTTGGTGATAACATTTTGGTTTGTTTTCAATACGAATTTCACCGTGTTCGTGAGAATTGAGAGGATGGTATTTTTTCAGCTTTGTATTCTATTTCGTATATGCACGGTGTAAATATTAATAATGTCTTTTGGGGGGTTTCAATTAGTAACCTCTTCGCCAACCACTTTTATGCTTATATTTCATATTTCCACAGAATATACCGGATTCAAATTTTTAAATACTCTTACAGACCAAAATACAATACGCATCTATAACTTGTTTAGATCAATCATAAAAAATTAATTAAATATTAAAAGTCACCTGGAGCAAGCAATATTCGACTATAGTGATGGAGCTCGCGGATGGTCTTATACATATATTATTATAATATCGCAAATTCATAATGTTGTAATATTTTGGGAAATATAAATTATTAAAACTTTACAATATTATAAAAATGAAAACATTGTATTGTTTGTATAGTATAATCGATTAATCGTTGAACACTGATAAAAGTCATAGACATTACGTTTTTTTGACGTTTATTTATCAAAATTTAAATCAACTTAATTATTAACAATTATTAATTGCAGTCTCGGTTCATGTACAAATAAATGTGTAATAAAATATCTTTTAGCAGAATATGAAATTTATCGGTTATAAACGATTAGGAGGACGATGAAAATATTTCCAATCTTAAATTTAAGGTGGTAATTGAAACACCCTCGTTGCAAATACGTCTCGTGAACGGTTTGTTTTTTTTTTTTTTTTGAACGTGCATATCGAAGCTATAAACCTATGACCTATGACCCAGCTGTATATATGTGAGTTTAGTCGAACGATTTCGAAATTAATTTTATTTGCTAGATAACGTACAGATAATATTCATTACTCACCATACGGATATTTTAAAACTATCGATTTTATAGTATTATGACAAATACTATTAGGTATTTATAACGCGGTTGAGACAGAGACAGACGATAATTTTATAATAACTGTTCAAATATTATTTGTCAAACGAATCGAATATTATATCATTGTTATGTATTCCCTACAATATTACAACCGTGGAAATAAAACACTAACATTACGGACTCTGAGCCGGTTACGCGAAAAGTATTACACATAAGTAAGTATTTAAAACGTACAAATGGTGAAGCGTAATAATATTGTGAAGAAATGTGTTTGCTGCAATTTCGAACATCGTCTTTAGAATATTATTTAATGTTCAGAGGCGCATGATAATAATATTCCTCTTCCTACACCGCGTTAAGGATATTTGGATTTTCGATATTATAAATGGCCTGTAAAAATCGAATGGTATGTAGTTTTTTCGCGGCGGCGCTGCGTGGCGCGGTCTCAAACGAAATTTCGTATTTACATACGGGAAAACGAGTTTCTTGACATTTATAATATTTATATTGTATACAAAGAATGCCATCGAAATTCGCGTTACGCAATATGTTGATAATGTCAATATTGTTTGTTGTTTACACAAATTGGAAAAAAATAACTCGTATCGTTCGCGTTCGAATTCAAATATTACAAAAGTGTTTGTATATATAGAAAAAAAAAAAACCGATCGACTCTTCGTCGTCTGTATACGAATATCTAAGGAATACTTTGTATTTTTATTTTTCTGTGTGTTTCGGTGGATTTCGTTTAAGTAAACTAAAAAATTGTTGGCAAATAACGCGATCGGAGGGGTAGGCGACTTTACCTGTAACGCACATGTATTCGTCGTGGTACACTCAAGTCGGGGGACGGTTCAAAACGGATAACCGTATATACTTGAATAAAATCGATTTCAAGGAGAAAACACCAAGCCTTTTACCCAAACCCGGTAAAACGTTTATGATCATTGTGTAGCCCCGCGGCTGTAGAAGCTCCGGCTGCTACTATCGCCGAGTTTCGATAACCGCAATATTCGCAATAACCTGTGTTCTCTCCTGCGAATCAGTTACGCCAAGTATCTCCAGTACTCCGTCCCAGTGGCGTGCTGAACATTTTTCACACTTGAGGCAAAACAAACAAAATAGAACACGCCCGTTCAAAACGTGGATCTTTATGGATGCCCTACAAATAATTACAACAACAACTTTATTTAGCTATATTGACTACGTACTATATGCTATCATATCCGTAAGTAGGTGTATTAATAGTATAATGTACAAAACTAAACGCATCTCTGATCTCTGAACTAGTCAATCTCAATTAACATTCAACATATTTGGTCAGCCACCCATCCACACATTTTAATAATGAGGCAATTGTCACAAAAAACCTACTTCGGCACGTCACCGCTCCTTCTCCCCATCTTTCGTTGGTCTGCCTCAGTGCCTTTTTCCTGTCGGTTGCCATTCGATCGATGCCATTACAAATACGGTACCATTGATTTTTTTTTCTTTTCTCACTGTGTGTCCGAACCACTGAATTCTCCGTCCGTAGCTGTACATTGTTATACTTAAACAAAGTTCTTTGACCATTTCAACGTTTTTTTTTTCTTTTTATGTCAACCATTTAGTGCTTTATCGAATGACGGTCCACATATTGATCTCAGTAATTGTTTTCCAACAGTTGTTTTTTTTTTTTATTTCTATTCAATTAGCGCTGTCGTAAGCCATACTTCACAACTCAATAAGTTAACGTGTGTCTTACGATATAGCTACGTATAAACGTACACTATTCCCGTAGAGAATATTTACTTTGATTTAAATTATTTCAACGTTAATAATACATTATGATTAATATTCGTTTTGCATCGCTCGCAGGTATATGGTTTGGAGGGAGACGATTTCGTCGACGGCCACGTTAGGCTTTCGGATCGAGGGTATCAAGAAGAGCGACGGCAAATCGAGTAAGGACTTCAAAACGACCAAAACCCGGGATCAAGTGATCGAAGCGTTCCGAGACTTTGTCGCAGGTTTCCCGCACGTCATTGTGAGTATACCCGCCTGTCGTTGTTTTAGTCGTGTACTTAGGCCATCACCGCATGTCGTTTCGATAACATTCCGTTTTGACTTTTCGCAGCCCAAGTACATCAGCAGATTGCGGGCTATCCGGGACACGCTAATGGAATCCAAGTTTTTCACCACTCACGAGGTTTGTATAATACACCTGTCATGGTTATTATGTGCGAATAAATAATCTCAAAATTAAAAAAAAAATAAAGTACGAAATGTTATTCTTCCTAGTGACGAGTTGTGTGTGGTAAACACCAGTCTCGGGTTCCAGTGTCGTCTTTTTCAATATATTATCCCTAAATAATCTCACCTAAAATAACGTTTTACCGTAGAAATTATTTTTTTCTGTTTAAATCGAATTTTAGTAAAATTAAATTGATCCCCTACACTCGATTTCTATTAGAAATACGATAAAAATATTAACATTTTTATTATTCAATAAAACTTTTGTTAAAAAATAAATATTATTATTATTGATCCTAATAAAGGGATTGGTTTCGTTTTAGAAGTGATTTTTATAGGAGAAATTTCGACCGCGGTCACCGTAAAAATCTAAACATCTAGACACGGTCGCAGTCCTGCGGTAAGACGAGATGTTATTTTTATATTTCTCTATAGTTCTACACGTTTCGGAAACTCGTTTTCTTTTTTTTTCTCAATATAAATTTCCTCGGCACTACACGCTGTACGAGTGGTATTTTCTATTCAATTAATCGGTCTATGAAGAAGACTGGTCGTAAAAAAAAAAAAAAAAATAAATATTCTACCGACTTTATAGAAAATCAGCGGACAGTTATTACACAACGCACTGCTGTGACCTTAAAAGATAAACGATCTTTACACTCGACGCCTACCACTAGAATCCATTACCGAAACGTATTATAATAATATCATATAGCGTACGAGTTTTGTCGGGTTCCCTCCCCCCCACGGTCCATCGAGACGGGGGCGTTAATCCTCCCAAATCAATCCGTAATATACATATATATATATATAAAATACGGTATCGATAACGACGACGGCGGTGTTATTTGTACGTTAATAATAATTTCGTAAATAAAGAAAATCGGCCCGTGTTCGTTGTCCGCGCAACCGTCGCAATCGTCCGCATCTCCGGCAAACGCGACGGCGAACTGGATTTTACGGTGGAGAACAAAAAAAAAAAAAGATAAATACGAATCGCGCGAGGAAGGAAACCGAGAAAAAACATAAACGAAAACGTTTCGCTGCGGCGAGTGACATTGCGCGGAGACTTTTCTCGCGCGCACGTGTCGCGACACACGGATCCGTCGGATCCGATGCGCACGCGTCGACGTCACCGGCGCCCCGTGTAATATCCGAAACGTCGCGACACGCCCGTAAAACGTAATATTTCATCCGGGTAAACAGCGGCGAAACGAATGTGTCTGTACGGTCGTTATGCGCAGAGAAGAAATCGGCGTCATGACGCGCGCAACGAGGAAAACGCACTGCGCGCCGTCGTTATTGTTTGTTATCGCTACTTTGTTTTCCGATTTTAATTGACGTTTCGCAATTCACGTCCGTGTTTGTTAATATCGCGTCAACGCCAAACAACAGTCGTTACCGTTGTCGTTTAAAATCCGCGGTGCGCGATGCCCTTTTTCGGACCGCGTTATCATAACGCGGCGTCCCACGGCGACAATAACATTACGACGCGATAACAACGGCGGGCGCAGTGTTCGCGTAAGGCAGCGGTTCTCAACCGGGGGTCCGCGGACCCCTAGGGGTCCCCGAGAAGGTATTAGGGGGTCCCCGGAAAAAAAAGCGAAATGGCGGAAAAATTGAAATTTGTTGTAATTAATTGAAATTACTCGCGAAACCAGTTGTGAAATATTTTAAATGATGTAAATAGGTTTTTCGTAACTTATACGGTTTAGTATAAGCGTATTTCATCAGATGCCTGATTTCAAAAAGTTAAGTGCTAGCAAACAATCTCAAGGATNTGTGCTTACAAAGCATTCAATGTTTTACTACCGTTTACGAGCTCTGTATTAGTGGAGAGAGCCTTTTTGTCATACACATGTATTAAAAATAAGTACCGCAATAGACTCTCGGTTTGTTCAGACTTACGAGTTTATTTATCATCCGTGGAGCCAGATTTCAAAAAATTAAGTGCTAGCAAACAATCTCAAGGATCACATTAAAATTACATTTTTAACTCAATATTATTTTTATATATACAATGTATTGCGCATGTTGATCAAAATAAATCAAGTTTTTCATTATTAAACTTATTTCGTTAATTCGTATCTATTTTATGTGAAAATATATGAAAAATTGGCATTTGGGGGTCCGTAAAGTAGTAGTGAGTGGTCAAGGGGTGCGTGAATGAACCGCTGGCGTAAGGGGACGCTGCGCACTCGTTTGCCGCGGCATAAACGCACGGCGTCGTTACGTCGCGCTTACGCAGACTGCACAAAAGAAGTCGTTCGGTTTCGGTTTTAGGGCACGGCCACGCGGGTTTCCCAAGAGAACTTGGACGAGAGTATCGCGTTCGTCCGTGAAATTGTTGCCGTTCGACATATCGACAGTGAGATTGCCTATGCAAAACCCCTTAAACGATCACAGTCGCGATTTTTTATGGCTCGTCCGTTTGGCGTTCGAAAAACCATATTACGGATGCGCAATACAGAAGTGTGCTGTTAATAACAAACCGGAACTTTTTTATTTGCAAAATAAAAAAAAAACAAAACAAAAAGTAAAAGAGGACCCTCGAGACGGACTGTATAGGAACTTAAACGAACTCGGACAGAACGTTACATAAGAACGGTCTCTGTCAAGCCATATTTTTTTTAGTGAACATCTACTGCGTGTCCGTCCTCCTTCCTTATAAAAAAAAAAAAAAGCTCCGCGATCAGATAGACCGAACCTTACTCTTGACTTTTGAATTTTTCCCATTTATTCAACCCCTCTCCACCATCACTGAGATTATTTTCTCTATAAAACCTAATTTTTTGTTACAAAACTTACTCCCTCAATTATTTACCGTTTATTTTCTAATGGACACGCGGTAAGTGAAATCTCGTTTCACTGGATGTCCAATAGACTTTAATTTATATCGATTTAGACACCGCCATTTCGGAACACTTCTGTGAAAAATGCGAAGGTTTTTATTAATTATATACCGTCACTTTATCGCTGTATACTTCCGACGAACTCCGCTTAAAATCGTTTCCGTTTACAACGATAACTAGAAAACAAACCACGACAGTACCATCTGAAATTTATCTATAGTCGATAATAATTATATGATGGAGCTGTGCTAAAACATAACGATATAGTAACGAGTTTTTTTGTTTTTTCGTCCACAGGTGATAGGCAGTTCGCTGCTGTTCGTGCACGACAGCAAGAGCGCCAACATTTGGCTGATTGACTTCGCCAAGACGCTGATACTGCCGCAGGACACCAAGATCAACCACACTTCGGAATGGGTGGTGGGCAACCACGAGGACGGTTACCTGATCGGCATCAACAATCTGCTGGACATATTCACCGAGATGAACGCCGCGACCGCGTTCCCGGTCACGCTCATCGAAGTCACAGCCCCGTCCGAAGTCGCATGAAGCTCTTCCACCGTTGCCGTCGTCGTTGTCGCCGTTGTCGTCGTCGTTCCCCGCCCGATCGCCGCTGCACACCGGCAATAATATTATTATAACAAACGTTTCCGAAACGATGCATAGAAAAAGGAATAAAAAATTACGCACCTGTATAAATGTTATGTGCGCGAACGCGACTTAATGCCCTGACCGCACAAACGTAATAACGTAGTTTTACGGTTTCGACAGACGGAAATCAAAAAGAAATTAAAATACAAATTTTCAAAAAAAAAAAAAAAAATTTATTACTCTAACCAGCGGCGTGTGTTTCGATATTTCGATTAGTTTTTTTTTTTTTTATTTCCCCCCACCCCTCTCGCGGGTATAGCGGGATATTACGAATAAATATTATATGGTATTATATTTTGCCATCAGTATTAAAAACAGTGATGAAATATTTGAATATTTTTTGAAAAACGACGGTCTAGACGGCGAATTCGACTATAACACCGCGGTGTCGTTTTGTAACGTAAACCGCCGTACGTAATCGGTGTCGTTAAAATCGTAGAAATTCAAAAAAAAAAAACAAAAAATTTAAAAAAAAATGTAACGCGACATGTAATGTACTATGTTATACACGATTCTCAAACGCAATCCGTCACGGAGCGCGTGTCGGCCACCGACTCTTGCATAGAATTCGCGCGGAAATCATACGTTCTCGCGCGGGTCGTCCACCTCCCCCATCCACCACCCACCGCGGGTACGCGGCGCGTCGCGCGCGGACTCCGGGCGGCGACGACGGGCCGGACCGCAGGCGGACGGACGGCGGAAGCGTACGCGTGAACCGGACCGCGGCCGCGACGAATTCGCGAGGACGCGCCGAAACGAACGGACGCCGTCCGCCGTCTTCGCGGCGGGCCCGACAACCTCGGCCGCGCACTGCGTTCCGCCGGCCGTTCCCGCCGGGTCACCGATCCGCTAGCCGGCCGTCGCGGCGCGCCGCGGAAACCGTAAATGCCGAAAAGATGCCGGTGTCGATCGCGCTAATATTACGATGTATTTTTATTATTATTATTATTATTATTATTATTATTATTATCGATCGTTCCGGCTGCGGCGGCGGTCGTCGCGTCGTTGTTACGGGCGGTTTTCGACGTTTCGTCGTTTCATTATTCTTATCATCATTATTATTATTATTATTATTATTATTATTATTATTATTTTATCGATATATTATTATATTTTGCGATTATCATTAATTATCGTTAATTATTATCACTAATTCCCCCCTTCCCGAAACCGTTTATAAAAACGCACGGACATCGTTTTACTTTGTCGACGCCCGGACGACAATTATCATTAACAATCTCGTTTCGTTCGGCGCGGACGAGATGTGTGTGTGTGTATGTTTTTTTTTTTTGTATCATTTATTATTTTTTAGCTCCGTGTGAAATAATTTTCGATTTTGTCGCGTACGCGTATAAAGGATTCCGTTTCGATTCGATTTTTTTGTTTTTTTTTTTTTTTGTCGTCCCCTTGTACAGAATATTAATTATAAATAATAAGACTTGTGAAGTAAACCCTTAATATTGTTATATGATTTTTTTTTTTTTTTTTTTTATTTCACTTCGCACATGTGTACATAATAAATCGTTATCGCCTATTTTTCTACCCGTTGTTTTTTGTTTTTTTTTTTTTCGTTTCATGTTTCCGTATATATATTTCTTATCGATTTTGTGTACGAATGAAAACACATCATTACAGTTATAGGAAAGACAATGTTTGTATACGCTTCTTATAAAAGTACACGCTTCTTAGCAGTAGTTGTACAGTAGGCGCAGCTAGTTCACCGACCATAATCAATAAATAACAGTATAGGTTAAGAATAACCTGCTATGATAATTGATAATTTGATTACATTATAATATCACATTTACTGTTTAAATATTCAAAATTATACAGTTTTCTTGACAAAATAAATATAAGATATAAGATGTAAGGTATAATAAAAAAAAAAATATTATATTTTTTTTTTTTTATGTCTAGATATATTATGCTTATTTATTATCTTAGATAATATAATATTATAAATGTGTATTATCGTTATCTCTGTATCAAAGCGATTTCAAAGCATTTATCCTTATCTTTATCTTTATCTAGATAAATTGTAACTATCCGTGTCTCAACACTGGTCCCCGGAGAAGGGGGGAGGGCAGCTATGCACCCGAAATCCTCTGTGTACGACATTTATAATAAGCAACTATATATTTCGCGTATTATATAAATTTTTTAACTTTATTTGTTATACATATAAATGCATTGTATGAAGGTTATTTGTATTTTGTTGCGCGTATTAATTACGAAACAATTACAGAAAAAAAATATTCAACTATAAAAATTATACAACGGGTATTTTTGGGGGTTGTATTTTTAAAATCGGGGGTGCTTAAGACCCCCTAGCACCCCATAGTTGCACCTATTAATCTGTTTCAGAAGAGTATTCTACTACTATGGAACTTACGAATGATTTTTCATAGATATTAATTTCCTGATGGGAATTGTAACAATCGGGCTTCCACGTGAGTCCCTCTCAGTAAGACCCAGTAACCGTCTGGTATTAAAATAATAAAAAAAATAAAAAACTGTTCAAGTAAAGAGAAAATTAAAACATGCATATCTTGATAAAAAAAACGAAAATAATTGAACAAATTATTCGTAAACACCATAGTAAATACTATTGTTTATAAACCGTATAATAAGTCCCTTTGCCCTAACGTTAATCAGATTCAGAGCCACAATCGTGAAAATGCAAAATTACTTTTTCACTGTACCGTAACCTTCGAGGTAGAAAGACGGAGAAAATAAATGTTTGTGACGAGGCACCTTAAATGATGATTTGGATCGATCAGAACCGACAAAGATTTTGACTCCTCCACCATACACCTAACCTTTTTACATTGTCTTCGATATTGTATAATGCAATCAGCCGAGTAAAATCACGAAAATCACTTTAAATATTTCGTATACATACTCTTTTTATGTTATAGTAAGAGTGGTTTTTGCATTTTTTGAATATTTCCAAAGAAAAAAAAAAAAGATATATTTCGCTCAATGGATGGATCACTAGTGTAGGTGAAAAGTCGCGAAGGTATAAAAGAGATTTAATGTATATATGTACACAAAGATTAATCATTGCTAACGAAAAAAAGATTATGTGCTGAGTTCGGTTATAAATGTTTTGAAAGGTCGTAATATTTACGATTTGAAAACATAACATTTATTAAATTTATCCATTTTTCCTACGTTTTTCCTATTTATTATGAAAAAACCTGGGATAATCAACAAACTAACCTCGTTAAAGTATCACCCCTGTCAAATTTATATTCAAACAAAGTATTACACTTGAAAATTGGAGCAAAATTTTTTGTAGAAAAGTTTTTCTTAGGAAAAAAAAACATTATTGTAAAACTATTACATTCCTTTAGACACTTGAAATCTATAACCGATTAAATTATATTAATTTGAACAAACTGGATACACCTAGCCAATCGGTGTACCATTGTTGTAGATGAAAAGTTAGGGGAAAGTTAGACAATATATGGAGTAATTTATATTCTATGTCTGCAAATATAAATAATTGCTAAAAAGGAACGATTCTGAGTGTAATACGTATAAACATGTTTAAAAATACCACTATTTATACAAATTTCGTTTACAAGTTATCACTTTAAACGCTTATGAAAAAAAATAATCATTACATAACGTTTAACATTTACGTTCTGTGTGTATAACTATGAAAATGAATTGGGTTTACAATGATATTTATTTGTTTATTTTATTTATGTGAACACTTTTTCTACCAGAAAGCTTACTCAGATTATCAAGTATTGTACCTTTTTCGAATGGAAATGTTCTCTGTGTGGTACTTTAAAGAGGTCATTTTTTTGAAATTCTCATTTATATTCGATATAATGAAGAAAATCTGGTTGTTTAGGTTAAAAAAGACTGAAATATTAAAAATAATGTTGTCATTGAATACCGTTTTTATTATTTTTTTTTTTTAAATAATTAAAATACATAAATAAACATATTTGTAAAACCAATACATTCCTCGTACCACTCGGAATTCAAAAGCAACACTATCAACTGAACTCCGCTCAGAATCGTTTTTTCGTTAAAAAATTTAATTCCCGTTTGTAACTCACCTTCTCAGATTATCACATACAAAGTAGCTGCACGTAAAATTATTGATATAGCCAAAAAAAATAATTTTATTTGGCGCTAAAGTAAAATAACGGCAGAGTCGAGGGCTCGTGGTGTTGACGAGTACCTACAAAAAAAGAAAAAAAAAGACTGACAGACCTCGCTCGATTGATGGGTCCCCTTTGTAGGTGAGAAGTAAGTGTAAAGATAAAATACAAAGGGAAATTCAATATAATCATACCTGTATACGCAACGATTAGTAATTGTTAACAGAATACGATTCTGAGTATTGTTCGGTTCTACGCGTTTTGAATGGTCGTAATATTTACGATTTTTGTTGAAATTTGATATTAAATTTATGATAATAAAAATTCTGCATTAAACGCCATTTTACTATTATTATTGTCTTTAAACTTACTGTCCGATAATTTTTAACTGAATCACAACGAATAACAATACCAAAAATAATATGTTTCGTACTTTTTCCCGTTTTCCTACGTTTTCTCTCAGTTTTTCTCAGTTATTATGAAAACCGTTTGTAACATCAAAACACGACCCGTCTAAAGTACCGCAAAGATGAAATTTCCTCTGTTCAAAAATTACGCTACACCCGATACGCCGGAGCAAGATTTCCGGCTGAACAGTCGTTGACGGGTAAGAAAAATAAATAAACAAACATCGTCGTGCGGACCTCGCTTCGCTCAGAATCTAATGCGAAAAACACAAAAAAAAAAAAAAAAAAAAAAAACAGAAACCGTCAAACAATGACAGCACGATAGAACCGACGAAGAATTGTGCAAATGCGACAGGGTAGTAAAAAAATAATATAATAATAAAAAAAATTAAATCGTTTTTTTTATTAATAAATTCGATCGACCATCACAATAATACAATATAATTCGACGTGCACGCGTCAATAACGCCTGAACAATAGTATTACTTACGGTAAAAAAAAAATGAAATTACAGAGACATAAATAACAATTATCGTAAAATAACGTGATAAAAAAAAAATTAAGACGGCGGCGTGTCGGGGTGTAATCGATACATGGCGTAGGCAGCGCGACATCGCGGGTAAGAAATAAAAAAAAAAAAAAAAAAAACAACCCCGCCGGCGGACAGTTATAACAACAACAACAACAACAATAGTAACAATCACGAATCAACATCGGGTTAGAGGGGCTCGGGTTTCGTCAGTCTTCGATGTCCAAACGGACGTCTTTGCCGCCGGTCGTCGTCGTCGTCGTCGTCGTCGCGGTCCGGCCGCCGCGTTCGGGCTCCGCGTGCTGCGCGCCCGCCGTGGGCCTTATCGAGAACCGCCTGATCCGCTTCTTCTTGGGACGCTTCGTCTCCGGTCGGACGTTCAACGTTGCCGCCGCCGCCCCCGGATCTTGAAGCAGGACCTGTGGACACGAGTAACGGATAGCTGTTAATCGGCCCGGGGCGATGGTTATAGCACAGGGTCGACACGAGTTGTACGCGCACCCGAACATGTACCCGTCAGAATGTCTCCGGAGAACACGACGAGGAAGATTTGGTTTTTATTTTTATTATTATTTTTTTTTTTTCGTTATAAATGTGTCACTCATATGGATAAGGACTGAAAATATTCGTGTTTCAATTATTCTTTTCATTTTGTTATTTTCGAAAAGTCCGAAGACGGGTGGCGTTTATGACGTTTTGACGTATTGACGTTTCCGAATCATCTCGGGATTTTGAAAAAAGATTATTGAAAACCGTGAAAACAATAAAATAATTACATCTCTAAAGTACCACCCGGATAAGATTTCCTTTCGGAAAACGTAGGACACTTGAATAACAGAGCGAGTTCTCTGGTAGACAAGCTGTTCGAAGACGAAAAAAAAAATAAACACCATTGTTAAAACCATTATATTCCTCGCTACTCTCCGAATCTAAAACGTTTAACGGAACTGATTCCGAAATGCATACAAAAAGAAATCGTTATTATTTATTAATCTTAATTAACATTAAATCAATTCAACGTCGATTTTGAATTTAATTCATTAATATTTCCCATAATGTCAAGTTGGAAATCGGTTAATTATAACTATCGGAGACGGTTCGAGTACAAGAGGGTCGCTGACCTCTTATAGTGGACGATTCAAGTGAACGGAATTTTTTAAATCGGGACGCGATTCGATTCGCGAGTCAGATCGGAGGCGATTCGTGGGCGCCCGTATTCCTACCGCCAACGTCTCAGGACCCAACGATTCTGTACGCTACATTTCGTTTTGATCATTTTGGCGGTCGTGCGGATTCTCAGTGCCTATCGACGGTGTTTCATTAAAAAGGGCGTCTGTCGAATTCCGCTTATTTTTTTTTTTTCAGGAGGAAAATTTAATGATTTTTATCGTGGAAATCAATAAAATTACTCGTACACTAATATCTTGTACGCAAATACATTCATTGTAACATGTCCTTTTAAAAAAAGTCGGTGTTTATTTAATATTCTATTTCAAAAAAGGCGCGTGGATATTTTTCAGTCGACTCGAACAACTGAATTTTCCGTATTCAAATACGCCCAATTACCAGCTTTGCCACGTTTCTAATTTTTCTGATTTTCCGACACCATAAAAGGAATCGGAGAGAGCTACACTTTTCGATTTTCGGTGGCACGCGCCCTTTTAAACGAAACACCGTCAAGACTTTGTGTTTTTTTTTTTTTTTTCCAAACGCGTATTTCGGTATTTTTAGCGCATTTTTATAAACGTTACACGGGCCGTATAGATGTCTCATAGCGTTGTTATAGCGTCGTGTAACGATCGACAGGGACTACGCGAATGTCGAACCGTTCCGAAAAAGGGGGAACATTAACACATCGCGCGTTCGGAGATGTTTGAGTGAACGTCGCGATTTTTGTACCCTGCGCCGACGAACGGCCCGAGGACCTTAGAAAACTCTAAAATTAAAACAATATTATAGTCACCGTGTTCGCGATACTTGCCGGCGCCGATAGCAGTTGTGCCGTTGACGACAACGGGGGCGCGGCAGTGTTTTCGCCGCCGACGCCGACGCCGACGTTGGTGGACGACGATACCGTGGACGCCATCGAGGAGTACTGCCACGACTCGGCGGACGACGAGCCCCGTCTGTCTTGGAACAGCGTGTACAACGGCGACCGGCGTTCTTGTCGTCGCGCCACGGCGCTGTGCGGTTGCATCGAGACCGACGAGTTGTCCAGCGACCGTTGCAACGTCATCAGGAAGTCGGCCACGGCTATGGTGTTGGCGCAGTGCGTGAGCACCGGATCCGGGCTGGATTGCCGGCGGTTGCGCGGTTCCTGCGCCGCCGCCGTTGTCGAGGCGAACTGCGACCGCGCGTACGCCGCCGCGGCCGGGTTGCCGTCGTACCGGCGTCCACGGTCCGGCCGGTACCCGCGATTGTCCTGTACCGTGAGATTGTGATTGTAACCGTGTTGGTTCGGGGTCGGCCTGCCGTGGTAGCCGTTTTGGCCCGTCTGCACCGTATGGCTGTGGTTGTAGTACGCGTTCGGGTACCTGTGGTCCGTGGCGCCGTTGTACGTGGACCCGTAACCGGAACCGTAACCGTGGTCGTCGTTTAGCGACAGTCTGTGTTTCGGGTTGTCCGTCCGATTGCCGCCGCCGCCGCCGTCGGCCAGTCTGTCGGTCAACCACTTGGGAGCGATGTTGTTCGACAGGAAATTGAACGCCGCCGCCGACATGCGCCGCAACTTTGGCACCCGCGATTTTGACTGCTGCTGCTGTTGGTGCTGATGATGATGACCGTAATTGGCGCAGTTGCCGTTTTTCGGGTACTCGTTGAACCTGCACCGAAAACCAACGGCATTAGTACGCGGCTCGTCACGGATTAAACGGTTTACACAGCTGTTACTATGAATGAAAAAAAATTTAAAAAAACATACGCAAATACTTCGCGCGATGGGTGGGTCAGTGTTGTAGGTGAGCAATCAGGAAGATAGGGTATAGATGGGAATTTTGACGTGCATGACGGCGAATCTCCGCCAACGGAAAACGATATTTAACACGTGTTTTAAAAGGCCGTAATATTTACGGATTGAAAATGATACGTTTCGTACGTGTTTTCGTTTTCCCTAGGTTTTTCTCGTTTATTATATAGACCCCCGGTAAAATCGAAAAACGCCCTTCTTTTAAAGTACCGTCAGATTTCCTTTTAGCAAAAAGTGCATGTAAACCGGAGCGGATTCGCCAGCAGTAAAGACGTCCAGAGAAAAAAAAAAATAAGAAATAAACGTTATTTCGAAACCGACACGTTTCTCACGCCGATCATAATCTGAAAAAACAATCGTGTTTTACTGACTTTTTGTAATTTCGGCCTTCTGCGCCGGCCCACGTATCGTACTCGAAATAGGAGTTCCCGTGTTTCGACGCAAACGTGTTTTCTCGGTTCAACATGTCACCGCCAACGGTCCACTCGTTCTTTTCGCTGGCCAATATGTACTCGGCTGAGAACCCTTCCACGCCCTCGGAGAACGAGTACGCCTTTTTCTTGTTCTGTGGGCGAAACGGCGGTTAATGGTAAACGAGATAAAACGGGTCCAGGCCAAAATAGCGAAGCGAAAAACACCACGAATCAAATAACGGCGAGAGTTAAAAATAGCGAACTCTAAAATAATCGATCACGCGAACCGGCGAAACTTGTACATCAATTACAAATTTCAATACTAACACGATAACGAGAACTTTGTAAAAAGTGCGGCACATAGTTTGTCACTAAATACCTAGGTAATTGTTTCGTTTTGTGTTTTTTTTGTTTTTTTTTTTTTTTAGTTTATTATTATCACTAAACACCTAATGAACCCAGTGACATCAATATTGGCCGTTTTCAAAAGATTTACCAAATTTTCGCTATTGTGATTTTCGATATTTGTTTTTTTTTTGAAATCCGCTATTTTTATTTTCGCGATTTTTTACATTCACGATTAGTTTTGCGCTATTGTGATCGGACACCGATAAAAAAAAAAAAAAAAAACGCGTTCCGTTACTTCGAGACCGGTTCCGGGTATGTACTCACGAAATTTCCGGAGTCCTCGACGGGCTGCTGCTGCATGTGTACGGTCGGCGGCTGGTTGGGCACGGCCGTCTCCAGAGCGTCGACCACCCGGGACAGGATCTCGTACGAAGCGATGTCCGCGCCGAACGTGGCTTCCTTGTCAATGTGGGCCAGGTCTATCTCGGACGTGGCCTTGGTCCGGCGGAGCAGCGACCGCATCCTGTTCTGGGACAGGGCCCGGCGGCGCTTCATCCGGTGCTTCTCGAACCGCCGGCGGACCGCGTCCTCGTCCTCGTCCTCGTCTTGGGCCGCCGGCACTGGCACCGTCTTCCGGAGCACCGGCCACTCGGTCAGGTTCGGCGAGCTCCGACTCCGGCGCAACGGTAGGCCGCACGAAGACGCCTCTTTCTTGTACACCGGCTGTAGCGGACAACGGCGTGATTATCGACAAGAGAGACATTGTAAAATATACCGATAAGACACGGTTTTGTTTGCGTTATTCGACCTAAAATATCATATTGCGTTATCTCCCGACAAGGTGTCGAGCACGCGGCCGGTGTCGCAGTTAAAGGGCTAGCAGGGACGTAACAACCCCGGATCGTCTGAAACCCGTTTAATGCAAATGCGAAACCCCGAAAGTCGCATTTACTCGATACGGAGGTGGCCAAAAGTCGCGCGACGCCTACCGTCTTGTACGGAACGCGCGTTGCGGCGCAGTTTCTCCCTGCGCGTCGTTTCCGTCGCGTCACGTTGCAACACTGGTATCGTTATCTTGTTTGCGTACAACAACAGCTAGGTTTATAAAAAAAACAACATACTTAACATAAAACACAACGGTTTTATGAAAACCGTGTCGTGCGAGTTTGTCGCGCGACTTTTGGCCACGTCCGTGTCGTAGAGATGCTTATTTATTGCGAGGTGGTAATTGGTTTTCGATACGACAATCACTACGGCGTGTCCATCACTCGATCGACAATGGAAAATGCGAAATCGCGCGTTATTCGTTGGGAGAGGTGAGGGGGGGTCGGAGACGCAAACGTGTACGATGCGGTGGACACCGCGGGCGTGCAAGTACCTTAAACTTCAACAAATACGACTCGTTGAGTACACGTCTGATGTACACGACGTCCTTGGTGAACTGGTGCCAGATTTTTGAATGGGTGTGCTTGAGCCGTTCCAGGAACAGGTGCTCGAGTGTTTTCGACCGCATCGCTCTGGATATGAAGCTGAGTATCATGAACAGATATCCCAGTCCGAACATGATCCAACACACCAGGAACACCTTGTAGGCGTTGTACCATACGTCGGTGTTGACGGTCTGCCCTGAAACGCGATACGGCGTTAACGCATATGTATATAGAACAGCGACGGATTCGCGTTTACAACGAAACCAACAGCCGAGTCCGGCGCGGCGTTTACATTCGGTAATCGATAAAATGGATTCGATTCAACGCGATCCTCTCTCCGTCCTCTCCATTAACCCGACCGCCGCGCTCGGTTGTCGGTCGTTTCCCGGGAATTCGGGCTCTCGGCGGGGAGGGGGGAGGGGGGGGCGGCGGTCCGTCGCCGTTGACAAAACCGATCGGACAACGCAAAACTACGGGTTCCGTATTCGTTTGCCGCGGCCGACCCGCGAATCCCGCGCGTCGACGTTGGCGTTTCGGGATCGAAGAGCGAGCGGCCGCGGTGTCCGTACGCCGTGCCGGGACGGACCCGCGGGTTTTCACGGCGGACGGACGGGCGGCGCGCGAGTGCGTACACGACATTAACGACGCGCGACGATAGCGATATTTACCGGCGACGTAATCCCCGTAGCCAATGGTGGTCAACGTGACGAACGCGAAGTACACGCTCTCGTCGAACGTCCATCCCTCGAAGTAGGATATGATGTACGACGGGACGAATATGAACACGATTATGCCGGGTATCAGGTAGGTGACCACGTCCACGATGAGGCTCAACTGCGGCCCCATCATCCGTTGAGTCTTGTAGCTGTAGTGAGCCCGCAGGATCTAAACGAAAACGTCCGCGTTCACAATCAAAATGGTAATGTCGTCCACCAATCGTACAATTTCCCCGCCCCCCTCCCCCGGACCATACGCAAACGCTTCTCGGTTTGAGTGAAATTATAGAATTTTTTTTTTGTTTTTTTTTTTTTTTTTTTATTATATACACTGTTTTCGAATTGATTTCAACGGCGGCCGACGGTTAAAAAGTTATAGTCGGGTTTAGCGTTTGTGTGGTTCTCGACGCGATCGGATCGAGTTTTCGTTTTGTCAATTTAAATGTGTACAGTTAATTCGCACGGGCGTCGAACTAAACAAATGAATACGATATATTCTATTACTCTATGTCCAATACTCGCGCTAATCACGCATAGGAAAAAAAAAAAAAAAATAAAAAATAAACTTATGTTGAGTCGAAGTTTTTATTATTTTTTTTTTTTCCATTTTAACTTAACGAGCTCAAATCATTTTTGTCGATTCCACCGAACACTCTCGTGTATACTCAACTCAATCCAGTTAATAATACCAAGTGTGGGCAAGTTAGTGAAAATGCGTATCGACCTCAAGTTATTTTCGTGACTATTAGAGATTTCTAGTCGTTTTAACGTTGCCTAACGATACGCATGCTGCCTTGTTGTCTGCGAACAAACAAAACTTTCAATTGCGTCAGCCGCCACGTATGTTTTATTTTCCTATTGGAAAGATGCGATTCTCGATAACCCGACCGCCCGTCACGCTTGTCGTACAATAATAATAATTTATATTATATTATGCGTTTTTTCCCGTGCACGTGTACTCGTGTCGAAATGTTTTATTAACCGAAATCCTTTTATTTTCTAATTCGATATAAGTACGCTTGTAGTACTCACATTCGATACAATAAGTATATATATATATATATGCATACATTATGCGTTTTTCGCATTAAACTAACGCAACGTTACGAAATATCACAGTGATATCATAGCGCTGATAGGTTTTGAAAATTATACTGTGAAGAACGCAATAAAAATACGATCGCATTACGCCCTGATCGGTATTTTAATTTCCTAATATGTTATTAATGATTAGAATTAAGATAAATTGCATTGAAATACTAGTTTTTCGATAAAAACGATAATATTGAAAAAAGAAAAAAAACAAATTGTTCATACGATCAGTTGTAAACAACTCTTGTCTGTGTACGCAACGTAAAATGTGGCAATTTTACTGAAACTCAACGAGATAGAACGGCCGCAACCGGTGAATGCGAAATGCAGACGGAGGGAAAAAAGGCCAATACTTATTGTCTAAAATGTATTGATAAAAGAAATTATTTTTAAAATCGGTTTGTACATTTAAATTATGTTTCTTTGTATCATTGTGTATGCGCAGAATTACATTTATTCTAATTACACATTACATAATTAATTCAGTTATTCAGTTATTAAGAATTACATGTACACAATAACCAAACGATTTTGGTTATTGTTGCATTTCTCTACATATCTATGTCTGATGATAACCCATTTTAAATAACCTCTGCTATTAAAATAAATTTAATAATTTAAAAAACTACGTAAAACGACATAATTTGCACATTTTGTTTTTGTCTGTATAATCCTTCATTTTGTTTTTATGTTCAGCAGCGTTTTACATTTCGACTGTGGTATATACCCGATGGTGAATTTTCAATTCGAAACCGGTCGTGTAATACGCTTATCATAATACTCCATCGGGCGACGCATATATTCATTTTTGTATTTATACATTTATTTACCATATAGATTATCGTTTGGAAGTAAAAAATTGCGTAGTCGTCCCGCCCTCCTCGAAAATAAGGGCGACAAAATATAATGGTAATGTACCGTTACAGATCTGCTTGTTTCTGGAATCGTCAAAACGTTTTTTTTTTTTTTGTCCAAACAAGTCAACTCTTAAATAACGAGTATCGTGTGTCAAATTAATTGCCGTGTACAGGCTATAGAGTATAGTTTAATATTAAAATCTGTACGCAACAATAAACTATTATTAACGAAACAAGTTTCCTAGTAGATTTCATTGTTAGTCGTGTTTTTCAAAAGCAACAAAAATTGTTTCACGTTTATTTAGGAAACTCCGCTGACGAAAACAATTACCTTTTCAAAGCACCGACTAGCCATGAAAAAAGTTCCCGTAAACCAATTGATTGGCGGAAGATTACTAATATGGAAGAGTTGTTTACAGACACGGGCAAAGACGATTTAAGTAGGTAGTAAAACTAATAGAATCCCCGGTTCTCTCGGAACAGTGACGGTCGGACACGTTACCAAGTACTGCAACCGCATAATATGCTCTCTGATCTTGGTTATCGTATCGAGTTGGAGACCGTTGCAGTTCAAATGCGTAATTACGTTTGAACGACAGACTTTTGTACTCGTACAGGAATCGTTTTACGAAAATAATTTTGAAAGGAAACGCCAAAGGTTTTCTGGTGTATGCTTGTGAAACGTGTAACGAGTACGTGACTCCCGCATGAGAAAAACGGACGAACGGGTTTACTTTTGTTACCAGCGTGTGCTCTGAAAACTCCTAGGTGAGCCGCTGGCTCAGAATCTAAAATCTCGCAAATGTTTCGCCGACTCGGACACGCTCTGTACGCGTAATAGTATTAACAATAATCGTTCCGTTCCGTTTGGGAAATTATCGAATCGACGCACAAACGTTCTGTTATTATGTCCCGACAGCGAACGCGGTTACGATACGCTTTTATTGTTTTTTTTTTTTTGAAAAGTTTATTTATTTAAACAAAGTACATAAAAACGCCACCCCTATACGCCTAAGCTTGTGTCGGGGTAGACGCTTGCGGTTCCAGTTTTGTACAAAAAAAAAAAAAAAACATTCGAAGACAACGCTAAAGTTCCCCGATTGTTATTATTAATTAACAAATGATATTGCGCGTGATAACAGTCCGACCGGCGGAATACCCAAACGCGTATATAAATTTAGTTCGGTCGAAACTCCGGGTGGTTGCGTTCGATTCGAAACGGTTGTCCGCGGATACACGCGGCGTCGTTTCGAGTCAACCGGAGGGATTTGAAACGGTTCGGCGGACGCGGTCTGTCGCGCGCGTCTCACATAATGCCGCCGTTCACGAGCGAAATACCGGGCGTACGCGCCGCGCGGTTCCAGTTTTGTACAAAAAAAAAAAAAAAACCGCCGCGGGCGTCGGCCGTCCGTCCGCCGAACGGATTTCGAGGGTTTACACAGTAACGGGCCGAAGTCGCGAAGCGCACTAATAACGATAATAATAACAATTTTTTTTAATTTTTTTTTTTTTTAATCTAATTTTCAATAACGTTTATTTTTAGTTTGACGGGCGCGCGTCACGCGTTATCGCGGCGACGATTTACGACCGCGGCAACAAAACGCGCAGCGTACCGCGACGCTACCGAGATTACCGCGGGTTCGCGGCGAAACGTAACGGCAATGTTATCGGTACGTTTCGGCGAGTCTGGCGACCGGGCGCGTGTCGCGTCGCATTTGTTCGCGGCGCACGGGCGTCACGGCGGCGTCGGACGCCAGTGCCTAAAACCGACGAGAATCGCAATTTGAATGGAAAAAGAAACCGCGCGGAACGTCCGAATAGCGTTCGCGCCGCGCGTCCCGTACGCGTTTAACTACACGCCGAACGCAACAACGAAAACAAAGAGATTTCGTTTTTTGTTTTTTTTTTGTCTCTTTTTTTTCTTTTATGTGTTTTCGAAATTAAATTAAAAACGTTCGATCGACCGTTCGAGTGTCGTTGTTAATTTTTTTTTTTCGTTTCGTAACAGCTGATAATAATTAATCGGTTGAGCCTTGAACGCGTTATAATTTTACGGTCGCGAAGCTCTGCCGTACGCACTCGCAGTTATCGAACAACGCGCGACATTCAAAGTGCATAATTCCGTGGTTTTTCTGAAAATGAACGTTTTTTTTTTTTTTTTTTTTTTTTTTTTTTTTTAACGCTTCTGAATAATAAGCGGCTATATTGGTCCGGCAATATGATCGGGGTCAAGGACTTCTGGCATTTGAATCTGTATTTTCGAAAGATTAGAAAAAATAACAGAGTTAAACGTAAATACTGTTCATCGCGTAAAGAATCTAAATCCTAAATTTTATTTTCCGCGTTTTACAGTTTCAGCTTTTTAGAGCATATTTTAGCTATAGCTGTTTTATATTTTATTATTTTTTATATTGCATTTCACGTATTATACGTGTTTTTTTTTTTTTTTTATTATTACTCCAACTTGTTTGTGTTTCTAAACGATTTTTCTCCCCGATCAAAAACTTTATGGGAACTTTCGAGTAAAATTGTTGACAACATTATCACCTCGAAGAAGTTATTTTTGATTTGAAGAAGGGGAAACACGACTGATATTATTTCGCCCAGAATCGTTTCTCGTTAGCAATTGATTATTGTTATAATATTCTGATATAAATTACGTTATTCGGTACAGAACGTTCCGCGGAAGGCTGACAAATGCAGTAAATTTTGTTTTGTTCAATACGTTTAAGTGTTCATTTTTATTATAATTACTAGAACTTTTTGACCCCTATGATCCGTACAATTTATGTTTTTATTTAAGTTACAACGAAAAATGTATTTTTCACTAAATGTGTGAGATAATTTTTGTTTTGAAATAAAATACGTTAATTGTTTATTATATGAACACATGAAATTATAAAATAAGTGGTTAATTTTTTTAAATGTTTTAAAGTTTACGATAATTTAAATTGTTTCATTAGCGCTATTAAATAACTATCAATAGAACGACCAATTTGTCTATCTAAAATATTTGTTTTAATGATATAAATGTAAATATCAAAAACAATAGAATATTGAATTTAAAATTAGTCAACATCTGTATGGCCAATCATTTTAGATTTTGAGTGTAGCGGTATTACAAATATTTTTTTTTTTTTTTTTTTTGAAACGCACATTTTATCTACCAGAAATCTCACACCGGTGTATACAATGTAGACCTTTATCTGAAAGGCAATTTTCTGGGGGTGATATTTTAGAAAGGTAATTTTTTGATTTTTCCGGAATTTTTTTCAATAAAAAAGAAAAAGTAAGAAAAACGGGAAAACTTACGATATGTATACTATTAGTAAAACACTATGGTTTTTCATTCTGTGGACAACTTTTCTACTAGGAATTTTGCTCGGACTTACTATGGTAGAACTTTTTCTGATAGAAAATCTGACTGAGAAGGTATTTGTCAAAGTATCCAGGATTTTCCCAAGCAATTTTTCCAGCAAATAGGAAAAATCGGTACAATATTAAACAAATATTATTATAGAAAATATACAATGCCTATTTAAATAGTTTCCCAAAATATGACATGTATATATGTATATTATATATATATATATATTGTTGACAAAGCATCAGTATCTACTCGTTTTAGTGAGCAATGGTTTATCGTTAGTAGCGAAGTATGTTCGTATTTTTCAAAATAAATTTAGAAAACGGCGTTCTTGAAAATTGTAAAAAGAAAATACTTTAAAAATTGTAAATTTTTTTTATTTTTAATTTGAAAAAAAAAACACGTAACATAGAGAAATCAAAGCGCTGTAATTTGACGATTGTATATTGTTTATATGTATAAAAAAAAAAAAAACTTCAAAATATCAAACGGAACAAAAGCCGTTGTGTTTGTCATATCTCCCCGGGACACCGACATAATACGTTCTCCCCTAAAAACAGCGTCCCGCCGATCAGTGACACGGGGCTGTCTGGAAAAAAAAAAATAAAATTGTAAAACGTGAACCCTGTTCGTGAGCGGGCCGATGCCGTGCAAGTAATAACGATCCCGCCGTCCTTTGCTCGTGTTCCGAGCACAGCGCTCGGTAAACGTACACGCTAAACGATTTTGCGGCGCACAACGCTGAAAACTATGTAAAAAATACTACGGATTCATATTACGCAGATTACCGTGTTTTATATTGAACGGAAAACGGTCGACCGCGGGTCGGCCTCCGGGCTCGCGAATTCGATTAAAACTCTCGTCCGTCGTACGAAATAATTTTATTCGACCGGAAAACGAAACGGTACGCTACGCAAATCACAATCCGCGGATAGACGGGCCATTTAAAAAATCGGGCGCGAGAAGGCGCGCCGGAATAATTATTTCGATTTTCCCGTTAAACGATTGCGAATCGGCGTACAAAAGAATTCCGTAATTTACAATGCTGCGGAATGAAACGGATCCGAAATTTCTGACGGGTGCGCGCGGCCGTAGGCGGAAAGTCGGGAAGGCACGACGCGAAAATGTATTCCGGGCGATGGTTTATCGTTGCTTACGCACATACGTGCAATTCCCTCCTGCGTCCTACCTTCCCGGTTTCCACCTGCGACGGCGGCCGCCACGCACGCGCGCGAAGCGTGTCCGTCCTTTTGTTTTTCGATTTTTATTCGGTTTTACGCGGGCGCGATTAACGGGAATCGACGGAATTTTACGATTTAACGGAAACGCGAATCCGCGGAACGGGGAAGTGCACGAGTTCGGCGGAAACCGGGGCAGCCGCGCCGCGGCCACTGCTCGCGCGCGTGTTAGCGTTGTGCGCGGGACGCGATTCAATCGGAAAGCCGGAGACGCTCGCCGTGCGCCCGGCCGTGTAAACGTTACGGTTGGACGGCCGAAGTGTAATTCGGAAAACCGATCGCTTTACCGGCCGCACCGGTCGCGGGGAGCGGACGCCGCGGTATTGCGCCGGCGACTTTCCAATCGGACGGCCGCCGATTTCGCATTGATTGCATTTTAACGACGGACCGCCGTTCGCCCGGACCGCGGCCACGGACGGCGCGCCGGCCGTAATAGCGCGGGGAGGCGAGTGTTGCGACGCCCGGCGAGATGTCACACTGCGGCCGCCGTCGCGTTGTCCGGCGAGCGGTGAATCGGGAACCGATCGAAAACCCGGCGGTCGCGACGCGCAACGGACGATGACGACGCGTATCCCCGGGACGACCGGTTCTCGGACACGGGACACCCGTTATCGCGTACCTGACCTTCGTTTTCCCCGCGCTCGTAATTATCCGGGATTTCCGCGCGGAAGGCCGTCGAAAAACCGTTCGCTCGTCAAAACGGTGCCGTCATCGAACGGATCGCGAATCGCGGGCGTCCGAAGTGACGCGCCCGAGGGTCCGCGACGGGAACGAACGGCACTCACCAATCGCCGGCGTACGGATTTCGGAATGGCGGGAATGCGATTGAGTAGAACGCTCGGCTTTTACGATTGCACGCGACGTCGCCGAACGCGCGGCAATTTGAAAATTCAACCGAGCGAAAATATACGCGTATTCATTGTGTCGCGATTCGGGTTTAACGATAACCTATTTTTTTTTTTCGTTCGGGACGGCATTATTACCGAATCCGTCAATAATAATGATAACCTATGTAAATACAACGATAACGAATTGTTCGCGACGGACAATCAAAATATACGCATTAGTGCATTATTGTTCATTACGTGTTTTTTTTTTTCCCCGTTTTAAGTGTCGATGTGCGAAACGTTTTACGTTAATGCTTTAACAATAAAAGGAAAACAACCAAGACTTATATCCTCTGAACGCAGTGGAAATTTATTTGTTTTTAATTCCCACAAATACCGTTTTGTCGTAAATTTCGCTAAGTTTATCATAGTTTATTTATCCACTTGAATTCAGTTCGTCAACGTTGCACATAATTTCGTTTTCAAGAGCACTGTTTTTTTTTTTTTTATTTTTTTTTCTGAGTCGAGGCAATTTTGTTGTTCCGTGTCGAACGTTCTCGATTGTACGCTAAAAAATAGGTCGGACGTTCTCAATAGCTTTAAAACGAAAATATGTCGGCTACAAATTCGATTCACGCTACATTGAATAAAATGCACGACATTTTATTTTGTATTTTTTTGTTATTTTTTACGTTTTTTGTATATTTGTATATTAATGCGCTTTTTCGGGTATTTTAGGTACTTTTTTTTGCTTTAAAATTACATTTTTTCAAAATGTGTTCTAAAGAAACGTATTTGAAATGTTAATATTTATTTTTATATTATACTATGTGTTCCAAGGTCATACCTAGTTCAATCGAGTTTATCTTATTATTGATATATTTATTGATGCAATTTAGATAATGTGATTCGCGTACCGTATGGTATATAGTAGATTAATTTTTAATTAATTTATCTTAGAACGACAAATGAACACAAAAATATGGCTTATTTTTTTTAAAAAACACCCATTTTAAATTTTGAGTGGAGCGAAAAAGAGCTATGGTTTTACGAAGAGGTAATTTTTCGATTTTCTCAAGAGTTTTCTCTTCAAATTTGAGAAACCGGCATAATACATGGGAAAACCGAGAAAAACGTAGAACAACTGGGGGAAATCAGTTAAACAATAAACGAATATTATTAAAGAAAATATAAAAGCCTATTTAATTATTTTATGATAATATAACATATATATTGTTGACAAAGAATCGCTATCAACTAAACAGCGCTCAGAATCATTTTTTCGTTAGCAATGCAATTTTCGTTGCTTACAGATATACATTAAATTACCTATAACAGAGGCTTCACCCGTCTCCATTATCCAAAAACATGTTTTTTAATGCCCTTTTTAAGTTTTTTTATAATATTTATAAAGTTGTTTTGCTTTTTTTTTTTGGGGGGGCTTTTCTTTAGGTTTTTATTGCTTTAAAATCCGTACTCACTACTCATGGATAAATCGCAGAATCGATGTTTTTGTCGTAATTAATTATCTGAGAATTTTAAGTCAAATATTTTTTCCTTTTGTAGCCTGGTTGAAACGTAAAGTTTCAAGATTAAATAACCAAACGGATATTCACAGATAATTCTATTTTTAATGCGATTAGAAAGTGGTTGGGATATAACACCTGATCTTCCATCCCTGCATATCGGTCGGGCAGTAATTGAATGCATTGAAAATTATACTATCATATTGGTTTACTTACTCTTGACTCGAAAAAGCTTCCGAGTTGTGTCAACACGATTCCGTTGAGCGGAATGCCAATTAGCGAGTAAACCAGCACCAGTATGCGTCCAGTAGCCGAGGTTGGATGCAAGTTTCCGTAACCTAAAACAATTTCCCAAAACATTCAGCAGTGCGAAAACAATGCGATGTCTTTATTATAGTACATATAACGGTTATAATGTCAAGAATCAAAATTTGTGTAATTATTAATTTACGTCCGAGAGAAATATCCCGATATCTCTGCAAGACGCAGGACTCGGTCCACATTCCCGAAACCACCTCGTTATTCGAAACCAGCGTGGATTCGTGATTATTCTGCGAGACGTATAAGTTTTAGAATATTATTAGTTTTTTTTTTTTTTTTTTCATATATAATTGAATTGCCAATTAGATTTTGGAAAAAAAAAAACGCATAATATACCGAAGACTAAATAAACCGTATTTTTAAAGAAAATAGCTAAAATTCACACACACAGTTATTGGTCTGTCGATTGATTTCTCACCGATTGTGCTCAGGGTCGTCAGGGCGAAAAAGAAAGCGTTGTAATAGGTCCATTGGTACTGGTGTTCCTCTTCGTCGCCCGTTTCTTCTAACAAAATGGTTTTGTTGCAATACGTGTTCAACTGTTGAATAAACTGCTTGCGTATGTGAGAGTTGACTTGGGAATAGTATTTGGTAAGTATGTCTGGAAAAAATAAAATCAAACTCTCGGTCAATAAATTATATTTTCAATTTGAGTCTAGGTAATAATGGCCAAATCAAAAATGTCCACGGAAAAAATAACAATACACCGAAATGGCCAAAGACAAATATGGCCGTAATATATCTGTGATCATATTTCCTCCATTAGAAAAGTAATTTGAAATAATATATTTCTAATAATTTTGTTTTAAATTCATTACGTTTTTGACAGTGTATGCAATGTTTTTTTTAAAAATAAATTTATTCCCGTTTTTCGTTCCTGCTACAAAAAAGAAACTCGTGCCTCTTAATTTTCTTTGCAAATAAATATAAATATAAAAATATTTGATATTAAAGTTGTTCGTGAGTTATTCATTAGTCACTATTCACACTTGTGTAGATACTTAATTTTCATAAACAAATAAGTATATAATGTGAGTAAATTAAGTCAATTAAAAGTGGAAACTATTCTTATTTCTTGAAATTAAAATCTTTAAAATAATAATAAATTAAATGAAATTCATTTCCTACTATAAAAATTTAAATGAAAAAATCGTAGTATTTGAAAAAAACCCCGGATCCCCCGACAGGACTGCCATACCGTTTTAAACAATTATCATTGAGACACGGTTTATTCCATTGTTATCCGAATGCATAACCGCATATAGTGTGCCCCAGACATGGAATAAACAAAAAAACCAAGGGGGGATAAACGCATGCTAAAAATCAAATGGACACACTTCGCGCGAAGGGTGGGCCACTGTTGTAAATGATTTGGGAAGGTAGAGAGTAAATTTAATGTATATCTGCTATAAGTAACGATAAACCATTGCTAATGAAAAACGATTCTGAGCGAAGTTCGGTTGTACATGTTTGGGAAGGCTGTAATATTTACGATTTGTTTTTATCCTACATTTCTATTTATTTATAATGAAAAATTTTGAGAAAATAAATAATCAACTTTTCTAAAGTACCACCGCGGTCGGATTTCCTTTCGGAAAAAGTACTACACATGAAAAACGGAGAGAAATTTCTGGTAGAAAAGTTGTTCATAGAAGAAAAAAAAATAAACATCATTGTCAAACCAATACGTTCATACCCCCGTTTAGAATCTAAAACCGATAAATGACGTTTGAAAATGTGAATTATAAGTGATAATGTGTTTATTGATTATTATTTTTTTTTTTTTTTCCCGTTAAAACGTGTGACTATAATTATTATAATACGTCACGGTAAGTCCATTGTGTAATACGTTGTGAACCGGTTGCACTATATTCCTAACCAAATATCGGTAGGTTGTAGGCAATTATTATTATTGTTTTCGTTCAAATAAACTATATAATAGTATTATGATAATACACGCGTATTAAGCAGATAAGAAAACTCGATTTATCGTGTTAATTATCAAAATAAAACGAATAAGCAGGTGATGTTGGAAAAATAATGATTTGATTACGTAATTTTTTTTATTATTATTACTTTTTTGTTTGTATACGAACGTATTTTACGCGTAGTGCGTACATTTTATGTCTGTCCGATGATCTCGGTTCCTAAATAATAACTAAACGCCGGCCGTAAATAATGACATCCGAGCAAAACCATTAAGAAAACACCACTGACGTTGGTTCGATAAAATTAGATCAATTATTATTTTGCATATGTTTTTCTATAACTTTCGTTGTAGAAAAAAAAAAAATAATAAATAAAATCCAGTCATATCGAAACATTTTTCGAAGATATAGAATTAGGACGGTGACCTTGGCCGATATTTTTATATTGTTCGGTGACAGGTTTTGTTTGGAATCCGAAATAAAACTGTGAACACTTATGATATTTCCAGCTGCGAATCACGATTTCGACTCGATTGGGTTCGGGTACAATATAATATTGTATTGAGTTTCTGGGCGAAGATTAATAATCTATACCATTGTACGTTTTTTTTCTTCAGTTTGCGAACGAGTGTTCGACCTCTGTAGAATTTGTAAATTTATACCTAAATGCATAGATTTATACGGTGGAGATTTTCCGAAATTCTTTGTATTTTTCCCAAAACCTAAATAAAAACTATGACTTCTTCTTTTGCTATAAAGTCTTCTCGTAGCGAAAATCGACTCCCACTCTTCTCACCTCTTAATGCCAGTCTTCACATTATGCGAATACCCGTTGCGAATCGATCAATTAAATAGTCTGTCCTACTACTTCCTTTGCGTCCATTGATTCTTCCTTCCGTTACGTCGGTTATGAAGGGGTTTTGTCTTATTATGCGTCCTATACGATTTCCGCATCACGATCAAATGGTAAATAGCAATGCTCGCTTCTCCCCGACTGTCCGGAGAATTTTTCCAGAATTTCTCCTCTTTCTTTCAATCCAATAACTAGTAAATTTCGGAATAGTTTCATCTGGTCGGTAGGTTTGGTCGGGTTCGAGAGACTTGGCATTTTCGCCGAACGCATAAATACGTTGAGCGTTTTCTACAATACAGACGCGTGATATAATTTGTTAGAATTACGCATTATGATATAATTTTGGTATTGGTCAGTTGTTCAATGTGCCTCGCTCGTTATCTACGAAATTCTCTATGGTTTCCCTCCCTATTATTCGCCCGCTCACGAACGTTCGAAAGTCTGATCGCAACACGTGTGGTTTAATTTTTTTTTTTCCCCCCGTCTATTTCGCGTCGACGTCATCACACACATCGCGGTCACGCGGCAATTTTCTAGAACGTTCTCGCGAAAAGGAAAACCGCAACCGGAGTTTTGTAGAAATTTTATTTTTTTTTTTTTATTTTTTTTTACAACTATCGTTGTAACAACACGATATCGCACGTACGCACTATTGCACACCGATCACCGGCGGTCTCCCGGACTCTGCACGCACGTACCGAATACACAGGGCGCGTCCGTTTCCCGTACGCAATCGCGTATTTTCGGAAACCGGCGAGTTCAGCGCCGACACGTCCGTGTAACCCGCGCGGTGCGGAACCCGAGATGCCGACGCGCAACGTCCGCGCAGATACGTCCGGACGCGTTACGCGCACGCGGCCAACAGCATATTCCTTTTGGTCATTTTCCCCCCCGCGGGCACGTTTCTCGTTACGAAATCGCGCGTCCTTGGGAGCGAGCGGTTTTTTCGGCGGTAGGCGCGCGCGGACATTATTTATTGTTTGTTATTATCCGTGGTCATGTGTACGACATTCGTATAATATCATTATACGGGCGAAATTTTCAATACGTTTTCCCTATGCTCACGCGCACGCGCGTTGCACGCAATATAACGCGAGTTGTACGTTATTATATTGTGTGAAAACGTAAAAATAAATAATCGCATTCACCTTGGGATTTCGATTTTCGTCGGCGGTGTAAATTTTTTTATATATATATATATATAGATACGTGTATAATATTATTATTTTTATTGTATTATATGCAACGTGTTGTTGTAACGGTAATAGCAACAGTCAAACGCCTCGGACTACAAGCAGACAAGACGCCGTCGCCGCCGTCGCGAAAATATTGCGAAACCGACACGTGTATTAGACATAATCACTGTAGTTATATGTATATATATATATATAAGTAATAATACACATTTTTATACTTTCCAACGCGAAAAATTATATTTATTCGAATGGGGCGCAAGAAAAAGAATACAAAAAAAAAAAAACATTAGTAAATTGCCGTTGTCGCACAAAGACCGCCGCCGCCCCAGCTTCACGGTTTGTTAAGTAAACATTATTATCGCCTGTTGGTTATAGAGACATACGCGTACAGTGAAACAAAAAAAAAAAAAAAATAAATAAATACAATCTCGACGTATCTACGTGTACACGTTACACCCGACTGCTAAATCCGAATTAATAAATTAAATCTAGTAATAAGTACAATCAAGTGTAGTTAATTATACAGAAGGATTTTGTGATATTGTTATCTTAATCGCCGTCATATCTGTTATACTCGTCATATGTGTACACAGGTATTACACCACGGATTAAGGTTTTAAGGATTACAATATACGTTGACAAGCGCGCGGTATTAGAGGGTGTTATAACCTCGACATATAAAAATACCAACTATTTATGCAGTGAAAACTCTTAATAACGAAACTTTGCCTATCGAAAAACTCTATGTAACGTAAAAATTACTTAATTACGTTGATTGGTTTACATTGAAACCCATACGTTTTCTTCTCTCTCTCTATTGCGACAACTCTCTATGACGAAAGAAAGCTCTTGATCTCTTAAGATTCGTTAACCTAACCGTCCTAAACTAACCTTTTACTGGTTTCAATTGTTCAACGTTGGAATAATACCAGGATCGCTTTTTTTCGGCCTTTTATTCTTTCCTGATCGCCTCGGGAAAAGTAAGTGTACTTTTCCGGTATGGGTTATTAATGTTTCAACTTTCAGATGAATTTAAAACATAATAATACTCACTTGAAAACTGATCGGATTTTATCTATGTTTTCGGGAGATTTTATCACGTTTAAACCGATCAAATAAATAGGAGTAAATTAATCCGGATTGACTTATACGGGTATACTACACGACTGTTCTGTTCGATTATATCATAGAAATCAAGTGATTCGTCTGCATTTTCGACGTTAATCCGACGGTTTTATTACGAATCGATTCAAAAGAATTTTAAAAATTAAATTTGAATGCATCGAATTGAATGCATTAAACAAATTTCAGATTAATTTAAAAGAATACTCCTTAAAAACAGTTTTGCGGAGAGTTTTTTTATACTCGTATAATATGTATCTGGCACAGTTGTTGATCTCGGAATTTAAGATTATATTGAATCCGTCCCCTTTTTCGCAATAATAACTCGTTATTGGTTATCTGTTTGCGTTTAAGTACGTAACCCGACCGACAACAATTAAAATTACAACGCATATGCCAATTGTATACATATTTATATAAAGGGCAATTACAATCACGATTACAATAAATGATAACACGGTGATTATTACACGCGTCGAACAAAATATTATTATAAACGCGTTGGTATTTAAAATAACTCTAATACTAATTGTAGGGATGTGTTCCAATCGCTGCAATAGCAGCAGCGATATCGACAAACATCTGTGACGACGGCACGCGCCAACGGGACGGAATATTCGAACGTATTACCGTTTCCCGTGTTATACAAAACGAATATGCAATATTAAATATTGTTAAAATATCGATGGTGAAATGTCGAAAGATAAAAAAAAAAAAAATCTGGTGTCCTAGGATAATAGAGACGGGCGCAGCCACTGTTGTGGGTATAATTTATTAATGCCTACCAGAAAACGCATCTGATATTGATAATCGGAATAGGATATCTGGTCGAAAATCGTTTTGATTCGTCGGACAGAAAAAGTACGCATCAACGCATCGCAGTTAAACTAACACAATATTAGATTCGCTCAAAATCTAAAAACCAAAAAATTACAACATTGAAAATAACGAAATGTATAAACGTGTTTATATACTGTTTATGTACTGTACTCGAATCGTTTTTTCGTTTGCAATCTTACTCCTGTATTCAATCTTCTCGCCTCCCCGTCTTTGTGCAAGTACAACGGCTACAGTTGCGAATCATACGCGTACGTTATTATTATTATTTTTTTTTTTTTTGATTTTCCTTTGTAGTCTGTGTAATCCTAACCTGCGATGCAGTTCTAGACCGGAACATCGTGAAATGATCGCGTTTTGATGAAAAAAAAAAAAAAAAAAAAACAAATAATAATAAGCACACACGTTGTTCACCGAAATTATTGTTGCCGCGTGATATTGGTTTACGATGAAGAGAGTTGGAAAAAAAAAAATGAACGTATATTGACGCCCGTACCGGATGCCGTCAATTAATGCGGGCTCAACGGCATACGTAAAACGTAGGCTCGTTAATACGGAATATGGAAACGAGAAATTCAGAAAACGGATAGTGGCGACTCGTCGTCGGTTTGTAGTGCGGTTACGATATCGACGAATGCCCCGAGTACCGGATGTTTTTTAACGCGTCTCCCCCGTTCACTCGTTTGAGCTTATCGGTCATTATTGTTCTCGTCATTGGCCGTCGGTACGGCGGGTGTTCGTTACGCACAGCGTCGTCGAGTAGATTTCGACCGCGCGATTTATGGTCGATTTTTAACACGTATTTTATTCGACTATTCGGGCGGTCGGTGATTGGGCCACGCGCGCCGTGTATATTTTTAACGGGCTCCCCGGGGATCGGGCCGCATGTATACGTAACGCGAAAATATGCGTACGAATAGCATTTATTAGTATTACAGTGCCTACAGGGTTTTAACGGTAATTGTTTTTCGAATAAAACGTGTTAATTTGTTGATAGATTTTTTTGGCTATAAGACAGTTATGGCCCGAGGGACCGTTTTTATCTAGACAATTTTTCGCTGATATACCTAGTTTTATTGTATTTTGTTATTTATAAAAAATATGCACAAATGTACCACATCGAAATTGGTATCAAAATTAAAATATAACAACGGACGATCAATAATACTAAACATGTCGTTTTATACAAACCATCTTAATACAGTAACGTTTGCCACTTCGTGGCGATTTTGTTGAATCCAATCTGAGACTTATACAAAATTCAAAAGCAGTGGATTCAAAACATATGAACAAGAATAGCTCTTTTTTGCAGAATAACGTTAATAGGCTGATATGATGTGGTAATTATTATGCGGCCGTAATTCATACATCTCTCTCATATACCTGGGCTGCAACTCGCACGAGATTTAGGAATTGGATCCACAGACACAGAAAAAAAACGTTTAAAATAATGGCCAAATAAACCGGCCACTATAAATGTAAAATTTTAGTGATCTAATCCAACGTTTGGTAAAGGGTTCACTGTGGTCCGATTCCCGGGCTTGCGACTTCGAGTCTTCCCACTTTGCTGGCAATCTTTTTTTAACCAAATTGATAATGTAACCGATTTATGTGTCGGCAAAACGGGAGTGTACGTCACAAGAACGACCCCCCGATTTCTCGGTGTAGCCGGTAAAGCACGATTTTGCACGTTTTACCTTTTTGGGGACACGATTCCGTTTGATTTTGATCAAACAATAGTTTGTTAAAATGACTCAAAAAACAACACGATTCCGTACGGAATTTTTTTTTGAGCAATATTGCCGTTTATTATTTATTATTGTTGATTCTCGTTTAATTTTCTTAAATAATATAATACGTTGAAAAAAATGTTGATAAACTTGAAAAAGTCAAAGTTAAATTTTGTCAATTGAATTGAACAGTATAAAATATTGTACAACAATGTTTTTACTAATTACAAACTGCTATAAAATAAAATTCATTTTTCATCTAACTCCTGGAGAAATAATGATAATATGTAAATGCAGGTTTGTTTGGATTTTTCACGCAAGAAAAAATACACCACGGGTAAGTCATTTTGTAAACAATTAATTGTATAGAGCTGAATATAATATGTTGACACATAATTAAATACAACAAAAACTTATCTGATACATAACTATTGTATCGCTGTTGTATGTTGTTTAAATGTTACTATATAGTCTATAATAGACGAATACCCTACGCAAACCGCTATAAACCAAGTCGAATAGTTAAATACCCACGTAACCTTATGCAAATCTGGCAGCATTTCACTGACATCTTAGGTACAAAACGTACGGAATCGCGTGCCTTAAAACGTGCACGATTCCGTGTGCTGATAAGGGCCGACCAGAATCATGTTATACCCCGGTGAAGCATCGATTATCGTAAATCTTTTCGTTTTCCACAAATGTCGTGCAACAGGTGACTCCCGTCGCGAAATACTACGCCACCTGTTGCTATCGTACACCCGCCCGCAGAAAACAATACGGTTTTCGACGCATTCTCATTTTTTTTTTTATTTTCTAACGCTTATAATATTTTATTAGGGTCGTCTTTTGACTGTTGTCGCGCACAATCCGACGGTACGAATTTAACTTCACATTTTTCACATTTGTCTGGTTAATTCTCTGTTGAAAGATCGTTTTCTTAGTGCATTTTTCTATTTTTTTTTTCTTTTTGTAAGTACATTCGCATTATTTTTGTTTAAAGTCCTATAACTTATTACTTTGAAAAAAAAAACGTAAATAATATACTGGGAGCGTATGGTTTTTTTTTTTTTTTTAAATAACGTATTCAAATTTAACACGTTAATATTTTATTCTTCGTTCGAGATTCTCTATGCTCGTTCTATATAATCTATTACAAGTTATTTATTATGCACGGATCGTTTTTGTTTAATGTCATAGATAAAAAAAAAAAAAAAAGGATTTCGTATAATCTATAATCAATATAATATAATATATTGGGTATTGCATCACTCCCAGAGTTCGGTGGAATGATTTGAGCGTGCCCGTTTGATGCGTGTAATAATATCGTTTATGACTCGCGACACAGCGCTGAACCGTGGACGAAAAGTCTACAAAATGTTTATTTTTAGATCGTTAACGAGCGCCGAAGACAGACGTCGATCGGATTGGACATTTTTCACGAAAAAAATACGTATTTTGTGTAGGTATGCTTCTACTACACGAAAATTACACTCGGCATTGTAATTTGTACTTGTACTTGCATGTTTGAATACTTGTTTTGAATTAGTTTTTTGCATTTTTTAAAACTGTTCTCAATAGGCATTACAAATGAGTGTAACGTTACACGAAGTAAAATAATTTTTAACTTGTACATCCGCGGTATATTAATCCAGTATTGTACGAATCATGGCGTCAGTTCAAATGAAAATCAAAAACCCCGAACATTAACGGCTTTCCTAACAAGTGTAGAAAAAAAAAAAAAAGAAAGAAAGTATGCGAGAGTATTTATAAATAATAATTCATGTGCCAACTCAAATTTAAAATATATAAGCGATCTACTCGAATGCGTATTAAAAATTCATTTTAAAACGATACCCGTATTTGTACGCGCGAAATACTACTGCACAAATTACAAGTTTTTCCAAGTCGGATTTCTGATATCTCGCGGACTGTCTTCGCACAGTTAACGCGCGAAAAGCGCCGAAAAGCCTCATAATAATAATTTGATACCTTGGTTCGCGTCTATAAACGTGTTTTTTTTTTTTTTTTGTCTTTTCGTCGACAAAATTTCGACCGTCAGCGTTCATATTACGCAGTCACACTAGTCCGTGATGTCACGCGCGGTGTACAATAATATAATGCAAGATACGAGACAAATATTGCATTACCGGGTCGTCAACTATCCGCGACGACATTAAACGTTTTTATAATAATTATATTTCGCAGGTTTTTTTTTTTTTTCCATTTTTTCATTACCCTACGCGTTGGTTTTGTAACGTTGTAACGTTCGACGTTCGTTTGTAATAGTAATAAACGCGAGGTGGCTATTATTTAATATGGGGCTTTATTATTATTATTATTTTTTTTTTTTTATTACGTTGTTTAATATCGTAATTTACGTCGATTTAAATCGTGAAAAAATACTAAAAAAAAAAAAAAACGTACCGAAGTCGCCGCGGCACATCTCGTAGACGACCGTCGTCGGCGAATTTTTTTTATTATTTATTTTTTTTTTTCCTCTGCATGTGTAATTGAGCGCGTTATTATTGCGGACCGCGTATTTGTTTTTAATTGGCACGGACGCCGCCGTGTAGGTACCTATTATAATATCAGCAGTAATCGACTTCGTTAAAAGCGTATTACATTATTGTCGCGTCTCCGCCGCCATCGGTCGACGTTCGGTTATTTTCGCGGGAATACGTTCGCGGACGTAATAAAATTCGTCGGGAAAAGGAAAAAAAAAAAAAAACAAGAGATGCCCGACGTCCGGTTTTAGCAACCGGTCCCGGGGGTCGGCACGTATTCTGTACGAGTTTGCGTAGTCGAATACGGTCCGCGAAACCCGAAGGCTTGAGACCGACGACGGTTAGAAACCCGTGGAAATCGAATTTTCGCACATACGTTTTCAGAGGCCGTTAACTCGATTTGCGCGCGGTCGGTTTTTTTTTTTTTTTTTTTATCTTCGGAATTTGACTTTTATCCAATCCGTAATAGAAGTGTCGTGTAAAAACGCGAATTCGTCACTCGTCAACGCCGAGTGCGCGTACGCACGAATGAAAAACGTGCACTCGCCGAACAAACGCGAATCACGAGCAACTATCTCCGTGTCCAGTGCGTTCTGACGTTGTTTACATGCAGACAGTATGCGAAAATAACGTGAAATGCTCGAATATACGTGTAAACGTGATTTATTAAACGCGTACACGGAGTTTTCGAGATTTATAGATACGAAAATGTTATTGATATCACGCGAAAGCGTTAAAGCGGGGTACCGGAGCGTTAAAACGTTTTTTTTTTTACTTTTTTAATCTTTGAAATTTCGCGATTTTCGTCTGTGATTTAACCGCGGATTTGTCAATACCGTAAAATTTATAATATTTCGCCCGTCTTTCGTATGCACATTTTCATAACGCAACGTTAATCCTCCGTTTCTCCGACCGAACGGTTCAAACACGCGACACGTACCCGCGCGATAATTTGTGTTTGTTATTTTTTGTCTCGTTTTACGCCATTCGGGAATTTTTATTGCCACACACGTAATCGCGAACGCGATAAAACTATTGTACAGAGATGCGCGCGCGATCCGCTCTAAAGTGCTAAAACAACACGAAAACACGTAACGATACCGACGCGCGCCGCCCGTTTTACAACGTACACGACGATTTCGTAACCCGCAAAAACTCCGCACGGGTGGTGCACCAGTCAACGCTAAACAAATTGCGGTTTTCTTTTTTTTCCTATTTTTTTTTTTTTTCAACACTACCTATAAACACTCGCGTTTTATAACAAACTGCCACGCGTACCGTTGTACCCGTGACCGTCCGGTTTCATATATTGTACAGTAATTACGGTGATAATATTAATACTATCATTATCAGTCGGCGGCGGCGGCGGCGGCGGCGGACTCGTGCGGTAACAAACAATGAAATACGTGTACATGTGTAGTAAAATAATACCATACAACAATAATATTGTATCGAACGTTTTTCCACGTATTCTCAACACGTTTCGAAACAATGCATTTGAATAACGAAAATCGAGACGATTCCGTCGGATTCCGGGCGGCCGGGCGACGCGCGAGCGAGACGCTAATCGCGCAGCCCCGTCTCGTCGCAATAAAATACCTACGCGCGGTTCGTTGTTCACAAAATGCCGTTCGACGAATTCTTCAAATTCAGACGCGATAACCGTTAAGCGTTTTCAAAAATAATAATACCGAGGATAAAATCGGTTAACCGACAAACAGCGGCCGAATCGCTATTACCGATAGTGCAGCTAATATAACACCCGCGCGTATTTATTTGTCTCCGCGCGTATATCGACGCCCATCAGCCCGTGATATTCTAAACGTTCGTCTCGCCATCGCTCGCTAGGCCCGCGGGCCGCCGGCCACCGGTATTCGCAATTAGGTGGCCCGTGCAGTATACCCGGAGAAACCACGGTCTCAAATTAGAGGACACGAGACAGGGTATCGGCCGAATGGTTACTACTGTGCAGGGCTAATGACCGAGACGAGTTTATCGAATAATTATATGGCGTCCGATAAAAATAAGCATGTGTGATATTTCACGTGCGATATTATATCGGACAATGTCTTGTGAGTAGGCAACGTCCATACAATAACACTACACCGTGCATATCCGACGTATGCGGCCGTGTTGGTGCAGAGATCAAACGTATATATCCCGTGTGGAGTTTTCAATGAAAACAATTCTCGGAAATTAACTTACGAAAAGTCGATAGGTGTGTAGTTAGTGGATTTTTAAAAGGAAACGCGAATGAAACCGGTTCGGGAACTCGAGTAGCTGTACGGGGTGTGTAAGTTTCACGGGACGCGGGAGCGTAACCCGCCCCGGGGCGGACCGATGAGCGATTGAGGTTACCGCGGGTATCCTGATCCTAACGGGGTCTCTCACCTTTCAGCTCGAGCCTTTCCAATATCTCCAAGTAATGTCGATTCTCCTCCTCTTTGCGCTCGATCCGGTAGAACACGAACGCGCCCAGGCTCAGGTAGCCCACGAACACGACGAATCCGACGAACCATCTTCCGATCATTGTGTCACGTTAACCGTGTTCAGAGTCGTAAAGGTAATCGGTGGCGGCAGTGGCGGTCGTGACCATCGCCGCCGGGCGAACCGGTGACCGCGGCGCGTGCTGTAGGTCCTGTTCCCCGGCGGTTTTTCCAAAAAAAAAAAAAACGCCACGCGCGACCGGCACTACGGAAACGTACGCCGCGAACGGCAACCGCGCGGAGCGGACGACGACGAACGCCGGGCGAAAACGGCCGCCGGAACAACGACAGCGGTTCGGGTGTATTGGGTTATGGCGGCGGCGACGAGACGTGTCTGCGGACGGACGAGCGACGACGGGTACAACGCCAGATACGCGTACGTCGGCCGGCAGCGGTCGTGTGCTGGCTGAGCCGTCGGCGGCGGCGGACGAGGAGCTTCGACCGACCCCGGGGAGATAAGAGAGCCGATACGATGCGATGCTCGTCCTAATCGGACAGATAAAAGGTGACATAACGAGCCCGCGGAAACGGCGGCGGCTGCGGCGGCCGATTACGAACGGCCGCGGCCCGCGCCCGCGGTCAATCCACTCGCGACCGGTCACGACCGACAACCGGGTTCGAACCGCGCGCCGAACCGGCCGTATGCCGCGGATTTCCGAGGCGGGGCGAACAATAAAATAAAACGTTCGACGAGCACGGTACGCGCGTCGCCGCGGAGCAGGGCTAACCGATTCGGGCGCCGGGCCCGGAAATCGCGGCGAACTGTTGCGCGGCACCGGCCGGGCGCTTGTGCACGGGACGATGCCGCACGCCAACCGCTAACCGCGTTCGCACCCGACGCGCGGTTACAGTGCCGGAACCTACCGCGGTAATCCGTCCGTCCGGTGCCGCGGAAAAGGATACGCGACCGCCATCACGGACGTCGGGTTTTGTCGAAGAAGCTCCGGGTGATGTATTTAAATTGCGTCGTTTAAATAATAATCGTACGCGGATATTATTATTATTATAATGATCGCCGGCGATATAATACCGTATTTAATGTTGTGCAGCGGCGGCGGCGTAGCGCATTGTGTGCAATTGTCGATCTCGCATGCGCTGAGTTCGGTTTCGGTTTTTTATTTATTTACTATTTTTTTTTTTCAAAAAAAATTATCGATCGCCTTGGTTGTTCGTGGTTTCGTGACCGCCAATCCGGATATTCGTGATCGTGTATCAAAATATTATGAAAATTATTACTCGTTACCGATATGGTGATGGCCGTCGTACACGAATTACGCACGTCGGCGAGTGCAAAACCGCGCGATTTCTCCAGTGCTGTTTTCTCGGATGCACGACGAGGATCGCGGTGGCGAATTTTTCCGCCGTCTCCGTCATACCGGCGTCGTGACACGACGCGAGGACGAGAACACTAATCGAGAAACCGTTCGAAGTCGGGTCTAGAGACGACTTTAAAAAGCCTATTATAATACGATTCGTAGACAACACGAGATTTTAAAAGATGTCTCTAAATATTATTATTAAGACCGTCATGCCAGTCGTTTATGTGCGAACAATTGTATTTTACAATTTTTTTTAGATTCGGTGCATATTAGCGAGGATCTCATTGGTTTTACAGTGATATTTATATATTTTTTATGAGAGTAACTTTTCTGCCAAAAGTCTTGCTCAGATAAAATTAATTGTAGCCCGTTTTCTGAAAGGAAATTTTATCCCAGTGCTACGCTACGGAAGTAATTTTTTTATTTTCCAAGCCGTTTTCATAATAACTGGGAAAAACGTAGGAAAAACGAGAAAATATACGTACGTCTATAAAAAAACTTCGTTTCGAATCGTTTTTCGTTAACAATGGGTTATGGCTGTGTACAGATGTACATTATATTCCCTTAAATGGCGTGCGCAAGGGGGGGAGAGCTAGGAGGTTATGTTCCTTTCTACATTGGCTTAAAAATACAAAATACATATGTTGACTAAATTGTTTTATTATCTGGCTTTAAATCACTAATTCCTATGTCAAGCCGGGTAGAGAAGACGATTTTACTATTTATTCACGATTTTTATTTGCTACATCTCCTCCCATTGAAAATTTCCGGGTACGCAACTGCATACGCCAACTTCTCACCTACAACAGTGGCCCACTCGGAAATCAAAGAAAAATATCTCCTCCTTTGACTTTCATTTTAGTAGCTATTAATTTATACGAATACCTATTTTTTTAAAATTCCAATTTCTTTCATTTTCTTTTCCTTAGTATTTGAATAGTATGACTAAACTTAAAATAATTATTAATAAAATACTTCTAAGAATAATTATACATTTAAATAATTGGATCTTCGCTGTTTTAGCTAGCAGTACACATTATACAATCTGTGCAAAAATACATATTTCAAAATTAAATATCTCCCTCCTTGGTGAAATCCAAAATATGCTACGGTCTCAGGCGATGATTTTTTCGTATGAATTACGGTTTTTGTTGCGATTTCGGAAGAAAAACAATTTCGAATTTCGATGGCATCTTTTTTTTTTTTGTTTTTAGATTTTGGGTTTAGCGAAAAATGTATTGATTTTACAATGATGTATATTTTTAATTTTTTTTTTTTATTTGAACACTGTTTCTTTCAGAAAGTTTACTTCAGTCACTAATTGTAGCATCTTTTCTAAAAGAAAATGTACTCTGAGCGGTACTTTAAGGAGGTCATTTTTTTAAGTTATCATTAATATTCGAGATAATGAGGAAAACCTGGTCCTTTAAGTTAAAAAACTTAAAAATAAAGTTGTCATTGTCAACCGTTTTTATTTATTTTTTTTTATTATTTTATAAAGCAACATCGTTGGGTATACAGGTATACATTAAATTCCTGTCCGTGTCCTACCTTCCCCACTTTCCCACTTACAACAGCGGCTGCACCCACGTGCGAATCATGCCCTTTTTTTTTTTTTTATTCGTAGCATTGTTAAATATTCGTGTTAAACGCGCACAAATCGTACAATAATAATCATTATTACGTTACCGTTCGTATACATACAAACGACCGCGGAAGTGTAACACACGAACGAATATTGTCCTTATCGGAACATATTTTTTTATAATGTTATAGGATTATTGTAAACGGTCACGCCCTACATAAAAGACTCGTCGTCGCTACAATAATAATGCGACCGCCGCCGCCGCCACTGATAAACGGCACCGCGCGCGCACGGCCGCAGCGTTCTAAAACGGGAGTATTTCACGCGATGCTGTTTCGAATATAATATTTTGCAATAATAACGAGAACGTTTAAAAACGAGTTCTGCATCATTACGAATTACTTATTCCAATTAAAATTTATTATAACGCTATTAGTTTAAATTGTTGCGATAATCGCGCGAATTAGACGAAATTGTATTTGCATCGTCCGTGTTCGTTCGTGTGCATCATACCGTACAGGCGCTTGCTGCGCGTGTTGAAAAAAGTAAATAATAATAATAATTACTTTACCAATAATAATAATTATCTACCAATATTAATAATCATAATAATAATTTAATGAACGTCGATTGCGTACTCCCGTACTTTATTGTACCTACATAGAGAATATTTCGAATAACTGGCCAAGCGGTTTACGATACGCGATGTAAAAGCCAATGGTCGGCATAACTATCACTACCGGGTGCGATTACAAACAAATGAATTCGGGGGAGGTGGGGGGGGATTTAAGGTTGCATACTTTCCTGCACTTATAACAAAGAAGTTTACACGGGTTCTTTCGATTGTAGGATTGGTAATTTTTCATTGAAAATGTCTATATTTTATAACATTCATTTTCAGCCTTTTAGCAAGTACCTATGTTACTGAATTTTACATTTAATATTTTTTTTCAGTGAACACGGTAAGTTTAGTTGTCACGGTAACACGGACTATACGATATCGTCGTATCAGTTATGATTTTCTAAAAGCAAGAAAACTACAAAAAATTAGAAATGACAATAATAACAATATATACCTACTATCTATTTTAATGAAATAAACATAAAACCAAAATTGTATTTATCGTCTTCGTTGACAGAAACCATTTTTGAGACTCTAATTTACTTTCATCAAAATTTTCATAAAATTTCGGAGGGGGGGGGGTTGGAACCACTCGTCTTTTGACAGATGACTTCACACGTGAGTGGACCACTGTTTAGGTGATATATTGGGAAGAAAGTAGAGGGGAAGTTAAACATATATCCGTAAAAAACGATAAACCATTGCTAACAAAACAACGGTTTGAGCGGAGTTCAGTTGATAGTGTTGCACTGTCAACAATATATTATTTAATATTATGGTAAAATAATTGCATAGACATTACCTATATATTTTCTTTAATAATATTTGTACCTATTTTCCCGTGTTTTCCCACGGTTTTTCCCTTTTATTGGAAAAACTCATGAGAAAATTAAAAATAAAGACCCTTAAGTACCGCCTCAGTAAGATTCGCTCCATTCAGAATCTAAACAATGTAAACAAATATTTATACATTTGACGGTGACAATCAGTCGACAGTTCGTTGAGTCGATCTAAAAATAAACGAAGCATTTTACTTCGTTACTATGAATTCTGCTCCTCCGTCTAAATTTTATAAAAAAAAATATCGGTTTTTCAAATACATTGGTTTGAAAAATTGTATCGAAAACAAAAATCTAAAGAAAACACCTAAAAATTCCCAATAAAGCATTAAAAAACAAAACCGAATACTAACGACGGAACGGATCACTGTAGAAAACGTTCGAACTACACAATGCCATGTCCGAAAAGGACATTATCATACATAAGACCGCGCCGTCGTCGTTTAGAATACCCGTGTGAACAGATTTTTACGTTGTTTTTTATTTTTACCAAATGTTACTATTTTCCGATCCGGACGAATAAAACACCATGTCGGTATAGATATGGAACGGGGCGATCGAGTGAAACTCGGACGAACGCGGTATTATTATTACGAGTATTGTGCGTGTGTAAACCGCAAATCCACTGAAATCCATTTAGTCACGGAGGCGTTTTGCGATTACACTCCCGTTTCGCAGT